TGAAAATGATAAAAATATGAAAAATAACATTATCATACGGTAAAAGTATATAATACATGTATAATTGACGTTTTATGCAGACATGTCATAGCTTACAATGTATTGTAACAGTAATACAGGTGTATAACCAAAAACTTGATTCATCAATGGATGCATTGCACACATACTGTATACAAAATATATGTAATATTATATAAATTTATGTATTACACACAGTTTCACACAATTGCATATACAGTATATATTAATGTACAGTATATTAATAATTGACTTTCAAAAATACATTTATTAATTGATATTTAAGAAATATTTTTAAATTAAACAAATGAAAATATTTGGCAATTTATTAGCCGTGAATTTATTCATTGAGTTTTTTTATCAATATAAACAATATGTAAATGTTTAACAATATTTAGTTTATTACTGTATTCTTTAAACGCTTTAAGTATTAAAAACCCCAGATTTATACAAATAATAACTATTTGTTTTAAAATTAAAAATACATATTTTTACAAAAATTGTTTTACTTTTATTAAAAATGAATTAATTAAAAATGTTTATGTAATAAATTAATTAAAAAAAATTATTAATGTATAATAAAATATATTAATAAAAAATGATATTTTAGACAGAGATATCTCTTTGTACAATATTTTATATAATAAGGATTTTATTTAGAAAATATTTATATTATACGTGATTTTAATTTTTTAAGTAAATCTAATAAAAACATTCAATGATTGAGTATGTTTTGTAAATTTTATTACTATTTTTACATTAAGATTATGATGCAATTTTTAAAAAATATTTGATAGTTTATAATTATATTAACAAAAAATCCAATAAAAATATTTTTATAGCACACATCTATAATATTATGTATTGTGAAAAAATACTCAAAAAAATTATTAAATAAAATATAATAGTTAAATTTTATTTGTCATTTATAATATTTTTGATAAAATTTGTTTATTCAAATTTTGACTTAAAATATTTGTTAAAAATGTTTGAACGACAATCAAAATAAGTATTTTAAGTAAGTTATGTAGAGTTGAAAATTTCAGGAAAAATTCTCAAATTGCAGGAGAGATAAAAACTTTATTTGTTATTCAATACTAATGACTAAATAAAAACATAATAAAAATTTAATAATCTGTTATTCAATATAAATTACACAGAAATATTTGTTACACTAATTTAAAAAATTTCTTATTATATTTTATAAACACATTGCAAATATTTTATCTACATTAAATATTTTGCTTGATTTTTATTTGAATAGTTTACTTATGATACAGTATTACAATTGTTAAATATTAATAATCTATATAAAGTTTACAGTATATTAATGTACTAAAGTATATAAGATATATAAAGTCTTAAAATAAGTTTAGTTTACTTATATATCACAGATCTTAAAGTATTTTGGCATTCAATACATAAAATAAAAAATGACATATTCTTATATTACTTGTGTAATCTATTTCAATATTTTTTTCAATTATTTAAATATAAATTATATATCTATTTATTAAACAAATTATATAGCTTCTCATAAATTAATTATATTTAAACAAATAATATTCATTAGCTAAATATACTGTATATAAATTTATTAATATAATAATTAGATTTATTGATCATTTTGTAGTTATTGAGTACAGTATTGATATTATAAACTAATTTACTAGCATTTTGTAATTTCAAATTGTTTTACAAATAAAATAGGTTTTTACTTAAAATTATTTAATATATTCAATAGTTATATAATCATAACAGGTATAATACAGTACAGTGTGTTTGAAACGAAACAATATAATTAAATGAATCAGATTTTAGACATGAATTACATTCATATGATTTTTTAAATAATTCAAATCTTTTAATATAATGTACAGAATTATGTTTATACACAAAGAAATTGTAAATCAATAATAAGAATGTGATTGAATTTTTTGAAAAACAATATAATGTCTAATATGGTATACAGTAATACACGACAAATGCATGATTTAATTAACAAAATATAAACAACAGAAATATAAATATTTAAATGTTTTTTGAATCATATATGAATTTATTAATACATAACAATAGTAATACAAAGTAAAAACGTTGGGTCTCTATGATAGACATAAACCGAATCTTTTGAATATTATTTACATATAATTTTTTTATAAATGTATTTATAATAATTATAATTAAAATACCATTTATAGGATATTACATCGATTACATTAATAAAAAGATAAAAACAATTCAAATATTCGAAATAATAATAAATATTTAATTATACAGTATTTTACTGACACTTTATAATAGTTACTGTGATGTCATGTGATGTCAGGCATTATTACTGATACATTTGAACATATATAACAAATATTTAATTATACATTTTAAGACTAGATATCAAAGTTTATAATAGGCAAAAAATTATTTTTTAAATATAGCAATAAGTCACAGAAAAACTTAGTTACTTTTAAGAATACCAAAAAACGAAAATACTTTTGCATTCTAACAGTAATTAATTATACTTTAATAACCTGTTAATAATTGAACATTTGTAAATAATAAAATGTATATTGCTAAATTCATTTTTATTAAATAGTAAATTGTTTGTTAACAAAAAACTCTTAAATAAAAAATAATTTTTTAAATATTCAAAACAAATTGGTTTAATGAATAAATAACGAAACATTTCTATAAAATTATCAGGTTTTACATAAATTAATATTAATACACATTGTATTTAGTTTTAAATACTGAAATTTAATTCATTGTTTTCAAATCAACAAATAAAAAATTGACTAATTAATTGGCTAACTAATTAACCATTAATATATATACCGTATATAGTGTTGGCAAAAAAGAGAAATTTCTAGAAAGTTTCTAAAAGAAATTTCTAGAAAGTTTCTAAAAGAAATTTCTAGAAAGTTTCTAAAAGAATTTTATAGAAAGTTTCTAAAAGAAATTTCTAGAAAGTTTCTAAAAGAAATTTCTATCTATGGGATCTCCATGGTTAATTTTGTTCTCTTAATATTTATTATCTTGTAACATTTTTTACAAGTAATAATTAAATATTATTATTAGTTTTTTAATTATTAATTAATAAAAATATGAATAAAATTTTACAAAACTGATAATTATTAAATAATTATAATTATTTATATAGGTATCCCATTTATATAATAGTTTATTACATTTTAATTTACAGTATTGTCTCTTTAATATATTTATAGATAGATATGGGGATCCCATAGTATAACAAAAAAGTTAAATTTCTATAGAAATTTATTCATGAGAAATTTTCTAGAAACTTTTTATTTGCCCATTTCTAACCGTATATAATTATTAGTATTAGTATATAGTTTTCAAAATTCTATATTTATAAAAATTAATAATCTAAAAATTCAAATATTTAATAAATTTATATTTATACTATAAAATAAGTAAAAAAATTATAAAACTAATTAATTTAAAAGCCATAATCACTAAAAAAATTTATTTGTTGTTCAAAAAGTTAATATTTCTCTCATTTAAAGAATTATTTATATTTTTGCAAATGTATAACATTTTGTAATTAGTTGTTATTGACAAACAAAAAAGTTTTTATATACTTTGCAAAAGTTCTCCGATTTTAATTTAACTTAAAACAAATTAATTTGACATAAATTATAAAAGTTATTCAAATAAATCAAATTTACTTATAATTTGATAATTTGACTGAAGAAAAACGCCTGTCCTTGGGATCAATTACAACCAATTTTTTAAGTTATAGTAAGTTTATATATTATATATTAAATACTGATTAGTGTCGAAAAGTTTATCAAATTGACAACAAAAATTAAAAAATTACATTTTAAGTAAAAAGTTAAATTAATAACTTTTTGTGCAAAATAAGTATTACAGTATTTATTTATTTTTACAGATATCATAATACTAATAGTAAGTATGTCTATTTATACAAATTATTTTTTAATTATTTTAATGATGAAATAATAGGTAATCTCAAAAATTAATACAATTTATTGTTATCAAATAGTTTTAGTGATATATATGGTATTTATTATAATAAAATACAGTAGTATTAATATATTCGTACTGTTCATATTCATTCATTAATATATATTAACCGGTATTATGTATTAATTAAATATTCAATAATATAAATTTTAGTAGAAAAAATTGATTGATATTTTTATATATAAAATAAAGTAATTAAACAAAACAAATAATTTTTATATATATTTATATATACTGTATATAAATCAACAAAATAGGTGATAAATACTTCAATTTTAAATTTATTGTTTAAACCTTTGGCATTAAATAAAGGGAACGTTTCTATAGAAACAATAGGATTATATAAACATTAAGAGAAAAGGTATGTCAAAAGCAGGTGTGTATTCATATCAAACTCTTTATTAAATCTTGAGATCAAATCTTTTCTTATTTTAATTCATATTAAAATTTATTATTTATTGCAAAACAATAGGGTATAACTTCCACTTAAAATATCAATTCATATGACATAAAAATATCATTTCTAGACATTTTTAACAATAAGAATTTATTACACTTACTATAATTTCTAAGTAAAAAATATTAAGTTTACTAAATAATATTTATTTTTATTTAATTTAAAATTTTTCTCAATAATTTTATCTCAAACAGATTAAGAAATAATTAATGTAATATTAAATAGCATTCAAAAAATTAATTAAAATTGCTTTTGATTTTTAAAATTTTAATAAAAAATATAATTTTCTTACTTAGAATTACTATAAAAGTCTAAATGTTACTTAAAATGCAATTACAAAGTATAATATATAAATGCATATAAAAATATAAGAATAAGACTTACAATAAATAAATAATTTATTTGAAATTTATTATATGATTAATTAGATATACGGTATAAAACTTGCATAACTCTTATGACTATTTGTATTTGTTTAATGAATGTATGAGAGGACAGGTATGTAAAGTTGACTCACTTGAGGAATTAAACTGAATTTTCTTCTGGCATTTTCTTTGAGTTCAAATATAGAGCTTTTTCGGGACCTATTATTTGTTGGATGACTACGGATATCACCGTTTGAATGGTTGGAAGAGTTAACACTAGACTGTTGTTTAGTCCACTGCTGTTGTCTTAACTTTTGCATTGAATGAGATGTTGTAGTGTTTGACTCAAATGAATTGTTAGGTGAGAGCCAAACGGTGGACATAGCTGTACGGGTCAGTGGTGTTTGAGTGGTCGGCACATCAAAGGCCTGTTGACGTCTCATCTGAGGCGTCGAGTTCTGCCTCATATGAGGTGAACTCTTGAGAAGATGTCTTTGATTGTGCTGTTGGTACGGAACTCGGATACTGATTGCAATTTCATCACTTCTGTTATTACCAATACATCTTTGGTACTCTTCGTGTAAATTCGAGATTTGTGGTGACATTTCTTATATTTCTTATAAAATCTTGTAATTCAAATTAAAGGCAACTTTAACTTGAAGGCAATGTCTTTACATAATATTTTTTTTATTAATTTAGTGTAAAGTTAGACAAATTCATTATATATTAAAAATCACCAAAAATTATAATAATATATAATTATTACATTTTGGCTTTTATTAGGCAAGTAATTGCATATTCATTAGTATTAATATAAATAAAGGCAATGTATATGTTATGAAAAAAAGTTCACTTAAATCACAGAAATATGACTTATAGTTAAAATAACTTCACATAAATCTTGATATCTATAATGTCTATAATATGTCTATAATTCATATGAAAAACTTGAGACTAAAAGCTGTGCGTCAAAGGAGGCAATGCTCACAGCTATTGATTCACATAACGGGCCATATATTGTTTCAGAGCAGGCGCTCATAACTAGACATGAATTTTACGGTAAAACATTCATTTTTACTCAATTTAAATCAAATCAAATGTTTGCTTAAAAACTAATTATTTATATTTTTCATATCTTTCTGTAAATAAATAAAAGTCTACATTAAAACAATTTATTGTATATCAAACAAAATTATAATTATGTAAATCATGTATGAATTAAAATACTATGAAATACTAAAATTATTTAAATACAATAAACCAACAAAAAAAATACAGTTGACAATTTACAGGATATACACTAAAAAATCTAACGCAGTTTTTAAAAAATTATAGAAAAACATACAACAAAATACAGTGCATAAACTTAAATATGTTTTGACCAAATCTTGGACTTTATTATAAAATTTTTATTTGCATTATACATGCTTTAGGTTTTTTAAAGTTTTAAAGTGCTTAATGGTATCGTTTACCTTGATAATTTATAAGAAATTGTAATCTATATCTAGTTTATTAGAAAAAAACATAAATTTATGCAATTATTTAATATTATCTTTAAATAATTTTTTCGCAAAAAATATTAAATCTTATTATTATACTTATTAAATACTATATAAAACAATAATAAAAACAGTCCGTTAAGTTCAGTGTTTGTATATTATTAATAATAATGATTGGTTAAGATTAACAGTATTTAATATTTCAGTCATTTATAATAAATTATTAAAATATTATTAAAATTCTAATACTGAAACAATAACTTAATCATTAAAATATCATTAAAAAATCAAAACTTATTATTCAAAATAATTCAAAATACCACTATTTTTAAATCTTTGTTTTTAAAATAAAGTTATAATCTTTATTTGCAAATAAACATTGAGTATTTCATGTGTTATTTAGTTGATAATACGTTAATAAGTAAACCATTGCATTACACTTTTGTAAATTATTTTTTATGTTAAACCTTTAATCTAAAAAAGCCCATTAGGAGTAGGAATGTCCCCATTATAGGTTTGAATGGAAATTTTATAAGCAAATGTAAATTTATTTTAAATTGATATCACTTTTGAATAAAATTTTATAAAATTATTTTCAGATAAATATAGATAAAACAAAGATTCTTAATATGAATGCTGATTATATTCATTAGAAAATTATTTTCAAAGAAAAATTTCATAAAAATACATTTAATGTCAATTTTTAATGTATTGGCATTGAGTTTACAATTTTTTTGGATTGATTTATATACATTTGTTTATACTATTTTATAATAGTTAATAAAACTTTTGTAAACTCAATATCAATACATTAAAAATATATTATCAATATTTATCTGAAAACAATTTTCTAATATGTATTATTCAAAAGTTATATAAATTTACATTTTGTGCAATATATCACTTCCCGTTACACTATATTTTATATCAATATAAACCTTTAAATGTGATTAAAATAATGTTATTTTGAATAGAATTGGATTTAATTTTTTCAATTTTTCCGAATACGTTGTTATCCTCTAAACATAATAAAACAAATGTTTGCAATAATTTTATTTTAAATTAATTCAATTTAACTTAAAATTATTCAAGATATTTTTCAATGTATATAATTTTAAAAATTTTAGAAATATTTTGATATGTGTTATAAATAACACAATACATTTCCACAATATTTTTCAAAATTTTGATATTATATAATCATTTCTTTATTAAAATTTTATTTAAAAAAATTTTCTTCAAAAATAGAAAAGTTATAAAATGAATAATAAAATAATTAAGTGTTGTTAAAATTAAATTTAAGTTTATTAATGTTTAACTTACAGAATGTCGTATAATACTGATTGTGAGTAACACTAATACTACTACTGATTATAACAATATTAAAAATATGTTAACATATTATCGACAATACATTGTAGACAATGTTTATTAGATACATATTGTAACCAAAATTGTTTACATATATTAATTAAGTTTATAAAAGTTGGCGATTGTAATAATGAGAGTAGTAATAGTAATAACGCTATTTGGGGACATATTATGTATTTTATATTATATTGTTATTTATATATTTATAAAAAAGCGATTAAATGGGTGTTATTTATGAGTCTATCTATTGGCTATCACTTTTAAATCCAGTTTAATATTTAATATTAAACAGTGTTTAACCATTTAATTTTAAATTAATGTATTTAAATTATAGAATCCTCAATATATATATATATATATATATATTTCAATTGAACAATCTCATTTCAATAACAAATTTAATTATTTTAAAGTCAAGATAACTATTTTAATAGTAAACGTTTCAAAGCAAACAGTATAGTATTTAATATATAATGCATTAATAATCATTAAAAATAATTTATATTATAATTTTTTAATAATTAAAATACTTATTATTTTGAATTTTTAGTTTAATTAAAGCAATACCAGAATAATAAGTTTATTCACTAAAATATATTGTTTGCAAAAAAACATAAAATGAATGTTATTTAGAGTTCTTTATATACTATTATTGCAATGATATTATATTTTGTTTTGATTTTTACATTATTACATACAATTTAATTACATATTTAATATTATGTATATATAATATATGTAAATATATTATTTTTTGCTCATTTATTATATCTCAAAACAATTGCATTCTTTATAACTTTGCTATAAATAACTAATAGTTTTACTGCACTCTAATGTTATATAATGTTATTTTATTATCAATATATTTGTATATGCAATTTTTGTTATTAAAATAAAATATAATAAATTATAATATCAATTGAGGAGTTAATAGAGAAGATAATGAGATAAATAAAATATATTAAAATGTTTTCAATTAATTAAATAAATAAATAAAATAATTTACCACTAAAAATGTACAAGTAGAAATATTCTGCACTATAATTTAGCTTTTTTTTGTTATAAAATTTAGTTTATTAATTATAAATTAAATTATAACTTAGTATATATCATTTGTTATCATTGTCGTTTTATTATATTAAAATCTATTATTATTTAAAATAACTATTTATAATGCAGAATATTTTATATTTAAAAATAATAAAAATATATTATTTAAGTCTAAATGGCGTTTTTGGCAAAAAAAATCAAATGACTACTAAACATTTGGTCTACAGGTAACCCTAACCCCACCCAAACCCCTTTCTATCAAATTATTTGAAAGTAAATTTCAAATTGGGTGCGACTGTATTGTATAATAATTGTTGAAAAACAAACTATTTATTTTACACTACTAACTTATTAAACTAATATATTATTTAAAATATGATTGATAAGTTAATAAGTACTAATAGATAATTTTTATTCTTTAAATTGATTTAAATAAAGTAACAAATAATATAATAAAAACAAGAATAGTTTATTTCTCTATATTATTTTTTAATAGAAATTGCATCAATTTATTATATAATAATATTGTGATGAAATACATACTAAATGGTTTATATGTTTAAAGACAAATTTACTATACAGTATTTATTCAATCTATCATATTTATTAATTATAATAATTTACCTTACTTCAATTGTACTGTTTTATGTTTAATTATCTTTTTATATTAATATCTGATTAAAGTATTTTATAAGCTTTTATAATTAATATGTGTATATGTGTAGTATAATGTTAATAGTAAATAGTTTTTACAGATGTTTAATTATTATTATAAGCTATAATATAGAGTATTATACTGTACTTATGTATTATGTACATGGTAGAAATAGGAAAAGTTATATAAAAAAATATTATTATAAAATATACACTTATAAAATAACTAAGTTTACATTAAATTTTAATACTCTAGTAGTACTAAAAATATATAATTGTTGTGTCTAACAAATCCATTGATTCCTGTCAACAATATTTAATCTATTATCTATCACTTATTAAAATATTCAATAATAAATGTGATGTATAATATGATTTTTATAACTAATGGCTCTATAGAAAAATTAGTTCACTTATTTGTTATAAGATTTGTATTTGTTTGTATTAATACTTTTGTTTATTTAAGGGATTAACTCTCATACTTTAACAATGTTACTTAACTAAGTTACTTAGAGTCTAAACCCATGCATTATATTCAACAATCCAGACAATTGACTTTTCTAGCCGTACCCTTGATCTGGTTTAATATGCCTAACGTATAATAAGTCTATTTATTTTATATCTATTTATTATTCGCATTATTTGAACAGTAAGTGTAAGCGTAAGCGTAATAAAGTGTCGCATAATTTTGTTTACACGGATAAGTTACCTGAAGATCGTGTAAATGCTTCCGAGACACTGATATCGATATATACGAGCATTGATTAGTAGCATTGGGCCCCCGGAAAGGTCACATAAAGGCATTGAAATCTTTATTTTAAAATACTAATTAATTTATTACTATAATAAATAATAAAATTTAAATTGTATTTTTTGGTGTATTTTAAAATATTATTTTCAAATACAATTTCTATGATAATTAATAAATAATCTTTATTTTATTAGACCAAACACTAACACTGTATTATATTTTAAGTAAATTAGATTACAAACACATTTACTATTTTTAAAAATTTAGACTTTGATGGTCTCATAGAATGTAAAAATGATATAAATTCATACAAATTGCAGATCACGTAAAAATAAATCTATATTATTGCTATTATTATGAGTAATAGTATTAAATACAGTATACAGTACTATAGTAATGGTAATAATAATAATAGCATACCTGAGCCACTTTCTCTCCAACGTTGTGATGAGGTTTTGATATTTCCTTTAATATAAGTTTAGTATTAGGTTTTTGATGTACTCTTAAAACTCTGTGGTTTCCCTTTAAATCACATTTAAGTGATTTGAGTTCACAATCTTTAGATACGTCAACCATTGATACTATTATATAATAATATAATTTAAGTAATATTTAGTTTTCAATTATATTAATACATTTCTTATAAAGTTTATACGGTATTTAAATTTTCTAAGAAAGTAATTATTTTTTATATTACTATATCAGAGCTTATGTGTAGTAAATCTGAATAAAACGCAAACTCAATAAACATATAATAAATGTATTAATGAAATGCTATAATTTATGAAAATATATATTTGAAAAATGATTGTTGCAATGTTACAATTTATTCAGATATTGATTTTATAACTTAATTACAATTACCAATAAAATTCAAACAATTATAATAAACGATATAATAATTTCTTACTCGCTTTTAGTTTAGTCTGTAAAACACAATTAGTTGACACGAGATGTTTGTTTGGTATAATTTTGGCCATTTTTGCCGTCTTTTCAATATTTTCATGTCTTGTCATTTGAATAACAGTTTCATTTATATCCAATGATTGACTTCTTTCAATGGGATCACACAATGCTTTACTTGAATATATACTCTTTAATATATTATCGATTGATTGCCCTATTAATCAATTATTAATTAATTGAAAATACTATATGTTTTGAATTATTAAATTATATTTCTCATTAACAATAATGCTTTACAAATCTATAATATTAAATATAAATAGTGTATAACATTATTTGTATACATAGTTGTACATTGAAATGTACAGTATTTAAAGTTATTATATTATAACTAAAAATATACTGTAGTAACTTAGTGTACTAAATTGTTTGTTTTTATAAATAATAAAACAATATATATATTATCAATGTTAAGCGAGATTTTGGATTTAAGGGGGTATAAGTGGGTTAAAATCGAAAAAATTTCGAAAAATCTTGGGGTATAGGGTCCTTTTTATTGCATTTTTAAACGACAATTTATTAAAAATTTTAAAATACAGGGAAGATCAAAAAATAATTCCTTAAAAATTCCCCAAATTCTCGAAATTCCCATTTAAATGGGAGTAAATTCCCAGGAAAGTAAGAATATATTTCACATAAATTCCTTAAATTTTCATAATATTAATAAAAAATTAAATTTTAATTAAAATTATATAAATAAAAAAATAATTTTGCCTTTAAAATGCAAAATTTAAAGTAACAAAATTACTAAATATTATGGTATAATTTATTATTATTATCATCTTAATTATCTTAAATATTATTTTAATTGTAATTCAATTACTTTTTTTTGTACAAATAAATCATTTTTTAAGTTTTTTGTTAAACATTTTTTTATTACAATAATGTTATATTTAGATAAATATATTGTAGTATTAACTTAATACTATTTTTTTCTTTTAATTTTAAACTCGACTAATTCTTAAAATGTAAATAATTAATTTATTTTGATTAAAATTTCAAAAAGCTATAAATATAATTATTTTACATTTAAAATGTAAAGAAATAAAATTAATTTATAAAAAACATTATAATAATATATATATAATTAGAATTATTTTAATCATCTTAAAATAATATCCTAATTGTAAAATTATTACTTTATTGAACAAGCAATTTATTTTTAAGTCTTTAATTACATAATTTTAGTAAAATTATGTTATTTTTGGCTCAATTTCAACGTAGTTTAAACTATTTTACTAATTTTTATTAAATAATTCAATTTTAATATGTTTTTAAAACCTAAAAACATTTAAGTGATAAATTTTAGTTAAAATTTTAATTTTTATAAATTAAAAAAAATCGGCTCCGAAATTTTAGAAGGGGTTAATTTCTTGTTTTTAAGCGAAATTTTTTCCGGTTTGGTCAAAAAGTGTGCGGGGTCATATCCCAAAATCTCAATCTTAGGCGGTATTTTCGCCATATCCCTACCCTTTACTTAACTCTGAATATATTCAATATATAGTTTTATGCTTACATTTATGACAATCCGATAAATGTTGTTGATTTGGAAAGGGATCAAACATTACAATAACCAAATGCGATGACTTGATCGGTATCATCAATACATTACACATAAACTTTGTCCCTATTCAATGATAATTAGAAAATATTAATAAACAAATATAGTTATTATAATCGTATTACAACTGACCATCTTTTTTGACAAAAGTGTTTTCAAACTCAAAGTCAATATTATCAATGATAGCACTTTTAAATGACTCTATAATACAATTATTGTCACTATTTTTATTGTAAATCCCGTGAAATAATTCAGAGATTAAGCTTTTGCTAATTACTTCCGATCGCTTCCAACCAATAAATCGCGTAAATCTTTCATCGCAATAGATTATGGGACAGTTAGGTAATGATGTGTTTGCGATTATAAATATATGATCTAAATTAGTCAAACATAGTTTTTTTGTAATTATTTACATAAACATTTCACAAAAACATCAATTTATGAAAAAAAAAGTTTATTAATTTTTATATTATTATTATATACTTATATTATCAGTGATTTATCACACAAACCAGTTATACAGATTATATATTAAACTTTAGTAAATTCATTCAAAAATATAGCTAACTTTACTCATTGTTGCCAATATTTTAACATTAAAAATTTAATACTAATTGTAATTGAATGGTTACTATTAAAAATACTATACAATATTAAAGTATTTGCAAAAATTATTCAAATTAACTATATTTTTGTATGAATTTAGTTAAGTTTAATATACAGTATGATATGCTCATAGATTTTTTCGTATATTATTTCATGTGATAATAATAATAAGATTTTAGATTAAAATAATTTTTAAGAATATATTTAAATTGTTGATTTATATTTAAATTAAAAATATAAATTGTCATTCAAATAAATGCTAATACATTATCTTTAAAACGAAATTAAATTATTATAAAATAATTTTTAAATATATAATTATAAATTTTTTAAATGAAATTATGTGTAATTTAAAAGTACTGCTGACAGATGTTAGCAATATATTAATATTTATTGCTTTATTACTATAATTTTAAATTAAACTTAGCATTATATAATACAGTATATAATATTATCATATAAATAGTATTATATAAAGTAGCCACTAATTTATATACTACTAAATATACAGTATAGGAAAATATTTTTAATTCAATATATAAAAGATAATAAAACATGTTATAATGGCTTTTATTTTGTCCAAATTTAAAAATAAATTTAAATACTTTAAATATTAATTAAAGCACTTAAATAATTATTTGTAATATTATCAAAAAATTTCTTAAACAATTATCAAATTATTTATTATTATCTAATTTTTACAAAATAATATTTTTACACTTAAATGCTAACTGATTAATAATTAATAAAGGCGTTAAAATTAATAGAATATTTATAATTTTAAAAATTTATTATTAAGTACAACAAGATAAACATTTTAACTAATAATTTATGTATTTTATTATAAATATAAAGTTTTAAAAAAATATAAATAACATTCAATAAAGTTATAAAATGCAATACTTAATGATTCAAGTTTTTTAATGATATGTCCTATAAAAGCATTTCGAGTGACAATTGTATTAGCTTTGGGTGACATTTTTGATTATATTACATAAAAATTTGTTATTTATAAAAATATTACTAACTGTTTAATAAAACACATTTTAACGGTTACAATATAATTGGTTCAACAGTTATAGGAAGTCCAATAAACTAAAAGAAATGTTAGGGATCTGATAGCATCACATCTGATCCCAGCATCCCTGAGATGTCCCGCGCATGACATTCACTAATAATTTATTTTATAAAAAGACATATATCATAATTGATGAGCTTTTTAAAAAATATATTATTATATATTTTTGAAATGCATGTATCATAAATTTTTTCTTTTTTAAAACTAAACTAACATAAATTTTTAATGCATTTTTTATTCATTAAGTAAATTAATAAATTATTATTTGAAAATTTAACTAAAAATTAAACTTTTAATCTATTTGTCTTATTTATGTTATATGATATCTTTTAATTGATTTTAATTTTGTTTATCCAAGTTATTAGTTTATAAAAAAATTATAAAATATTAAATTAACATATAATAAAAAAAACTTTAAAAGATAAAAAAAATTTCAGAAAAGTCTCAAATAATTTAAAAGCTTTTTTAATTCTTTTAATTAACAGAATTAGTAATTATTTAAATATCTGGATACAAAAAATTACATTTAATTGTAATATAGTTATTTAAAATATAATTTTAAGGTTTTTATATTCTATATTTATATTTTATATTATAGAAACTTATTCCTGATTTTTTTAATAAAATTTATTAAAAATGTTTATTTAGAATTTAAAATTAAATATCAAATTATATATTTATTTATTTAATCAAATCTTCATTTATTTCGTTATTATAAATCAAGCATACGTTTTGCAAATCTTAGCATTTTGTGTGATATTTACATATAATATTCGTTTGTAATTATCTGCTAATTATACTATTGATGACCAATTAGTGTGTTATTTATTTTAACGTTATCTATATCATTGCCATTTTGTCACTCTATAATCTAAGGTTAAAGTCAATCAAATATTTTTTTGTTATTATCATTATTGCTTTCATCGGCACTCATATTAATACTGTAATATAAATATGTATGGCCAATGTCGACATTTAAGATTATGCCTAAAAAACAATATTTTAATATATACAATAAAATATATTTTCTTTATAAATAGTAATATCAATCATTATATCAATTTATGTTACATTAATTCACTGCATAAATATCTTATAACTACTGTATAGAAACAATAAAAAGTAATTTATAACAATTATAATAATATATACAAAAATAAATAAATAAAAAATTTGAAAACTTTTACATTATTTTTAATAAATAAATAATTTACAAAATAAAGATAAAATTTTAAAATGTTAGTAATTATTTAGATTGCGATCTGAGGGGTGAGACCGGCTTATCCATAGAGAACCAAAATTTTGGAGATTTTACTCTCTCAGACTTTTTCAGAAATTTTTATAAATTAAATGTTAACTAATTTTTATCTTTATATTGTCGGCCAGTTAGCCGACAATTGCGTAATAAAAACGAAACGATTAATAAATTTAATGTTTATTTAATATTACGTAAAAACGATTGATTTATAATAACTGAAAAATACGATACAATTACGTTATCTTATATACGATATATTAGTGTCGATTAAAGTGCATAACTGTCGACATCTGGTCGACAATACCGCGAAGGCCAGCGTCTATACGGTGCGGACGTATCGGGTGAATAATTTGTACGGCCAAATGGACGGTCTATGAACACTTGATTAACATCCGCTGATGGATTGATGGGCGTCGTTGAGAATCGGTTCAATGACTTCGATGTTGTTGTTGTGATTGATTTAACCAAACGATTTGACGGCGTGAACGACATGTCGTTACGTCGATTATCGGTATCACAAACGATTTGATATCCGATAAATATTGCGAAATAGCATCTCGTGATTTATCGATAACATTCGGCGATCTTGTAGTGTGTTAGGCGTTGTTTCGACGTGTATTGTATTTTCTACGTCTTTATCGGTGGTGTCGGCGATTTCTTGTCCAAATGTGACGGTTTCTGTCGCCATAACAATGTTAGGGACAGTCGTTGTCTCAATAGGACGACATGTTTCGGTAGTAGATTCGGGTTTAGGTGTCGACCAAATCGGTTGTTTGCATTCGTTTGCATCGTTAATCGTATTGATATGCGAATCAATATGTGTATCGATATGAGAATCGATATGTGGTACTACTTGAATGCAAATCGTGTAGTCTTCGGGTGATGAGCTCTCAGATGAGCTTTCGGTATAACTTTCGTCTTGATTACGACCAGTGTTATGTCGCGAATGTTTGCGCTTTATTTTTGCGGACTCGATATTGATGGCGACCTCATACCAGTCCTGAGGTGTCTTCAAGCGAGACGCGCCTAATATATGTCGATAACTATCGGGCATTCGGTAAGCAAAGCGACGGCGTTGATGTCGTTGAGACCGGCCTGTTGTGTCAGTCGTCTCATATCGTTGTAGTAGTCGATGACGAACTCATTTTGGTTGAGTTGTCGATGAATTGCTTCGACTAAAGGGTTCGTTGATTTGCGACTGAATCGGGAAATCATGAGATTCGGCACCGATTCCAGGTCATGGTGTGCCAGTTCGGCTCGATTTCCTCGGCCATCCATGAGAGCGCTAGTATTTAAGTTTTTCTTTGTCATCGTTGGCATCGATGGTGAGCAACGAAAACATACGTAACCATTCTTCGATGGTGATGTTCGGGTCGGGACCGCTATATTTATCGCATACCAGACCAATGATTGGTTGATATACAGTCGGTATAGCGGGTGTGTCATCGATATTGTTTCGTACCAATGCCGAGTGAGATGTGTGTCGATTTAGCGCTTAAGCTCTGTTTGATCGGTGGTTGCGGTGATCGTATCGGACGGTTCGATGTGGACGGCCGAGAGACCAGTGAGATGGTCTCGATATCGGTGTCGCTGACTCCAGATACCGGATACTTACCGCTTTTCGAGTGATCGTTAGCTCCTATGCGACGACTAACACGTGGTTTCGGTGTGCCTACCGCTCGGGTACGGCTGCGTGTACTGTATGTGTACGGCATGACGGTTGATACGATGTTATCGATGACTGTCGTGACGTTGAGTTATTTTACCGACTGCGCCAGAATGTCGGCCAGTTAGCCGACAATTGCGTAATAAAAACGAAACGATTAATAAAATTAATGTTTATTTTAATATTACACAAAAACGATTGATTTATAATAACTGAAAAATACGATACAATTACGTTATCTTATATACGATATATTAGTGTCGATTAAAGTGCATAACTGTCGACATCTGGTCGACAATATTATAACTTAATCAAATTCAGTTATTAGATAAAACTAATTTTTAAATTAAAATTTCGATAATATTTAAATAATTAAAAGAATAATTATTTATATTTTAAGTAGAGTATGATTTTAAGTAAAAATAATAATATTAATAATGAAAATACTAGATTAATTATTTCTAGTCATTATTAATGCAAGACTATTTTTTATTTTCAAATTTAAGTTAAAATTTAATAAATTTGTAAATAGAAAATTTCCCTAAAATAAGGAAATTTATTGTAAATATTTTTTTATTTTCTTGGGAATTTTATCCCATTTAAGAATTTTTAAGGAATTTCTCATGACAAAAAATGTCGTTAAAAATGCAATAAAAGTCAACACTTACCCATTCCACCCAAGATTTTTATCAGTTTACCCCCAGTACCCCATAGACCAAAAATATTCGCGCAACCCTGTAATTAATATACTGTATATATATATATAGTATATGTCGCATTATTTAGTTAATATCTAATTTTCATTTTTGTTAATTAATTAATTAATTATTAATAATTATTTTGTTATCAATACAGTATAGTAATTATAGTATTAAAGCATTTTATAAATTAAACAAAATAGATAATATATCAAATAAAATATAAAAATTATATTTAAAATGTAATTAATAATAATTTTCTATTTTATAATATTAATAGAAATATAACAATTTCTAAAAAATACTAAAAAATATTGCAATAACATTAGTTTATTATTATTATTAGAGTAAATCTATCATATATATATATATATATATATATATATATAAATAAAATTTATTAACTGTTAAATAGAATTTCATAATAATGTGTTTAATTATTATTATATAATTTATTTTTTTAAATTAATAATAATATTTTACTTAAAAAACGCTTTTCAATTAAATAATTTGTTGTTGAGTATTTTATATAATTAATATATTTTGAAAATGTTTTGGTATTATTGAAAAATTATTCTATATTTCTGAATAAATTATTATGATATTTGAAATTTCATTTTTGTCATTTAAATCAATCAAATTTATATTAATTGTAATTTCAAGTAATTATTTAACAACAAAATATTTAGCACAATTATACATACCATATAATAGTATTATATTTAAAAAAGATTATTTTTACTTTATTTTACATTTATTTAATATATTTTTTAAATTTAAAAGCAATTTTTACAACAGAATTGTTGACGTAGTTTATGAACATTAAATGAATTCTGTATTATATTAATAATAGCGTATATATTGTACAATACATTAGTTTATATGTTATATATATCATATATGTAATCGATTCTGTAATTTAAAAATATAAATAAAACAAGTGAAGCAATAATTTGTTAATTTACTGAATGTATTATTGAATGTATTATTGAATTTTTATTGAATGTTAATTTTAAAATTTTATAAAATCACTGATTTCTTTAATTTATTATTAGTACCGTTTAATTGTTAGTCATTTTTATAGTCAAAATAAATATGAATTAATTTATTTTGTATTAAATTGAAGAATCAATTTTAATAATGACTCAAACATTAGATGAATCGACTATTTTTGATGATAAATACAATTTGGATTTGTGTATCAAAACGTAAGTATTTTATTTTTATTATATAATAATATTTATAAATTGATTATGCATCATATTATAATATATTTGACAATAAAGATAATAAATATATTATAATAATATAAAAACTTGTAAATAAAATAAATGTTTGTCATAAATAGTGGTCGATTCAGTTGTATATACCATTGCACTGATAAATCAAAAGGTGACAAATATTTGGCCAAATTTATTGATTTAAGAAGTTTTACTATCAATGACAATGATTTTATTAATACAGGTATTTAATTTATAATACATATTATAATTGATATACAAATGCATATATTAAATAAATTATATATTGATTGACTATTTGACTATCGATTTAATTAAAGTTATTGTCGATGAATGTCAACGATTGCAGCGAATGACACACAAACAGATTGCAAACATTTATGAGACATACATATTATCGCAACAAATCGTTTGTCTCGTCTATCAATTGTAACATTTGTTTTATTATTACATTTTTATATTCAAAATATACTTTATTTTTTGTCTTACACATGATTTTTTGCTATATTATAACTTTTATATAGCATTGAAGGCAATAATTTATTAGTTGAAATTGTCAACAGAGCTAATGCTGGATATATTTACAGTGAAAATGTTATCAGGTATGGCATAAATTAGTAATATATTTACTGTATTTGAATCAATTTATGTACATTTATAGATATATTTATATTTTATATTAAAAAAAACATTTCAACTTTTTATGTGATGTATAAATATATAATTTTTATATTTTAAAGGCAAATAACATACGATTATATAAGTTTTGATTTATCTATTATTTAAAAACATTTTAAAAGTTATGAATTACTAAATATTTTATATTATTAAAATGTTATTGTATCAATTTTCAAATTTAATAAATATTTAGGATTTATTTTTACAAGAAAATAATATTTTTAAAATTCATTTAAAATACTTAAATAGTTGTAGTAACTATAGATAATTTTAAATATAATATAATTAAAGTTTTTATGTGTGGTATTATAAAATTTTTAATTTTAATATAGATTTGTTTTGATAGTGTTAAGACAAAAATAATGTTAAAAAATAGAAATTAAAATAATTATAAATGGATTGAATTAAATGTATAAATATAAAAAATATTTGAAAAATATTAACAATTTATAAAATATGATACTTTATGATAAATATCTAACTAAATATTATTAACTCTAATTAAATATATTAAATATAATCATAACAATTTTGCTATTACTCATAATTACTGTTAAATGTAATTATAAAACTTATATAAATGTCATATTTTATTGCAGTTATTATATGAACCAAATAATGGAAGCAATAGATTACTGCCATAAGTCTGACATAATTCACGGCAATATAAGGGCTGAAAACATCTTAATGTCAAACAATAAGAGTGAAGGAGTCATCAAATTATGTGGTTTTGGGAGAACTCTAATCCAGAATCACTTCAAACAAAGTTGTGTTCATTATTATGAAACAAACAATTTATTTAATTTGTTGCCAAACCCTTATATGGCGCCTGAATTACATCAACCAAATGCTGTATTTACTAAAGCTTCAGACATTTATAGCTCCGGGATCTTACTTTTGACACTTCTTTGTGGATCTTCTTTACATTTTGACCCTCAAATAGATTTCTTTTCGGTATCTAAATTATTATACAATAAAATGTAAAAATAATTTAAAGTTGTTTTTTGCAATAGATTGGAGAGAAAATATGGAACGGAATCAGTGATATCACTAAAGAATTGGTACTCAAAATGCTTAAACCAAAAGCAAACTCAAGAATTACAGCTCACGACGTCTTAAATCATAAATGGCTTTCTGTTAGTTGTCTTTCAAATGTTGTATCAAATATATAAAATATTTAATCATCAAAATTATATAAAAATTTATAATTATTTTCAATTTTTTAATAGCAAAAAGACTTATTTACTCAAAAAACACATCTTGTGTTTACAATTGAAGAAATGAGAAGATATAATACTATAAATATTCTTAAAGTATTATCATTAATATTATTATTATAATAATACTAATACTTTAATTAAAATAATTTGTAACTATGTTTTGTTTTATCAGAAAAATATATCATTTATTTGCATTACTGAAAATTGTGATCAAAATGTAATTTTTAAATTTAGAGACAAAGAACAACAAGATTTAGGTAATATTTTATTTGTTTAAATAACTTTTAATATAATAACTAAATTCAATTACAGTTGGAGTTATTGAAATTATCGATTGTTTGCATAAAATAATAAGCATTTCAAGTATGAACTCACGTCAAGATTTTATTATCAATTTAGTGTTAAACGATATTAAACTCAACAAATATCTCAATGTAAGAACATATTTATTACAATGTATTTTATAAATTAATGTATTTTGGATTTACTATTATTAAATTTTGAATAATTTATAAACTACTTAGTAATTACTTTATATAATAATTATATTTCTAAATAATAAAAGTTTTATTTAATATAATTAGATAAAGTATAATATCACTATTTGAACGTTTTATCATTTATTATACATAATATTAGATTCAATTTATACTAATTGCAAAATTAAATAAATATAATAATCATTTGAATTTTTTTAGTTATTTGATTTTGTAATGCAATCAATAAGGGAATGTAAGCATTCAATTCCAGACAACAGTGCCTTTCAGACATATGATGAGGTTTGAAATATATATAATAATATATTATAAATAATTTAAATAATTTTCATTAACATTATAACAATTGTTATTTACCGGTAATTTTTAGGTCTTGAATATACTTAAAAGTCTTCCGTTGTTGAATTCAAACAATTCAATGATTTCTGAATTAATTAATATTTTATATTTACCTCACATTCAGGTATATTTTATAAAAATTAATATTTATAAATTTAAGTTAATTATAATTGAATATTATTTTTTTTAGTCTCTTATGAGATGTGCAGATATAATATGCGAAATTTTTGTCAACAAATCTAGTGATGATTGTTTAAGTGTTGATAGTGTTAGCAATCATTGTGAAAATACAGGTATTATTACTAATGAAATGGACGCCAATGTGACACCTCTTAGGATTGTTGAGTTCCAGAAGAATGGAAGTGAGCCAATGGGTATCACTTTAAAACTCGATGAATGGGGTCGTTGTGTTGTATCCCGTGTATTGTTGGGCGGACTTATTGATAGACAAGGTATTGATTATGTGATTAACCATTTATTAACTACTACTGTATTATAAAATTATTATTAACCATACAATATAATTCAAATAACTATTTAAATCAACCAATATCTTTAACTTAATCAATAACTATCGTAATATACTATATATATATATATAAACTATCATATATTGATCTATTTAAAACAGTAATTTACTATTTGAAAATATATTTAAATTTTTAGGTACATTACATGTTGGAGATATAATCACTGAAATAAATTGCATTCCTATCTCAAATCAATCTGTTGAAAGTTTGCAAAAATTATTGGTATAATTACCGGTAATATTTATTATAATATTTGTTAACTAATTGTATTTTTATAATACAAATAGCGTGATTCCCGAGGAAATATGTTTTCGTTTAAAATCGTCCCAAACTCACGAAATCGGGCGCCTTCTTCTCAATGTGAAGTCAGACATAAATAATTGATTTAAATTAAATTTTTTTTTGTAAATAATGAAATATTTATAGAGTTATTTTAGGGCACAATTTGATTATAACCCTAAAGAAGATGATATGATTCCCAGTGAAGAGGCGGGACTGGTGTTCAATACGGGAGATATACTACAAGTCATTTGTAAAGATGATTATTATTGGTGGCAATCAAGAAAAGAAGGAGACAAAGGGTCGGCCGGTTTAATACCTTCACCTGAATTAGTTGAATGGCGAACAACACATGACTTGAAAAATAAAAATAATAAAAAATCTGAAGCAAACTGTGCTTTCTTTAGTAAAAGTAAACGAAAAGACAAAAATTGGAAAAGAAATGCATTTTTTGATTTGTTTAATACTCCGTCTTATGAAGAAGTGGTGTTTATGCAGACATATCCTCGAAAAACACTTGTTTTGTTAGGCGCTCACGGAATTGGACGAAGAAATATTAAGAACACTCTTATTAGTCATTTTCCGCACCGGTATTCATACCCTATACCTCGTATGTCTTTCATTATATATTATCAGTATATTATAGTATATTATAAAACAATATATTCAATTATTTTTATTCCTTATGTTTTAAATCGTAAAATTTTTTATAATTTTTATTTATTATTAGATTTGAATATATTCAATAGCATTGGTTGACTTAGTTTTTAATAAACAAAATATTAAAATATTAGCAAAAATAAATAATTTGTTGCAAGTTTTAGTATACTTATATTAATGAAACAATTAATTAATTAAATATTTGCAAATCAGTGAATAGTATGTAGTGATTAACTAATGAACTGACAAATAAAAGTCAGTAAAAAATGAATTGATTTATTCTATACCTTATTTTATACTATAATTAAAACTTAATATAAAATTTGATAATTAATTATATTTCTTGATCTTAATTAAGACACGACACGAAGTCCTCGAAAGGGAGAAATCAATAAAAAACATTACTTTTTTGTCACTCAGGAAGAAATGATGGAAGAAATAGTTTGTAATCAGTTTCTAGAGTATGGGTTTCATAAGGAAGCACTTTATGGTATCAAAATCGATACAATTCGTCAAATTATATACAACGGACTGACACCTATTCTAGATATTGAACCACAGGTTTAATAATAATAATAATAATAATAATATAATTACTAGTCATTGAATATTATACTTACTTTTATATTTTTAAGGCTTTAAAAATATTACGAACTCAAGAATTTGCTCCTTTTGTTGTATATATTGCGGCTCCAAATGCCATTAATATTGAAGATGTATAGCATTTAATTAATTTTTAATTAATAAATATATAATTTTCAATAACATATACTTTTTATAATAATGTTTAGAGAGACGGAAGTCTACAGCGATTAACTCGAGAGAGTCTATTACTTCAAAAACTATACAAACATTACTTTGACTTTACTATCATTAACAACGACATCGAAGAGACAGCGATACTCGTGGAGAAAGCTTTTAATCTAATCCAAGGATCGGGTCAATGGGTTCCCTGTTCTTGGGTTTACTGAAATCATAACTTAATCATTAACTTATAATATTATATTAATTAGTTAAAATTTTCTTAACTTATAATAGTGCCAAATGTATCAAATCTATACAATTTTTGTTATAAATTTTGATTTAAATTTAAAGTTTTGTCTATAATTTTACCATATAATAAAAAATATTAATATTTAAGTTTATTTATTATTACAAATATTTTAAAATTTAAATACACTTACAATTTATATGAGTTGTCAGCTAAAAGTCAAGTATTTCGTCGACATTTTTTCACATTCTTCGACACTAATACACGAATTTTTATTATATTCAATGATTATATAGATTACTAACTAACAGTTTGTCTATTTTTTTGGTTATGTTTGGGATATTTTTGAGATATTTTTGAGATTTAATCTATAGATCTAATAAAATTAATGGATATGTAATGTCGTCGTAAAAAAGTTGCTGTAAATAAAGTAATCTTACAATAATTGTAATATTAAAAATTATAAAATATATTAATTAAAAACAAACAATAAATTAATAAATAATATTTAAAATTTAAAATTACAGAAATTATATAATTTAGTTGACACACAATATTAATACTTATCATATTATTAGCGATAATGCGATTATAAGTAATGCAATGAAACTAAGTTCATATGACTCGTCATTGATGTTAAGTGTTATCATATTGTTTACAATTACTGTATAATCAATGTATTACACAATCATATGATATGTTATTGTTTTGAGTTAGTGATCACCAAATGGTAACTTCATATCATTGATTACATTATCATCAACTATGAAGACATATAAACTTAATGTCCATAAAAAAGATTTTTTTAAAGGTATGTCATTCTTGAAAGTTGACATCAATTTAATTATATGTTTTGACACACAATAGAGGATTTGGTGATTAATCAGAAAGAGTTCCCACAACTGAAGGTCGGAGATATAATTGAAATCTTCTCTCCTGACGATCACTTCAGGTATTATTTCATCATTTGTTTATATAATGGATATATTTAATGATAATTTGATGTTTAATAGTCGTCTCTTAATGAGAGTCAATGAAAAAAGTTTTGAAGAGAATACCAGAGATGGCAAAGAAAATCAAAAGATTAGTATTGAACAGACAATTGTATCGACTTTTCAATTAAGATATTATTGTGATGTCATTGTCAACAAAGTGGACAAAAAGGATGCCATTTTAGATTCAGTTGAACTCTTCTTTAAAGATCAATATATTGCAAGAAGTGATATGTGGCGACTCAAGAGACATATATCCAAGAATTGTGTTTATTTGAATCAAAAGCTCGAGTTTTGTAATATCAGGTGTCAGGTCTTTGAGATGTGGTCTCAGGGAGAGAGAGTGGCCTCGGGTTATGTTACCAATCAAACTAAAGTTGTGTTAAGATCTTCTTCATCGATGGTTTATTTGTTTCTTCAAATGAGTTCAGAGATGTGGGATTATGACATTAACGGTGATCTATACTTTGAGAAAGCTGTCAATGGATTTCTTTCGGATCTCTTTGACAAATGGAAAGTATGTATTTCATTGATATTACTCAATCAAATCAAATTAAAGTCAAATAATGTTAATGTTTTTATTGTATTCATTGCCAGCGTTTTAACTGTAGTCATGACGTGACAATTGTCATGTTTTCGCGGACCTATTTCGATGCCTACTCTATTGAGGACTTTCCAGAGTCAATGCAAGAGTGTCTTCAACAGGATTCAAAGGGACGCTTCTATGAAGATTACTATAGAGTCGCCGTTCAGAATGAAAGAATGTATGACTGGACTCAATCTCTTATTTTTCTTAGAAGACTTTTTAATCAATACGAAGAAGAAGTGATCAAATTTCATGAGAAAAAAGGTCTTCGAGTTCCTAAAGCATATAATTCCTCCTCATCTCAGGGAAACTTTCTCGAAGTTTTAAATATGTCTTTGAATGGTATGTTTCGATTAATAAGATAACAATTTATTTCTAGAAATTATTATAAATATTATATATTTTTATGTTTATTTAAACATCAAGTATTCGAAAGACATCATTTGGATCGGAGTTTCGATAGAACGGGACAGTTATCTGTTGTTATATCACCCGGAGTTGGTGTCTATGAAGTGGACTTAGACTTAACTAATATAACAAAACAACGAATTATTGATAATGGTTTGGTTTAGTTATCATTATTTCTGATATATAGAAAATTATAGATAATATCTAGTTTCTGAGTCATATTTCTATTATGTTTTAATTTAAAATATTGATAGGTATTGGAAGTGATTTAGTTTGTTTAGGGGAACAACCACTACATGCCGTCCCTTTGTTTAAGGTATTGAATGTGACAATTATATAATATAATAAAGTGAAAATAAGCATTATTATTTTTATATAGATTAACACAAAATTTAATACTCCAGCTTATGCTAATAGAAGTGATGTTCAATATAATATGCCTCATTGGATCAATTTGAGGTAATTGATTGAATTGAATGATACTAACTGTTGTTAATATACAGCATTATATATATATAAATTATATATATATTTATCAATTTAATAGTTTTTATTCGTCATCAAAATCAATAAGTTATTCAAATTTTGTGCCGAGAATTAAATTACCGAATGTTTTGTTGAAAAGCAATCATCAGACCAAAGCATCCAATCCTCATCTCTATCGGTCTCCAAGTCGAGAGTCGCCGTCTCAGCTCAAGTCGTGCCAAAACATACCATTTGTTGATTACGATGAATACGATTCACAGGTCTTCAGAATAGCATCTTCTCCACCAAATACTTCATTAAATAGTACTTATAATATGTTTACCAATTAATGGATAATTTACTAATTGTTTGATTTTGTTGTAAGAATTGTCTAATATATGTCAGCCATCGAACCGAAGGAATACTGTATTATCGGCGCAAACAAATCGACCGTCAAAAACATGTCGACGCGCTTCACAAGTATATACTTGTGATGAGATCTCCATTTGTACGACAACTCCACCAAATTCTCCCACAAAATCAGAGTCAATGGAAATACCAATTGTTTCTTCATATAGAACTGAATTAAATCATATTCACGGATATTTCACACATTTATCAACTTCTGTTGAAAATAAAAGCATTAAAGGTTTTTAACTATTTATATATACTGTATATACTGTATATACTGTATAATCATTAATTTTAATATACAGATTTAAAAAAAAATAAATATTTTTAAGTAAATTTACTTAAGTATTTATAGCATGTATTTGAGTTTAACAGTTGAGTTATTAAAAGCATTTAAAAAATATTTTATAGCATTTATAATTATCATAATACTGTGCTAACTATACATAACTACAAAAATATTGTATAAAACTGTGAAATATTAACAATATTTAGATTTCAAGAGTAAACCCGAATCTAAGGATGATTTGATGGTTCGTGGATACAGTACGAGTCAAAAGAAAGATCATCTTAAGTCAAAAGCATTAATCAATCCATTTGATCCCTCACATGTCACCATAAAACTGAATTCAAACAGAAGACGTTGGACTCATGTGTTTCCATTGGGACCGACGGGTATTTTTATGCAACAACATCACTATCAGGTTTTTGTTTGTTTTATTACCTTAATTATAATAATTAGATTATTTACTTAAAAGTCAAATATTAATATTCTTAAATGTTTAATAAATATTAGTAACACAAATCAAAATTCAATTTTTTTTGCATAACATACTTATTTTGCTATCAAACACTTTTATCTAAAAATATTGCCTTAAATTCAATTACCGTATATCTAATTTTGAGCAAAATTGACAGTAGAAATAGATAGCAAATATTTTAATTATTTGAATACTTTAATAAATTCTAACTTTTTTTTTAATTTTGAGTACAATGTTATGTTATCTCTGACTTGACTTAGATTGTAATATTTGAAACTATCAATAATTGTTAATATTATTATTTCATTTTTACCGAACATATGATTAATCATTTTTGTTGTCCCAATCAAACACATTGACTGTTAGGAAATTGATATGAAATGATTGTATTACTTAAGACCGTTAGGTTTATTAATGAGTTATATGTTGATAGGCTGTCCCCCAGAACCAGGCCTGTACTCTATTGCCATCAGCCGCTTGCGCTGATACTTCACTTATGATGAGTGATTCCAAAGATATGACAGATGGACAGTCTTGTCGTAAGATATCAACCGTTCAAATGAAATCATCAGAGTATACGTGGAATACATTGGATAAAAAGTCAACGCTTAAGACTCTTACAAATAATTCAAATTTGAATGAAAGTTACAAAACATCAAAAAGTTCACAAATAAGGACCACTTCTATCGGATTGAGTAATGAGTTGTTTAAAAACTTATCATCAATTCATTCGGATAGAAGTTTATTGTGGGCGTGGGGTGCGACCGGTGAACAGGAGTGGACGCCCGCTATTATTACAGGAGTAGATTGGAAGTCATTAGTAATGCCCGCTTGTCTTCCAATAACCACTGATTTTTTACCCGACAAACGGACACTACAACAGGATTATGTCACTTATTGTTACAATTTATTACCTGAAGAGCAAAGTGAACATCGATTACAACAACGCTGTTATCGTGGAGAAGAAGATACCAAATATCATCAGCCATTGACTACAATTCAAGTATATTTAGAGCTCGTTTGCCAGCGACTACAACAAGGATTTCAAATAATTTTATTACCGAATTCAACAAAATCTGATAAATCAAAATTTAATAACCGTTTTGATAAATATGAATATGCATTGAGTATCGGAAGGATATTTCATGAATTAAAATTGGATGACAAGACTATATATGTGACGTGTTATCACCCGAGACATCCCTATCCTGTCATTAAAATACATTACTGCTATAGAATTAGAACTCCTGATAATGAGACTTATGGTGTTTCTTGGGTTGACTTCACCAGTGAAAAGCTGGAAAATTATAAGTGGAACTGTAGGTCAAATAATTATGAAATTATATAAAAGTGTTTATCTATTATTTATTTATTATTTGTTAGACTTAGACAACTACACGTGTCAGAAGGCCGACGAACACGAACTGAAAGAAAATCTAAAATATTGGCGCTTTCGGCTTCTTATGTTACCATCGATGCAATCCATCACTAAGACTATTATCGAAAAATATCTTTCCGGTGAAGACGAATATCCCTGTGATCTCTATCATGACTTTACAGCTGAAGAAAAAATACAATTACAGGAAGGTTTCATTAAATTTTTAGAAATCATAAATAGAATTAGACGACCAGCTAATACTCGAAGACCTATTATTAGATCAGATAACAGAAAGACAATCAACACTCAAACAACTAACAGAAGATTCAGTTCGAGTTCATTACAATCACAGACCAATCAAACTCAGACAACTCGAATGTCACAACCGCTTGATATTGCAATCAATGAGACTTTACTTCTTAAAGATAATCAAAAACTAAAGAATCTTAATATCAGTGATTGTGATGAAGTTGACGGCGGAGTTGTTTCCATTGTCACCTGTAAATCACCGATTGTTGAAACAGATTTGACGTCTAATAAAGAGTCATTTGAGAGCAACGAAATTACTAAAAGATTAAACATTCAATCAAACCATTTAGAAATTATTGAAGCCATGAAAAAGTCAAAGTAATTAATTTAAACATAATATATAACTTAATTGCATCATTCAATTAATGTAAATTTTAATTATTTAGTGCTATTAATTTTCTAACGAAATGTGGAGGTTTGCCGCCGTTTACTTTTATTAGCGCCGAAGCTGTGTTTTGGGCCAAAGATAACATCGAAAATGTCTTAACGGAAGGCATTGCTATTTCATTGTTTCAATCACTGATAGAGTCGGGTCTTATTTATCACTCTTCTGGAGATAAGAAACAACACTTCAAATATGGTTTTTATTTGTATTGTTTGTCGGATGCAAACAGTGAAAAGTCATTGTTTGTTAATGAATGTGATATTCATATGTTTGAAAAGGAATATATGGAAGTATCAATAGTACCTCAAAGTAATATCGCTAAAAATTTTGAGCACTGGTACTCTAATACAACTGAGCTCTCGAACAATAGTCTTTCACCTGAAGTTCAAGGCATGAATTGTTTTATCAATTAGTTATAAGAATTTAATAAATATTTAATAAATATTTAAATTATTAGACTTCACATTCAAGAATACAGTGTTAGATTTGGACGATGGGTCTAAAAATGGTAGAGTTGAATGGGTTAACATTAAATATCACAGTGTATATGATCCGGAACAGGCATTTGAAATGATTATAGAGTGGATGGTGTCAACTGGAAACTCCATTTCCGAGATTGTCATGGGTTGGAGCCGTAAAGCTTCATCAACTGGTCTTCATTTAGGTTTTGCATTTTATCTTATCTTTATTACACAAAATCTAATTACCGGTAATAGTATTTAATAATTAATTGATTCAATTGACAAATTCAGTTCCAATACCTGCCGATCCGTTTGCACTTCCATTTTCAAGTAAATCCGATCCATTAAGAGGTCCTATTTATATTACACTAAATCTTGACACTCTACCAAAAATGGCAACTAAACTGCTTGAAGGTTATTTGATTTTTTTTTGTAATACACTTATAAGTACTCAATTATCTTAATTATATAATTATTATTAAATTTATTCAATTTAGGCGAAGGATTGTTTAATTTTCAGGAAAGGATTTTAGTTAAGTTTGGTTTCATCCCATTTCATGACCCGAGCACTGATAATCAAAGACAGTTTGTTCACGTGAGTGGAAGTATTTTTGTGATGATTCCCAGCAAAAACCCGGCCTCAAGTCCATACAAAAGTGTTAGAAAAAGAGGCAAATTTGTAAAGGTTTGGCATTTAATTATATAAATTAAATGATTACTTAAAACAAATCTATTAATGAAAGGTTGACAACAATGACATGGCTTGCAGTCCACATGAGGAGTATATAACCCGTCACTTCAGTGGTGTTAAACAAGCGGGAGAGTCGGCACATATTGAAACAAAAGTATATGACTTATATAATGACAAATGTTTTTAATTTAATAATTATTTGTTTGATATATAAGATTGGATTTCTTTGGTGTTGGAATTATATGATAACCAAGAGATGGAAAACTGGTGTTACGGGCGATGAGAACTCTATGCGTAAAATAATGCAAGACTTTTGTGCATTTTGTTCAAATAAAAATCAAAGACTCAATCAGTTTTGGGAAAATTATTACACTAAAGAAAACGACAATATTGTTAATTTCAACAATTAATTCATTTTTTTTATTAATCTTTAATTTTCAATTTGACTTTTTCATATTTTTATATCTTTATTTAAACTACCTGTACATCATTGACAAAATTTTTAAATAATATATTATATGATAGCATTTTAGACCAAAAATAAATTAATGCGGATATATGTTATATAAACAAATATTTAATTAATAAATGCATTTGTTAATTTTAAGTAAATTAATTATATAATAGAGATCAATTATTGTTGAGCTAATTAAAAAAAATATTTTAAAAATTGGTAATACAAATATTTAAATAAAAGATTACAATAGAAATCTATATATTAAACTATATTTATATATAAATTATTTAAATGTTATTAAAAAAATTATAAATAGATAAACTTTTAATTTGTAATTATATGATCGAAAGCTGCATTTAATAGCTAGTGATTTGATTTAAATATGATATAAATGTGAGTATTAATTGTGGGGTAAATACATCTCAAGTACAGCTTAAGCATGAGTTATGTAAAGATTAGTTATAATTATAAATTTATGATAAATTAACATAAATTACTACAATAAATGTTTTTAATGATATCAATTAGAAATTATATCACTGGAAACATATTTATAAAAATTAAATTTATAGATTTTGTAACAAATTATATCAATATTTAGAACTAAAGTGTACAATAAAATATTATATGATTGTCATAATTAAAATAATTTATAAATAAAAAGCATTAGTTTTATTAATTATATTTTAAATAGATTTGACAATTAAGAGTAATAAAAAAATTAAACAAAATAATAAACAAAAGTCAAATATTTAAGATTAATAATTAGTTTGTTAAAAAAAAGTTTTGGCAAAAGTTTTTAAAAAATTAAATAAACATTTCATTAAAAAAACTCACAACAAATAACAATTTAAAAAACCTGAAGTATCTATAATTTATAATAATTATATAATTGAGTTTCTAAAGTCAGAAACCACTTATAAATATTTAGAATAAATTAGTAATTATAACATAAAAGTCGCATATTTAACGTTAATAATAAAATAAATAAATAATTTATTTAATAAATAAAATTAAATTGATTTCAATTAATTTTTATAGTATTTAATTTATGAAAGTTTTGAATGAAACTATTAGTGAAAATATTTGAAATCAAGTGATAGATTAAAAATGTTTTACATTTGTTTAATGATTAGTACTATTTTTGATACGAGTCATGAGTTTATAAGTGGTTTCAGACTTTAAGCACTCAATTATTGCATTAAAAATAAATGCAAATTTGGATTTTAACTGTTTGTATAATACTAGTACAGTAATTGCAAATTTTAATAAATCTTATTTCAGACATAATTAACAAAAAATATATGCTTTCAAAATAAAAAAATTACTACACTATGATGTAAATTATATAAATATGAATTGAATTAATTTAATTTAATTTATACAAACATGTAATATTTATTAACTACTATTTTTTAAATAATAACCGCCATTAAACAAAATAGTCTTAAATTTTAAGAATATTTTTTAATTATTGACATTTAGCAAGATTTACTTTATATATATTAATAAACTAATTACAAGTAGTTAGTACTATAATAACTTTTAAAAATAAATAAAATTATAATTTTTTAATTATTTCCATAAAATTTTATGAAATATGTAATCTTTTTGATTTAATTTAGTATTTTAATATAAATGTTACTAAATTAAAGATATATTTTGAAATTATATGATAAAAATCAAGTAATTACAAAATAGCATATAAAAAATAATTTTTAAATAATTTTAACTGTAATATCAAATACTTATATACTGTAATATTTAACTGTATTTTATTTGTATTATCATTAAATATTAGTATAATTTGTTTGTCGGTTTTATTAGCTATTATGTCTGACTGACGGTTATTTAAAAATAGCAAACAGTGTTAATAATAAATTTTAATCAATGATAACTTTATCATCATCTTTATAATGGATATTTCAAATTACATTCAAATGTATAATATTGACAATTTATCACTAAGTTTGTATAATTATAACTTATAATTTACTATTTAAATTTAAGCATTAAATAATATTATATACTAATACATAAATAACATAAAATGATTGATATTTTTTAAATACAATTTAAATTTGTACTAATGTACTCATTATATTTTAACTACTCAGTATATAAAATTTATAGTTTATAATATTAACTTAAATTGTTTTACCGGTAATTAAAAACTTATTACATAAAACTTAAAAATAATTAATATAATTATTACTTATAATTATAAATTTTGGTGTTAATCTGCAAACATTAATTCAAAATAAAAATTATAACAAAATAATATAATTGAGATTTTTTAAGTGTTGAGTTATTTATTACTAAATAATTTTTTAATGTTTTATAGAGGAAATATATTTATAATGAAATAATTTGGAAGATAATATAGTTTGATTTAAAATAAAAAAATTAAGAGCACTTCAAGCAAACATAAATAGTAAATAAAGTCAAAGTATTTGATACCTCAAACATATCTGTCAATTGAGTGAAATCACAACTTTACCCAACATTTGGTTTATATCAGTATTTATATATACAGTATATTATTTATAGATGCACTCCTACTATGTTTATGTAAATAATATGCAGTCATCATATATAAGTATATTATGTGGTTATACAGTATTACTAATGATAGTTAAGGTCTGGAAAATGGTTTAATCAGAAACATCTTATCTCCCTTAGGACTGGTATAAATGGGTGCCTTCTTATAGTGTTCAATAAGTTCATCCAAAGATGCAAACCTTCTTTGACCGATACAATAGACGCCGTCGTCGTAATGAACTCTAAAGTGTTTATTCCTTAGCGGAGATTTCAATGAAACTGAATAATCGCCGGCCTATCAATTGAGACAAAAGTCTATTATATTAACTAACAATTATTGTTTTAATTAAATAATAATTAATTAAGATATTATCATTTAATTAGTCTTAAATTTCTTATAATATATAAATTATCAAAACATTAGTACAATAATTACTATAATTAGTCTACTTTTTATTTGTCGTTTATATTACCGGTAATAGAAAAAATTAATTATTAATATCTTATATAATAACTTACATTAGTTTCACTGTCTCTGATAAGAAAATCTCCGTCTAATGCCAATTCATTAAGCATGCGATCGCACTGTCCTCTGGAAATGGCCCCATAATACCAGATGCGGTCATTAATATCAGATTTACAGTCTAATGGCATCTGAGTTCTTGTGTTCATTAATGGAGAATTCATAGCTGTATTAACTTTTGGTAATTCTTTCTGAATAGATGTCAAACTAAATGAATTGAAGTTATCGTTGACAGTGTCGGTCACCACTTGGACATAGTTTTTAGGCACGAGTCCGACCTCTCCGTGTTGATTGCGGGCTTTCCACCAGTCGGGGTCATTCACTGGTCTCTCTATTATCTCAAGTCTCTCACTCTTTTGAAAACTGAGTTCCTCTTCATTTTGTGACTCAAATGAATACAAGGCAATGACATAATCGAGAACACAGTTCTTATTTATGGATGAGTTGTTGCCGTTATTAGTCATCATTGAAACACAATTTCGGTTACTTTCACTACTTATATCATTAACTAATTTTGCATTTTTAGTAATCATATTGTTTTGATCCAAACAATTATTTGTTAAATCAGATGTTTCTTCGCAGACATAATTAGAAGGAAACCAACCGATGGAACCGTTAAGCTCTCCCTTCCACCAGCCGTCTGATGACTTCTCCATAACAATCACTTTAGCGCCTTTGACTAGAGATAACTCATCTGATTGTTGCGATTCATAATTGTATTTAGCATAAGCAACACTCTTGTGGTAATCAGTACTCGATGTCGAGCCCTCACAAACAACATTTCTTTTATTGGCACTCGTGTCGGGTCGCGGAAGACTGCAATTCGGTGACGAAGTTATGTTTATGTCAACAGCTTTAGTGGCCATCGGAGATGAAAGAGGACTGTTGTGGCGGTTCGAGTGAGAGTCAGTCTTCTTCCTTACTTTTTTACGAATGCTGTCAAATATCGATGGCTTTTCTTTTTTGACATAATTTGATGGAACAAATCCCGATTGATTTCTTGTATTCACTACTTTCCACCAATGCTTACTGTCATCCAGTAATACTAACCTTTCATTCTTCCTCAGATCTAACTCTTGTGATCCCTGAGCCGTATAATCATATTTTGCAATAACTATAACTTCTTCAGATGACTTGCCTAAAGAAGTATTAATGTAATGAAGACAACAATCATTATATATATATATATATATATCTCACCTGATTTTTGATGGGACATCACAACTGAATTGTCATAAACAGTGTCCAAACAATGAATTGAATCACTTAATAGTCATAATAATCAGTCAAATCAATGACAAACGCAATCATTTGAAACATTAATTTGTTTGCCATTTGTTTGTCATAAAGTCATAAACCTATTGACACTATCACTGAGTCTATGCTTTCATTCACTTATAATATACACTCAATCGCTCACTCACTCAATGACTCACTCTATGAGTAAAACATTACATTCATTGACTCAAACTTTAGTAATACATTCAATGAATGACAATCTATTGGTTAGTAATTCTGTCGTTATTTATGATTAATACGAGTAAACAGTATTATTATATAATCATTACTCAATAAAATAGGATTTTAATATTATATACATTTTTATGATAATTGAAAATAAAAATTTGAAAACTAATTTATTAACTAATATTATTATTACAAATTCCAAGTTAATTATCTAATAAAATAACTAAACTAACTAAAAATCTATTTATCATTTATTATTTAAAGTTAAAATGTAGTAATTGATTAAAATCATGAAAATCTAATTAGGATTTATATTTTTAAAATGTTGTCTTTTAAATTATTATATTTATAATTTCATTTCCAATGTTATTAAAATTAGTTAGTTAAATTTTTATTTGTAAAATTATTATCTAAAATATATTATTAAAAATACAGTATATATAATATATGATATTAAATCTTAACTAACTCATAATATTGTATATATTTTATATTTCAGGCAATAATAATTGTTAATAATAATAATCAAATAAAAGCCGTAAAAGACTATGATTTTCCTATTTTATGGAGATATTGCTTATTATCAATAATATTGCAATACTTACAGAGAGTATTACTTTAAATGTATTTAAATGTATTTAAATGTATTTAATGTCAATAACTGATCAAATGTTTGTTATTGTCATCAATGATGACATCGATGGCCAACCATTGTCTACCACTTCTTGCCGTTGCATTGATTGCTAATTATTTGATATATGATTTGTTTGACAAAAGTTTGTATACTTTTATTATTGATATCATATATTATTATACATATGTCTATGTATTGAGACATTTATTTGTATACAATATAATAATATTTTATTTAAATATCATATGATATATATTTGTATAGTTTAGTCAAAATAATGTTAATATTGTACTTAATTTGCTTTACTGTATATAAAAAATAATAATAAATATGTATTTCTAGATATTGTCGGAAGTTATGGATTGACGGCTAATCTTATAGTCAATTATGTAGTATTTAATGTAATATTACATGAAATTAATAATCTGTTGATAAGTCTATCGGTGACATCACTAAGCTTTGCATACCTAAGCGCTTATATGTTTTCAATTGGTAATTGATTAATGTTGTATCAAATTTATTGAATGACTTATTATTTAATCAATTTTAGACGATATCATATTATTAACTTTTTTGGCGTTTATTTCAAATTATTGCTATTATATAACTATATATAAAATACCAACATATCTGAGATCAAGTTTTTCAACGGGCGAACTGTTGATTGTAGGCCAGGCATCGGTTGCATACCTGTCCACTTCGGGTGCTTGTCTTATCACAAAATTATTAAAGCCATCAAAATGTCATTTATTTTGTTCACCAAATACTTCAAATCTAATATTACAAGTACTCTATGTTTTATTAATATATTTATAATGATTTATTTTTAATTGACAATATATTACACAAAATATTGTGTAAGTGATTGAAACTGATATAAACTTAAATGATTTTCAGACACTTTTTGTTGGCATTTCTTTCATCGTTTTAATACAAATGACTATAACTTATAAATTAAGAGAAAAATATAAATGGTTACCATTGATGACCATTGGTTTACTTATCTATATTACATATCAAGTTTTGTATTATGTTTTAAATATTAATCCCATTATATGGTTATTACAATTCATTAATTATAATCAAAATAGAGTGAGTTATTACTAATTTGCATTGTTTTTATAATTACCGTAAATTTATTAAACAATTTATTTCAAAATATAAACAAACCATTGATGATATCAATTATTAATTGAAAAAGTTATTGCAGTGATTTTAACAATTATTTAATTATATTTACATAAATTATTAATTAATTTATATATAAATTAACAGTACTTATACTGTTAATTATTACGATAAATATTTACTTAGTTAAAATAAATAGTAGTAAATAATACTTTTAAATTAAATATAATATAAATTAATGAATAATTAAAAGATTGAATATATTTGTACAGTATATACTTAATTGAATGATTGAATTGAATTTTTATTTTAATACCGTAATTGTTTTTTATAGACAGATTTAATTTGACTAAATTAATTAAATTAAAATATAATGGTTTGAATAACTTTGAAATAAATATGTGAAATATTATATTTGGGATATAGTATAATATTATAAATATTTTTATTAAAGGTTAATATCATAACAATTTGGATGGTTATTACATGTTTGACACTATTATTTGTAACAATTTATTCATTAAAAGTGTCATCAAAAGCATCGCCAATAACTCGAAAATTTTTTCATATAATAATATCAATAATTTATTTAATTGGTGCCAAAAATGATTTAATATTTTTGTGTTTTTCATCGGCCGCTATACTTGCGATATTCATTATGACTGAAGTAAGTATTGACTATAAATAATAGCATTTTTTTAACAATTTTAATCATTAGGTGATCCGTGTGTCAAAAGTTGAGCCCTTATGGCGACCAATAGAGTCGGTGTTAGACAAGTTTAGAGACGACAAAGACCGGGGAGTGTTGACTCTAACGCACATATATTTACTCATTGGTTCTTCAATTCCTCTTTGGCTAAACCTTACAAATGATGTGACTATTGCATCTCTTTCTGGTATAATAAGTGTTGGGTTGGGAGACACTGGAGCTGCTGTCGGCGGTTCACTCTTTGGTAGACATCGATGGACTCGTCAGTCATCGAAAACATATGAGGGAACTGTTTGTGGTTTTATTACACAATTGGTTAGCTCTCTATTTATTATTCAATATATATCACCAAATGTTTTAATAGATATCTTATTATTTTATAAATTAATATTTATATCTATTATATCATCTTTGATAGAAACTAAAGTAACTGAAATTGATAATTTAGTTTTGCCAATTTATAATTATATATTATATACTATTATTATTTAGTTATTAAAATATTTTAAATTATTATAAATAATTTATTAATACTAATATTAGTTAAGATATGTTATAAATTAAAATAAATAAAACATTTATTGTAAATTTATTTTGTAATTTATTTTGTAATTTATTTTGTAATTTATTTTATAATTGAAAATTAGCGCCACTTTAACACGTGATACATGTTTTGCAATTTATGTGATTTATTCACACATTTAGTGATAATTGATAGACAAATGCAAACCCTTTAAATGAAATTAAGTGTTGAAATGATATGATTTGTGTACGTTATATATGAGTGTGAAATATGCGACAATTGCCGGCATTGTGTGTATTGTGTGTTGTGTTTCGTTATCACTGATTGTTTGATACATTGATTTGCATTTAATTAACTGATTTGACAATAATTAGTGACAAATGAGTCAAATATCGTTAAGAGATGTCAACAAATGTGTGTCTGAATCAAAATCAAAGACAAAGAGTGATTTGGAGGTAAATATAGTATATTTTGTTTGATTTATTGATGATTTAAATTGTATTAAATTTAAGCGATGTTTACGAGGACTTAATTTCGGTAAACTATATCTGAAGAACAATGATTTGGACACAGCTTTAAAGTAATTGATATTTATTAGTGTTTGTCATATGAATTGTCATTATTTGTTTGATTGTATTATTTGTATAGATATGCCAACTCTTATTTGAGTGTACGGCCCAACTCTAGTGAAGGACACAAACTATTGGCACAAATCTTTGAGGCCATCGGTGACAATGAAAAGGCACTCATCAACTATAGGAAAGCTTTAGATCTTAAGAAAAATGCTGATAATTATCTACCAATGAATCACTTGACTGCCAATGATTCTTCAATAGTGGTTATTTCAATTTTTTATTTTTTAAATTAATAGCAAATTAAATATTTATATTTTTTATTATTTAGATAAACAACAAAAGTGTTGACAACTATTTCAATACTAGTGTTACGACCACTCCTGAGAAGAGACAAAATGAATCAAATGGTCACTCGTGTGGTGTTTGTACCAATCAATCACTTCTCAATCAAATGGCTAAACAACACGAATCACTCATTGAATCAAATAAACTGCTTATGAATTTATTACAACAAAATGAAAACAAAGTCAATGATATTCAAGTAATGAACACACTTTTGATAATAAGTTTTATTTATAATATTATATATATATATATAACAGAAACAATTGGTCGGAATAAATGAAGTGATAATAAAATTGACAGATTCCCAAAATTCATTGAAAGATACTATTTATGAATACATGATTCAAGAAAACAATGAAAACGATGACGAATATGATGACTATATATCAGGTTTACATTAATTTAATTATCAATTAAGACTTTATTTTTTTAATCTTAAATGAATATTTAGATAAAGAGAATGAAGTAATAGATTCGAGTTCTTTGTTGACATCAAATACCAGTCAAATGGCAGATCAATGGCAAAGTCCTTCATTTACTTTAAACTCAAGTTCTAATAATAATAAGCCACTATCAGAGTTGTTCAAACCAGCAACTGATTCGTGGCAATGCGAGGCATGTTATGTCCAAAACAATGGCTCTTCTATTAAATGTATTTCATGTGAAACACTTAAACCCGGATCTACTTTACCTAAATCAACGCCAGAGCTTAAGACTAATGTATTTCAGTTACCGAATGCACAGACTTTTGCATTCAAGCCTTCATTCACAAGCAGTACTACAAATACTTTTAAATTTATGGATTCAAGTGTGAGTTCAGTTAATCCAATCCAATCATCCAATACTACATTATTTTCTAATTTTTCATTTGGAAATACCACACAAACAATAAGTACCGGTAATTCAAATTTTCCGTTTCAATTATCCAATACTTTTGGTCAACAAAATACTTTGAAAGATAATAATACTGTTTCATCGAATTTAAATGATAACAAACCCGATTCGTTTGGGTTTAGTTTGAGTCCTAGTTTTAGCTTTAAGTTAACTAATGCTCAAAAAGATGACAAAATTGAGAATCAAATGACACCAGTCGTTAATGAAGAAGATAATAGCTATTCAGAGGTGGAGCCATCAAATGCTGATAATATATATTTCCAACCCGTTGTACCACTTCCTCCAAAAGTTGATATCAAAACTGGAGAAGAAGATGAAAATATTCTTTATACGAGTCGTACTAAACTGTTTTGTTTTTGTGATAATGAATGGAAAGAGCGTGGAATCGGAGACATAAAGATTTTGCAGAAAAAACAATTGAATGGAATTAGACTTCTTATGAGACGCGATACTGTTCTTAAGGTTTGTCTCAATCAATCCATTAATAAAGAGATGGAATTTGATTTAAAAAGTGATAAGAAATCTATTACTTGGACTGCTATTGATTATAGTGAAGAGACACCAAATCCTCAATTATTTTTATTACGTTTTAAAAATTCTGAAATTACTGAACAGTTTCTTCAGGCATTCAAAAATGCAAAGACATTGCTTAGCCATTCAATATCTAGTGATAACAAATCTATCAATAATTTCAATCATAATGAAAATGTTAAACAGTTAACCGTTAATAACTTGTCGGACAGTCAATTATCACAAAACAAAGACATTGAAATTATTTATATACGAAAACCTCAAAATGCAGAGATTATAAGGAAAGTTAATGAATTGAAACTTCCGATTAATTTTTATGATTACGAAAATCTTGCCGATTGTCCGGGTTGTAGAGGTTGTCGAGATAATGATACTTTGAGTGAAACCAGATCTAAACAAATTAATGATCTAAAGTTTGATGGCTTACAATTGACTTCAGACAGTAAGTATTACCGTAATATTAAAATATTATTAAGTTTATACATATAATCATAATTTTGTTTATATTTAGATCTCTTTAGTTCAACACTTTCTTCGACTAATGTTATTCCAACCGATTGGAAGATCTGTAGTCCTCAGCAACAAACGTGGATCACATCAACTCCTGTCCCTCTCTTCTCAAATAATGATATTAATGCTGAGGATAACGGTATTAGTAAACAATTATTTTATTTATTGTGTTTTTCACTTATCATACTTTTATCCGTAAATGTGTAGAAGTGGCTAACAATCCGGATATTTATTTTAAACCAATAATTCCTTTGCCTGATTTGGTCGAAGTTCAGACTGGAGAAGAAGATGAAGAGCAAATTTATTGTCAAAGAGCTAAACTCTATCGATTTGATCCAAATCTTAAAGAATGGAAAGAACGAGGAATTGGTGACTTAAAGATATTAAAACATAATACTAAAAGTATGTTTTTATTTTGATTAAACTATTTATATATTATAAGAAATTATTTATTTACAGATCGATATCGAATTATTCTTAGAAGAGATCAAATTCTTAAGATTGCGTGTAATCATTACATTACAGCGGATATGACATTAAAGCCAATGAATACAAGTGAAACATCAATGTGTTGGTATGCCATGGATTATAGTGATGGTCAACCTGAACAACACCAGTTTGCAATCAAACTTAAAGTATGTTTCATTTATTTTGTTTATAATTTTTTTAAAAAAAAATAATTTATTTTAGAACAAAGAGTTAATCACACAATTCGTTAAAGTATTTAATGAATGCAAAAATAATTTGCAAAATGATGGGACAGTTAGCTTTAGCTCAGACAATGAAAACAATACTACTGCTGAAGATTAATGCGATTCAAGTTTTTACGGATTGTTTGATATTTCAATTGATTTTTGTTTTCAATTTTAATTTTGTATAATCATATATTAGGTAATAAAAATTAAAATATTTTCATTTTGTAAATCTAATACAATAATACAAATAAATTGTTTTAAAGTAAGTTTTTAATTATACTAAAACTTATAATATTAAGTGATTACTATAAAAATTAATATAAGTACTTATCAGATGTTATTATCGGTAATATTACGGATAAAACTTATTATTAATGAGTTAAACAAAATTACTGTAAAATTGATGACAATTCAGTTGTAATGGTTAAACATCTTATTATTTATAAATATATTAAATATTACTGAAATGTCAATAATTTTAATAAATATGATATAAATATAGAGATGAATGCCTGCCCTCGAAATGCCGAAATAGATGCCATAAATGTCTGCCATTTTAAATTACTAATAAGCAATTGTATTTATAAAAATAATGTAATTTAGTGTTTTTAGCGAATTAATTAAATTTATAATTTATATACTTATTTCTAAGGATATTAACTTTTAATTAAACATACAAAACAAATATATTGATAAAACAATGTTTTATAAATTAATCAATAATATAAAATTAAAATAATAAGTGTTACCACCTTATAATACATGGCAAATGTAGGTCAGGCATTTGGCAAAATTGGCATATATTGTTAATGACTACCAATTTTAAATCCCTGGTTACAACCAATCTATATCTACATAATTAATATTAATATACTTTACTGTATTAATGTCTATAATATACACTACAGTAGTGACAACTAGTGAGTAAAGACTGTATATTTAATATATGATTCATTCAATTGATTTGACACACATTTACAGTGTATTGTATTGTATTACTCATTGATGTAACGCATGCGTCGACTCACTTAACCTCAGCTGTTGTCAGGTTTAGAGTGACAACACTTACAACACTTTGAGTGCCATTGAGTGCAACAAAGGATTGAAGAGTTAACTAATTTGTTGATTAATTGGGGCATCAATTGAGTGATAGTTTTGGTGATAGTTGTGGTGTGAGTTTGGTTTGGCCACAAACAGACATGTCGTCGGCAATCGGTGCCTGTTGTGGCACAAAGAAGCAAAAGATCAATAATAATTGTAATGACTTGAAGCCAAACCATCACCACAATGGCTATAATGGTATCTGTAATGGTATTGATGGTACAGATGACCGAAATGCCGATTCAATGGTCAAGATGTCTGTGGCCAAGCAAATGATTGTCACCAATGAAATGTGTTTCTTTTGTTTTGATGTCCTCTCCTCACACCTCAATCATACGGAACCACCGAAGATACCCAACTTTCCCAATGAATGCCAGTAAGTAATCCAAACATTAATGCCATGAATTGTAAACTAAATTAAACTAAATTTTAAGTTTTTGATTAATATATGATTTAATATTTAATCCGTAGTCCACTGTTCGTCACGTGGAAGATAGGAAGGGATAGACGTCTTAGAGGATGTATCGGCACTTTCAATGCTATGAACCTTCATATAGGACTTCGTGAATATGCTATGACCAGGTTTGACATGTTTGTCCATCAATGTACTCATCATTGATATACACATTATCTGATATATCATATTTGAAATAGCAATACATGTCTACTAACTATCATATGATTGATATATATCTGTTTAGTACAGTTTATTAGTATTAATTAATAACTACTTATAGTGTAAAAAATCTATTTATTGTTCTTTAATCTGAAAATATATGGGAATGAGTTTTAACATTCATTTAAAGTTTATTATTGTTAAACACTTAAAGCGCACTAAAGGACAGTCGGTTCAGTCCGATAACTCGGGATGAGTTGCCTCGCCTATACGTTTCGGTATCAATTTTGCGTCATTTCGAGGACGCAAACAATTACAACGATTGGCAAATCGGTGTTCACGGCATTCGCATTGAATTTGTTACCGAAAAGGGCTCCAAACGTACGGCCACTTATTTGCCCGAAGTAGCGCCTGAACAGGGTTTGTATCATTTGAAGTCAAATCATTTATTACTTGCATTTTGTAATATTTTGTTTAACAATTATCATAGGTTGGGATCACATTCAGACTATAGATTCATTACTACGAAAGGGTGGCTATAAGGGTGTCATCGATAACGATGTTAGGCTTTCTATACGACTGACCCGATATCAGAGCGAAAAGATATCAGTCAGTTATCAGGAGTATAGAGACTATTATACTAACAAACGTTGTTAACAACGATTTTGCTTTAGTTTTATAACTAAAGCAAATTATTTTACACTAAATGAATATAAATTACTGTAAAACTTATATTTAGCGCTCTTTTCATATACTAAGCGCTCATTGGCTGAAACTAAGCATTGAGTTCACCCATTGATGTATTGTCTAACAAAATGGTTGTTACGATCGACTCTTGAGTTTATTTACATATTATTATTATTATAACTATTATATGATTAACCCATTTATTATTATTATTATAATTATATTATACTATAATTATTATTATTACTATTGTTTTTATATAAAACTATGTTATTAATAGTAAATGTATTGTTTGATTGATCCATTGATTTACTCGAAATGATTTAAATCAACATTTAAGATATGATATGATATTAAAAATGTCTTATTTATTGATGAGATAATAAATATAATAATTATTATAATTAAAACAATGATTATATTTGATAATAATATGTCAATAAAGTGATTGACAAACTATTTAAGTGATGCCATCGCCAGAAAAGAGGTCTTCATCGGCTCCGCCCGATAATCGGCACAATCGTGTTGAAGATGACAGTGCTGTCAATTATCGGAGCTCTTCAATGGATAGAAAGGCTAACAAACATCTGACGGTTGAAGTGATGTTTTTAGACGAGTCAAGCAATGCATACAAAATTACGGTTTGTTTTGATAAATGTGTTGATTGTATTGAATATCAAATTGAATGACCAATTGATTGATAAATAGCACAAATCAATGGCCAGATCGTTGTTCAATGAGGTCTGTGAGACATTGAATCTAATAGAAGTGGATTACTTCGGTATCGAGTATTTGGACTCAAAGGGAACCCGGGTTTGCATTTGAATGAAGACATGAATCAATTGTGTAATTAATGGTTAATCTTTTATTTGCAATAGTATTGGTTAGATTTGGAAAAACCGATGTGTCGTCAGTTATCCCTACCATTGTCTACAGTAAGAGTAGTGATGTATTTTGCGGTCAAATTCTATGCGCCCGACCCGTCGCGACTGGAAGACGAGCTGACGCGGTCTGACATTAATTTAGACTCTAATGCATGCAAACTATGATTAAATCAATTGTTTGGCCACTTATTAGCCGACGCTTATGTTTTGTGCTATCGATAGATATCTTTTCAGTTTACAAATTAAAAGGGATTTATCTGAAGGACTCTTAGTCTGCAATGAGAACACTGCAGCTCTTATGGCATCTTATATAATACAATGTATGTATAATAATATACAAACATTTTATCGTTTAATTTACTTATAATATTTGATAACTTTAGCCGAAATCGGTGATTACAATTCAGACGAATATATCGATCATCTTTATGTCTCACGATTTAAACTGATCCCACATCAAGACGAAGAATTTGAATGGAAAGTTATGGAAAACCATAAGAAACATGTGTATGATTTATACGAATATTTTATAGACTTATATGATTTTCAATTGACCGAAAAAATGATAATAATATTTATTTGATTATTATGTTTTAGTGGTCAATCTCCAGCAGAGGCTGATTATAATTTATTAGAAACTGCAAGACGTTGTGAAATGTATGGCATAAAGTTAACTCCAGTTAAAGATCATGAAGGCGTACCATTAAATTTATCGGTCGCTCATTTGGGTGTAATTGTGTTTCAAAATCAAACAAAAGTCAACACATTTTCTTGGGCTAAGATTAGAAAATTAAGTTTTAAAAGGAAACGATTTTTTATTAAACTCCATCAAGAAGTTTGTCACTATATTAGTACAATTTGTGGATTATATTTAGTGGTAAATCAATAATTTGTTTTTTAAGGAATACTTTGGAGATGTGGTTGAGTTTCTGTTTGAGGGACGCAATGAATGTAAAAATTTTTGGAAGAAATGTATAGAACAGCACTCATTCTTCAGATGTATTGAAGTCAAGAGAGTGTCAAAACAAAAACCCAAAATTTTTAGTCGCGGCTCTTCTTTTAGGTAATTGTTTTGTTTTATCAATATTATAGATAATTACAATTAGTTTGTTTTAAATGATTTATAGATATAGTGGACGAACACAACAGCAAATTATAGAATATGTTAAACAAAATTGTGTTAAAAGACAACCATTTCAAAGGTAGTCATTGATTGTATATCTTATCTCACGATATATTTTTTAATTAAATTATTAAATATGAAAATATAGATCAAATAGTTTGAGAGCTTCTAATGTAACCAATCAAAGAAGTGAAACCGGAGACTCTTTACAACTAATAACTTCAGGTTTACCGAGCAGTTCACAAAATATGTCGTCAAACGATGCAATAAGTCAACAATTAACTGGTGATGAGAGACCCAAATCAGCTCAAGAAAGCGTTACTGATGTTTATTGTGCTAATCTTCCGGTTACGCCTCCCAGCCCTCAAAGTGAAGAGCGAGCAAACACTAGATCTTCAGGTTGGGATTCAACTCATTATATGAGTCGACACGGATTTGTTACTCCAGAGTTAATGGATAACGAAACTGACGACATATCAAATGACTCATATCTTGTCGATAGAGAATTTAAATGTCTCTCTAATAAAGTCTCGCAAAATAGTATAAATATTTTAGATAACATTAATTATGTCGATAATTATCTCATTAATTTAGACAATAATACAGATAGTAATGACAGAGATTTACAAACAAATACTGACCAACAAAATAATCAATCAAACTGTGAATCTAAATCACATGATATTGAATATGTGTTACATAAGAGAAAAGTTAGACAATTAAAAGTTAAAAAAGTTAAAAGTAATAGAAAGCGAGCCCTTTCTACACCTCGACTAAGAGGAAGGGCTAACAAAGAATTTGATTATTGCAATAAACTGTTCACACGAACCAATCGCTTCTCAGACATCTCTCCTAACAGAAAGAATATACACTTCGTTTCATTACATAGTTTGCCATCAAATGAGAGTTTCTCCTCAAGAGATGACTCACTTCAAGACACGGCTCAAAATGCTCTTTTAGATAACATTTCGTCATATTTTTTAAGAAAATCATTTTCACAGTTAATAGATATTAGTCCTCTTAAGTCACACAATAAGCAATTAATTAAACAAAATGAAGAAAACAACGAACAAAATAATTATAAATCATTGTCCGATGAAATCATTTTCTATAATTTACAAAATTATAAGTTTTTTCTCGACTCATGTTTTCAATATACTAAGCAATTGAATGTAGAAAGTGTTGTAAATAATGAAATTAATAATAGAAATTCATTGAATAATATAATTATTCAAATGAATTTAAATGATTTTTTAGCCTATAATACAAATTACTCAATTCAAACACAAAGCAATGACACAAAAATATGTGATTTACAAAACACAAGTTTACACGATCTCATAATATCTGTTTATTTGCAATCTATATTTAGCGATGAATTTTAATTAATTTTATGAACATTACTGAATACTTTGATTATTATATCTCATTATAGTATTTCAATAAGTTTTTAATATTTTTGATTTTATTCAACAATTACTAAGATGTTTATCAATATTTTTATATACCGATAATTGATTTTATCAAACTATCAGTACAATTAAAATATTTACTTCTATTGTTGTATAGATTTAGAAATTTAAGTACTTTAAGATTTTGTTGATTATTTATAATAAGTTTGTAACTTTAATAACAGTTAAAATTTAGTTTAATAAGTTAATGACAATAATTTATTCATTTAATGCTTACGTAATGTATATAATCTAATTACAAACTAATTTTAATATATTTGAATTAAAAAATAACATCAAATAACTGAAAAATATCAAATAGTTTTGAAAAACAATAAATTGTTGAAAACCTTCAAAAATATATGATATATAGAAATTAAATAAAGTAGAATTTAGTAATATATATATATTATTGAATTCATTCACTAAATTCAGATAATTATGTTAAAATTTTTTATTATAATATATAAAATATATTGTATAATACAGATAGTTTGACAGATTTTGATTTATATGTTAGATAATTATTTATAATTATAAACTGAAATATAAATTTTATAATTTAAACTAAATTCTTAGCTTATAAGTTTATTATATACAATAAATTGTATGTTATATTTATATTACCGGTAGTATATGTCATATTTTTTAATTTTTGTGATTTTATATGATTGTTTGAATATAGTGAATGAAGTCAATAATTTACAGAATAATACTTAATATTTAATTGTTTAAAATTTGTTAGAGTTTATAACAAAGTTATAGTAATAATTATTAACTATTATTGTTGCCTCTTATATATGTTTTAATGTATTGTATGTATACTTAAAATACTATATAATATTGTTATAAATAAGAATTATTTGTCTCTTTCTTTTCTATTATAATTACATTAATATATAAAATAATTTTCTATTATATAAATATAAATAACAATCAAATTTTGTAAATCTTTTATTCTTTGACTAATTAATACTAATCTTTCAATTGATAATAATTTGTAATTTTATTTCTGTGTATTTAAAATATCTAAATTAACTTAATTTTCTTTTCTATTTTGGGCTTTGCTTTACATACAAAAGTTTATAACTGAAAACTGCTTTATTTTTAATATTAGCATTAATACAAAAAATAGTTTAATTTAAATTTTAAAAAAATATAACATTAGTTTATATGAGATCAACTATTTTATGAAAGTATTTTTTGTTGTTTTTATTTATTATTATTTTTGTTTAATTTTATAGATTTCAACGATGTTAATCTTAAACTTAATAATCTCAATGATTTGTCAACAAATAATAGCCAATTAATACAAACCACAATCAGTTCCTCAGTTATCCCACAATCCCCTCATAATTATACCGCTAATAGTAATCAAATGCGAATTGAGTCAACTCTTGATAGAGACCACCGAAGAAATGTAAGTTAAATATAATAATGGAAATGTATTTTCATTGTTATATCAATAATATAAAACTGATTTATTTTGAAGAAACTACGTCTCGATAAGGAATACTATGTGTTTCGGGAGTTAGTTATGTCTGAGAGGACCTACAAGAAAGACATTGAACTTATTAATACTGTATGTAATCATATGATAGTTGAATATATTGTTAATTATTTAATTAAATTAATGATTTGATGAATCAGTGGTTTAAAGAAGATGTCAGTAAAGAGACTACACGTCCGGCAGAAATGCTGTCACTATTGTTTTCAGCGACGGAACCACTCTTTGAAATTCACGAAAATTTTTTGCATCAAATTGAACACGTCTTAGCCGTTTGGTTAGACTTATTAACAATTATATATTGGTTTACATTTATAATAATATTATTTTATTTAAAGGGAGGAAAAAGCTTCTCAACATTTAAACCGTACGATTGGAGATATTTTAAAAGATATCATTCAGTGGTTACCCGTAAGATGTTATTTATTTTATGTTAAATACATATAAACCTGATTTAAATAATTCAATAATGTCTGCAATAGCTATATGAGAGGCTAATAGAGAGACTGCCGTTTATATTGGAAAGAATTAACGCCAGTTTCCGTCATAACAAAGACTTTGAACGCGTTTGTCGTGATTTTGAGGCCCGAAAGGGGTGTTATTTACCGTACACTTCATTCATTCTTAAACCTGCTTTTCATATCACACACTATTTGCAAATTATTCAAAGTATTCATATATTTGATTCATTGACATTAAAATTCATTTTTAATTTTATTATATTATTATATAAATTATTTTTCAGAATTATCTAAATTTCAAGTCAACAATAGTAGTGAATATGCGAAATATTTGTGTAAGTTTTAATATACTGTATATTAATTGAGTTATTTTATTGGTAATTATATTTTAATATATTTTATCAGTTATTATGGAACAGTTAAAACAATTCAATGCCGAGTATTTACTTACATTGGATTCATTGGTATGAATTGAATAAATTTATCGATTATTTTAATTAGTGATAATTAAATACAGTATATGTTGTTTATGTTTAGATCAATTTAGTGATTCTCATTGAATTACAACGAGATATAACAGGAATGGACAATATTGTGCAATCGGGTCGAGTAAGAAATAGCATATAAAGCAATTAATATTGATTTTAATATTATTTAAATTATTAAATTGTTAGAAATTTGTTCGTCAGGGATGTCTATTGAAATTATCAAAAAAAGGATATCAACAAAGACTCTTTTTTCTAGTAAATAACTATTTAATGATTATTTATTAATTAATTTAATGTATGTTTTAATTGTTTAGTTTTCCGATATCTTGATATATGCGAGTCGTTCGGCTTCAGTTCAGTTTCAATTCAAAGTTCACGGACACCTTCCTCTTCAGCATATTATGGTTGAACCAACAGAACCTAAATTAGGAGTTAATTATTGTTTTACTATATATGCCGGCGAACGGGCTCTTATGGTGGCCGCTAAGTATGTCTACTATTTTTATATAATAATTATTACTTATATTTATTATATAATATAATTTACATTATATTCAAAGTTCTGAAGAAGAGCGCAATATTTGGCTCAAAGATCTGTCGGAAACAGCCATCACTTTATCCAATATCAACGGCAATAACGATTCGCTATCTTTTATACCAACAATAATATCGTCAAACGAACTCTTGGATAAAATAGATAACGCCTTAAGTCAGAAATGGATTCAAAAGTCTGAAAATGTATCGCAAATTGAAAGCATAGATAAGTTTCACTACAGGTCTAACACTATGGCTCACGTGTGTTGGCACAGGAATTGTAGTATAAGTGCTGCAGAGTATGAACACGCGTTAACTGTAAGCTACTTTAAACTACAATATTATTTGTATGATTTAGTAATATTTAATATTTATTAAAATTATAAAATTATAGAGTTGTTTGAGTGGATATCTATTGAGAAAGTTTAAGAACAACACCGGTTGGCAAAAGCTTTGGGTTGTCTTCACTCACTTTTGTTTGTTTTTTTACAAGTCGTGTCAGGTTTGCATAAAAATTCATTAAAAATATACAATAAAATTAATATACAAATTAAGCCAATTATGAAAATATCTTTATTTAGGACGACTTTCCTTTAGCCAGTCTTCCTATTATTGGATACACAGTCAGTATACCGACTGAAAGCGATAACATAAACAAGAATTATGTGTTTAAATTGCAATTCAAAACTCACGTCTATTTCTTTCGGACTGAAAGTGAATATACTTTTAGGCAATGGATGGAAGTCATCAAAACCTCAACAATTAACTCTGAATTATCTCAACAAACGATGCAATAACTAATTGATTAAATTTATTACTTTAATACTCTTTATTGACGACTTAAAGTTGTTTAACTCATTTATTTGTTTCATTATAATTAATGAAATAATCAATTTATTATTTTTATTGCTTATTATAATTAATTTATATTTCAATAATTAATAAAATCATAAAATGATATATATTTTATTGTTTTTGTTCTAATCTATAATATTAATTATTATTCAATGGTTGAGTCAAATATCAATCCATTACATAAAAGGGATGAAATTTTTCCGATAAATAATATATTGACAATTAATTCATTGGAAAACATTTAACATATTTTTGATTTAATCATTTGTATTACAACTTGGAATTTGATAATATTTACAATCATTGCATTTAAAAGGTTTTGTCAGTCTATCATAACATTGATTGTAAGATCTGTTTAACAAATTATATAAAAAGGTTTTGTCATAAAAAGAAACTAATGTTTATAGAACTGAATCAAATTTTTAAATAACATTAAATAAATTACTGTTGATATTTGATATCAAAATTATAATAATTGTTTGACAGTTTTATAATGTTTTATTTACAAACTAACTGTTTATAACTTTTAAACAAATAATGATTTAACAATTTTTACTACTATATAATAATAACTAGCTTTCTCTTTAATTTACATGAAAATCAATTTGAAATCATTAAAATTTGTTATAAATAAAATACATTTATACAGTATATGTATTATTTCTTGCATATTATTTCATTAATATTTTTTCATAATTTGTTTTGTTTTATTATATATATATATATATATAGTTCTATTAAATTCCTTTCCTCTTTTTATTTTCTAAAGTTCCTTTTGTTCCCTTTATTTGTTACCTAAATAGTATATTAAACTGTTTTTTAAGTATTGATTAATAGTATCTTTAAGTTTATTAAATTGAAAGAACTTATCAGTAAAAGACGGTGAAATACATTGTTATAGATATAGATATTGTAGTAATTAATTGAAAAATAAATTACATTTAAATTAAAATTAATTTTTATTTATATACATAAATAATATATTTATGATAAAAATGTCATAAAAATGCAAACATATATATATATATATTATAGTAATTGAATTTACAAACTTAGAAATATAAAATCTTTAAAATTTTTATATCACAGCTTATTCTTTGCTTAATATTGTTTAAAGGTTTTAATAAAATTAATAAACATTTGATCCATTTCTGGACAAAACCTTTATTTTTAATATTTCAATATATTTTTTGCTAAATATTTAAGTTTTGGTATTATAGTAATAATATGAAATATATTTTACCTTTCGATGAACGTTGAAGAGAGATATAAAATATTTTTCATATTTTCCGGAAAAATGGAGGAATTTTATTAGAAAACTTCTCTCTTTGGGACAGTTTGTCGAACTCTAATTCTATAACAATTCGTTACAATAATTGTATTCATTTCATATAATGACAAGTTTTATATGAAATATGAGTTAAATATAAGTTTTATATAAATATATTCAATAATAATAATATCGATGAGAGAAAAGTTTGAAATAAATTATCATAAATTTTATATCAATAAGAATTGTATCTTAAATTTAGTTTCTTTTATTAAATTTTAATAATAATTATAATTAAGAGGACATAAAATTTAAAAGAAAAATTAATTTGCATTTATTATAATAATACATAAAATAGAAAAAAGGTTAGAATAGAGACATTAATTAATTTTTTATTCTTTAATTAAATTTAATTAAATCAATAATATTATAGAATATTAAATTCATAAAATTATAATATTAATAAAATTTACTTATTATAAAATATATTATTATAATTTATATTTTATTTTTCTATAGTTATTTTCATCTATATATATATATTTTATTTGTAAAATTGTATTTAGTATAAAAACACGAAAAGCTGGTCATTTTTTCTACATTTTTTTACTTTTAATAAAAAATTTGAAAGCATTGATATAATAAAATACTTATATCTTATATATTCCGATATATTATAAATTCCTTCCATCGTTTCATATCCCAAAAGTTCCCTATTTTCTGAGCTGACTGTGAATTCCCAATCAATCTATTTCTTTGTGTCACTTATTGAACTCTTAAACTTTTTTTTATACTCTAAACAAATTTTATTATAAGATTTGAATGATAAATGTTGTATTAAACTGTATTTTGAGTGTCATTGTTAAATAATTTCACTAAATTTATTGAATTCAAGTTTATTTTTAAATATTTCAATGAAATTTTATGCAAAAAAAAAATAAGTGTTGGTATTATTTATTGTAGAAATAATAAATATATTTTTCCCAATGAGCTAAGGAGGAAAAATAAAATATTTTCCGGGAAAGAACTTGGAAAGTTCCCGAATTCTAAGTTTCTGATAATTTATAAAATTAATGTTTTATTTTTAATTTAGATGATATTTTGTTTATTAATTATAAAAGTAATATGTGATTTAATGGTTTAACTTTTATGATTTAATAGTAATAAAACTTAACATATTTTTAATAAAATAAAATAATGAATATAAATAGTTCTATAATATCACACTTTAATTATATTTTAAATTGTCAAATGATATTAGACCACAATATATATATATATATTGATTTTATACTAAATTATTTACTATAAAATTCTATAAATAGTGACCTCGTTTACAACAATACTGGAAAAAAGATTTAATAAATTTCATATGAATTGATAAATACTGAATAATACAAAATTTCAAAACTAATAACATTAAAATTTGTTTAATTAAAAAAGACAGTTTAGAATTCTAAATAATACTAGTTTAACCCGCGCAACATGTATAGCCGTGCAATTCTTTTACTAATTTTATAAGTAATTTTAATGAGACTTAATTTGTTTAAACAACTACTACATAACCTAATGTAACAAAACTACTGAACCAATACACATTAATTCGACTAAACTTTTAAGAAATTTTAGTTTTTATATATATTTAAATAATTTTAATAAAAATTGAAAATTTAATCATTTTTGCGAAAAAAAATTTACAAAAATTTAGCACAGGTAGCTTACCTCCCGGTGCCCTGTGAGTAGTTTATCCCGCGCAACATGTATAGCAGTGCAATTCTTTTGCTAATTTTAAAATACTTATCATAAGTAATCTGAATGACTGCCTAATTTGTTTTATATAACAAACTACATTACTTAACCTAATGTAACAAAACTTTATAATCAATACACATTAATGCGTCTAAACTATTGAGAAATTTTAGATTTTTATGTATATTTAAATAATTTAAAGAAAATTTAAGTTTTATCATTTTTGTGAAAAAAAAATTACAAAATTTTTCACTTTTAACTAACTTCCTGGTGCCCTGTGATTCATACAATATAGCAAAATGTAATAACAGCACCTGCCTACCTGTCCATAAAACCTACCTGAGCTTAATAATCATTTAAAATTTTCCATAGAAATAGCATTACTTTAAATAAAAATTGAAAATTTTAACATAAACTGGAAATTTTTGTATTTGAGAAAATTTTACAAAAACTTAGCACAGGTAACTAACCTCCTGGTGCCCTGAGACTCATACAATATAGCAAAATGTAATAACACAGCACCTGCGTACCTGTCCTTAAAATCTCCATGAGCTCAATAATCATTTAAAATTTTCCATAGAAATAGCATTGCTTTAAATAAAAATTGAAAATATAACAATACATTTTTAGATTTGAATTAAAATATGGTTGTTGAGGAAGTGTGCACACATACAGACAGACAGAGACTAATATCTTAAAGTGTTATATTGATATTGATTTCTGAAAATTTTCATAAAAATAAACTAATTGTGTTTAAAATATTTATTTTTATAATATAGAAATTTTCACGAACTCCTGAAAGGCATACGTATCTGAATTCTTTATTTCTGTCTGTCCGACAGTTTGTCACAATTTTGAATTCAGATATGGATTAATCATCAAAAAGTAAGGTATAGTATATGAGCATCAAAATTGTTGTCTCTCATTATGAACATTGACAAAATGGTGTCCAAAATTTTAAAAATAATTTTTTCTAAAAATTTTGTTTTCAAAAAATAAAATAGAGTTTGAAAAATTGTTAAAAGCAAAAGTCAAAATAAGAAAGGTTAAATTTTAAAATTCTGATTTTATTTTCAAATAACTATCAAAATATAAGTTAGGATTCAGAAAAAAATATAATAAACAACAATTATTTTGTCAGTCAAGAGACGGACAATTAGATGAAATGATGGTTTGATTAAAAGATTTAAATAACGATTACGTGTAGTGATTGTGTTGAGAGACAAAACGTTACTAAAGGGTGGAAAGGGATGTGATGTCTGTATGTGCGGTGTGTCTGTCTTTATGTATGTGTATGACTGTCCACATCTGGTCAATAATTTATATTTATAATATTGTTTAGTCCGTATAAGTATTATAATATGTGTTGACATTCATAGTTTAAATTTGTATTTTGTCTGTCATTTTGATCATAAGTTTATAAATAGATGAATACTTTTTCAGATAATTCTATTATACATTACAACACAAATATTATCAAAATTTTAAAATTGTCAAAAAATGCAATACTCAGACACAAACTTCTAATTTATATATGAAAACTTAAAATTTTGTGAATATTGAGCAAAAAATATTTTTAATATATGCATTGTGTTTAGTTATGTATTGAAAAACTATTTTTGTTGATAAAAATACAATAAAATGTCTGAGTTTGTGGTAAAGCTCTAAATATTGTTATATTAAATAATTTTTTAATTTGTTGAGTGAGTATGAAATATAGTGTTTTGATCCGACACAACAATTATATATTTATATATTTATTTTTTTAACTATACTTACGGTAATGTATATTAACACATAAAAACTAATATTTTATTTTTTTATTATATTAATAAAAGCAATATATTTAAAATGTTATAAAGTTTCTAAAGTGTTAGTGTATGGGAAAGGGATGGATAAAACAATTGGATCAGAGGTGTCAGGAATTAAAATTACAAAATCAGGAATTATTTGAATTGATATAATACTTTAAATAAACATTTATTGTCAATATCTCACACATTAATTACATTTTTCATTTACAAATATAAATATTAAAAACTTTATAACTTAATAACTATTGAGAAGGTCATCAATTATCAAATGTATATTTTATGAAAAGATATTTACATTTTATTTATACTTAAATTTCTTAATTATCGAGAGATATATCGACTCTATCTAATTATTTTTAGTTTACAGTATACATACTATAACTGTGTTTTACATACATATAGGATTGCTAGAAGTTTTATATTTTAGAGGATTGCCATCCGATTTAGTTTATTACAAGCTGTCCTCTCATACTTTATCCATTAATATGTTTTAATCTAATTGTTTAACAAGTTGTTAGTAAAGATAATAAAACTAGATATTGTATATAAAAATATATAAATTAAAATTTTTATATGTTTTTCAATTATTTTCCAAAATGCTGCTTATTATCCGGTTTTTAAAAATATGATATAGTAATCCTACTGTATATGTCATATCTTTTTCTAAGTTTACTATTAACTACAAAAATATTATCAGGAAAATAGATGATATCCTTATTAATTTAATATAATTGTATTTATTAACGTTTATTAAAGTTATATTTTAATTTTGTCAAAAAATAATAAAATGGTTAAGATTTTAGGCATAGAGTTCGCACCAATTAATATACCAATTGAAAGACGTTTACAAACCTTAGCTGTTCTTTATTATTGCTGTGAATTTCTTTTAATTGGATTTTTATCGCTATTACTATTAATAAATTTAATATTTACTAAATATTATTATTTGTCTATTTTGTATTTTATGTGGTTTATATACGATCGTAAAGTTTGCAATCAAGGTATGTAAAGTGTAATTAAATTATATAAAATGATATACACTGTATAATAATTAAAACTTTATTTATATGTCATAAAATAGGTGGTCGTTTGAGTGTATGGGCGCGAAACTGGACTATTTGGAGATATTTTGTTAATTATTTTCCATTAAAATTAGTAAAAACAGTTGATTTGAATCCAAATAAGAATTACATCTTCGGTTGTCATCCGCACGGAATTCTCTGCGCCTCTGCTTTCGGTAACTTTGGTACAGAAGGGACGGGATTTTCAAAACTATTTAATGGTTTAACGCCTCACATACTAACACTTGAAACACAATTCTGGTTCCCTTTCCATAGAGAACTCTTCCTTATGTCAGGTATTACAACATCTATACATATATTATATATAAAATATTTGATACCAATAATACAATAATTTATTTAATTTATAAATAAAAATTGTAATAAACAAAGTAGTGTCTGTTTAAGTTAATAGATTTATAATCAATTAAAAAATTTTATAATATCAATATAATTAAATTAATTGTATTGATTTTTATTTTATATGATATATTCACGATAACTAAGTTAACGTTGCATTTATTTGATTATTAATATTAATTTAATGTCAAATTATTTTTTAGGTGCCTGTTCTGCAACTAAGCAAAGTATGCAATGGTTATTGAGGTATACAATTAAAATGAAAACAATTTATATGATATTAACTTAAATTACTGTATAATCTAATTGACAGTAAAGAAGATAAAGGCCATGTGTTGGTATTACTAGTTGGAGGAGCTATTGAAGCACTCGATGCCGTTCCCAATACATTGAAACTAACTGTCAAAAGAAGAAAAGGCTTTATAAAATTAGCGTTAAAACACGGGTTTTATATTTTTACTATTATATTATATTTATTTAATTTTAAGTGAAGTCAAACAAATCAATTATTCATAGGATTATATTAATAATAAATAAAGTATTTGTTATTCTTTAACTAATTAATTAATTTAATCACAATTTAGAGCATCACTTGTTCCGGTCCTATCTTTTGGTGAAAATGATATATTTATTCAAAAAGAAAGACAAAACAATTCATTTATGAGAAAAATTCAACAGTTATTAACAAAATATTTGGGATTTTCTCCGCCACTGTTTCATGGTTTGTATAGTTGCTTAAAATAACTTCTCAAACTTCAAATTATTGTATATTTGATATATTTAAGGTCGAGGAGTGTTTCAATACAACTATGGATTTATACCCTTTAGAAAATCTATAACAACAGTTGGTAAGACTTTATTTATTTATTTAATCAATAAATTAAATCATATTTATTTAATAATATTTATATATAATATATACTATTATTATATAACAATATAAAACTGTTTGAAAGTACTAATCTTAGTCTTGTCAGACAAACTTCTCGATCATATTTTTAATTTACTTTAAAATAATTTCAAATATCACTTCTTAGAAACTAGTAGTGCGTTCGCTAACATTTAAGCGCTGATCTAACTATAAATACAAGAAAGTTGCAAACAATACAATATTAATGATATATATTTCAGACTAATGTGTGTCAAAATTCAACAAATTATTAATTATAATTTTAAAGTTATTGATTGCAAAAAATAAAGGTTAAAATAATAATTTTTAATTTTCAAATAATAATAATTAAATTTTTTGTTGTGTGATTAAGTGATAACTTCTAATAAATTTGTCTAAGATAATGTTTAAACTGTAGAATTTTTTATTTAATTATTATCAATATTCAACAATACAAATCCATTTTAATACTTTATTGTTAATACATTACCCCTATATTAATACTATAAATTATAGAGTCTATTATTTATATATTATATACTATTCTACAATATAAATTAGATTTTAATTAATATCAATTATTGCTATTAAAACTTTATTTTAGTAATATTTTATTTATTATTTTTAATTGAATGTAATGACAAAAAATAAATTATGTTATAATCTGTAATATTTGTTAATATTTGATAGTAATTAATTAAGATACTAATAATATTATTTGGTTATCAAGATAACATTTTAAGACAATGTTATTTCTATGGGAAATTTTAAATGATTATAGAGCACTGGTAGATTTTAGGCTCAGGTAGGCTGATGTTGTGTAACTATATTTTGCTATATTATATGAGTCATAGGGCACCCGGAGGTTAGCTACCTGTGCTAAATTTTTGTAAAATTTTCTCAAATATAAAAATTTTTCAATTTGTATTAAAATTTTCAACTTTTATTTAAAGCAATGATATTTCTATGGGAAATTTTAAATGTATATTGAGCTCAGGTAGGTTTTGAGGACAGGTAGACAGATGTTGTGTACTTACATTTTGCTACATTGTGTGTCACAGGGCACCGGGAGGTTAGCTATATATGCTAAATTTTTGTAAATTTTTTTCAAATGCAAATTTTTTTTGCAAAAATAATTAAATTTTCAATTTGTGTTAAAATAATTTAAATATATATAAAAATCTAAAATTTTTCAAGAGTTTAGACTAAATAATGTGTATTGGTTTAGTAGTTTTGTTACATTAGGTTATGTAATAGTTGTATAGAAAAATTAAGTCTCATTCAAACTACTTATGATGAATATTTTAAAATTAGTAAAAGAATTGGACAGTTATACATGTTGCGCGGGACAATCTATAATCTATAATTTAATATAATAGTTTTGTCTGTTTGTTTGTTTGTATGTGTGCACACTTCCTCAACAACCATTTTTTAATTCAAAGCTAAAAATATATTGTTATATTTTCAATTTTAATTTTAAGTAATGTTATTTCTATGGGAAATTTTAAATGATTATTGAGCTCAGGTAGGTTTTAGGGACAGGTAGGCTGGTGTCGTGTAATTACACTAAGCTATATTATATGAGTTACAGGGCACCGGGAGGTAAGCTACCTGTGCTAAATTTTTGTAAAATTTTCTCAAATGCAAAAATTTTCAATTTGTGTTAAAATTTTCAATTTTTATTTAAAGTAATATTATTTCTATGGGAAATTTTAAATTTTTGTTGAGCTCAGGTAGGTTTTAGGGACAGGTAGGCTGGTGTGTCGTGTAATTACACTTTGCTATATTGTGTGAGTTTATGTCACATGTTAGCTACATGTGTTAAATTTCTGTAAATTTTTTTCAAATGCAAATTTTTTTCGCAAAAATGATTAAATTTCCAATTTTTATTAAAATTATTTAAATATATATAAAAACTAAAATTTTTCAAAAGTTTAGTCGAATTAATGTGTATTGGTTCAGTAGTTTTGTTACATTAGGTTATGTAGTAGTTGTATAAACAAATTAAGTCTCATTCAAATTACTTATAGTAAATATTTTTAAATTAGTAAAAGAATTGCACGGCTATACATGTTGCGCGGGTTAAACTAGTTGTTTATAATCATATTGTATTACAAGATAATAATTCTCGAGATAATAAAATTAACACTTTCATCCCATTAATAAAACTTTTTAGAAATTTTCTAATATTTTTAGAACTTTTAATTTTTTTGCAAAACTTTAATTCAAATCTAAATTCAAAATTTAAAAATTACAATAATTATTGTTTAACACATAAGTTATTTTGCAACTCTTGCGGTAGTCTAACAAATAATCAATTGTGTCAACTGTTCCGATCCTCACATACTCTGCAGGCATTAGGACAGTGAATATGACTATCAATAACTGCAGACCTGTAATAATAACAATGTTTAGCAATAAAATACATTAATATTTTATAAGTAAAATGAGGCGATTTATTTACTCAAAAAGTATTAAAACAAATCAATATATTTTTCAGTTAATTCAATTGACTATTTATGTATATTTTTAATTGATTATAATGTAAACTTATACTTCATATACAGCATATGCACTACAATTTGTTATTTGTATAAATATTAAAAATATTTTTAAATATTAATTATTATTTCATTTAAACAGTTGGAGAACCTATTGATATAACAAAAGTAAAAAATCCAACAAATGAAGAGATTTATGAACTTCAAGACAAATATATTGAATGTCTTAAGAAATTGTTTAACGAAAACAAAAACAAATATGGATTCAATGATTTACAACTAATTATTCAATAACATTTAATTAACTATAATATCCATAATTAAAACTACATTTTTTAAATTTATCTATTACAATAAAATGTTTTTACAATTGTTTATTTAATTTTGATTATTTAGTTAAACAGTAATATAACTTTAGTATACATTATTATAACTAATGGATTTTATGTTAGTTGATTATCTTTAATTATTATTGTTATTTATAAGAAATTTAAATTGAACAATAAAAAAATTAACTTTAAATGTTAGGTTATATTGAATTTATAGTTAAAATAACAAACTTAATGGTTTAAAAATATTTAATAGAATAATAAACACTAAATATAACTAAATAGTTATTATTGCTATGAATGACACCAATTGATTGAAACCTCAAAGCAATTCAATGATTACTTCAAACAGAATATTCTGTAAAGAGTTGTTAAGAGAATGTCAAATGTATTCATACATAACGTACTAATGATTGCCTCAAAGCCACACCCAAAGCATTCATATCATACTTAATCAACAATTTATTACAACTAAAGCCAGTCATTGTTATGCAGGCAAGAGATAACAATAGGCGCCACAACTATAATATATATCTGAATGTTTGTTTGCATCGAATTCAAAATACCTTATGAGTGAGTTATGTGCGCAATGTATGAATGAATTGTATTAAAGTACTGTAAATGTTGTGTCGTATATACTGTAATACAGTGTAGAGTACTGTATGTAATGTATGTAATGTATGTAATGTATAATATGTACTGTTATTATAACACTATTAGTGACTGCAGACTGCAGTCATAAACAATTATAGAGCTCTGCATCTCATTAGACAACCATCACATGTCTGTCCCTAAGATTATCACTTAAATGGTAAGGTATGTCATTTGACCACTTAATCACTTGATTGTCCAAATATGATGACTACAATCATATCAAACGAATGAATGGTTATCTTGAAGAGTGATAAAAGTGGTGACAATAGTTGATAACCATTTGGTCTCTAGTGTTGAGTTGATGGTTGTCTTCAGTAATCAAACAGCAAAAGACAGACACCTTTTGATTGACTGACCGGTCATTGAAACCAACGTAACAATTGTGGCGTTGAAGTCAAAGTGCAATACATTTAGTGATGTCTTTTAAGACTAATGAGTGATTGTCTTCACGTAAGACACTAAGCATTTGGTCCCAAACAGTATAAGATATGTCTTCCGTTGTGCCTTTGATTGACTGATGGACTACTGATCCTTACAATTGTGTCATCAAAACAATCTTTAAATGGATTGTCAATTATATGAAAGATAAGAAACAAGTGATATGTTTGCCGAAGACTGGACTCAACCGAAATGTATGTCTTATTTATGTCCTTTTAAGACATTTGTCTGTATTGTCTGTATATTATATTATACTATACTATAACTTAGTGATGATTAAAGTGATTATATATTAACATAATTATGAATAGTATGAAAATATCAATCAATTTGTTACTATTTGTTACAATTAGTCCATTTGTAACCATATTTGGTATGAATTGATTGAATTAAATGAATAATAGCTAATAATTAGTTGCATTGAATTTAATCAAAATTACGATTATATGGTCTCAGTGTCTGTTAGTTTGTCTCTTAATATTGACTATAATATGTTATAATATGCTTTAATTTGATATAATATGGCATTCATTGCATTTAATATATTATTTTATATGTTATATAATGTATTGAATTATGTTAATATTTCACATATATTTAATTGTATGCAATAAATACAATATTTAATATCTAGTGTGTTGTTTGAGCTCAAGGTTATTCACTATTATATTACTTTATCATTATATCAATACAAGATATAGTCTATTATACAATCAATTTCTATTAGACTATTTCTGCCTATTATTTTAATGATCACAAGTGAATACAATGTTAGTACAGTATATACAGTATTATAGAGTATATTATATTAATATAATTTGTCACAATCTATATTTGCAATATATTATTAAGCATTGTATTATGTATTGTGTCAAAAATTGTTTGACAGGAGATTCAATGCTTAAATTGAGGCAAATTATACGCTAATCGTAATTATAAATAAAATAGGATTATATCTCTCATATTACTGGTATATAACATATATATATATATATATATATCGTATATACATTATATATATAAATAGAGTGTGGATGTGATGTGAAATGCAAACAACTATTTGGAGACAAAGTTTTGTCAGAATATTTTGGTTTCGAGAGTTAGAGATTTTTTTTGATTAAAATTGATAGCTTTTTGGAGTTTTTTGCGTTAATTTTAATGTGAAATCGAGTCGTTGGGAGATATTTATAAATATAAATGCAATGAAAAGTTATTACGAGAAAAGTGTAAAAAAGTTTTGAAATTTTTAAATAAACACATATTTTGTTTTAAGTTGTGTCGGAATCGACTCGTAATAGTGTTATTTTATAAATACATGTATATAACTGGCAATAATACAGTATAGTTATATAGCTGTTTGTATAAACTGTATTTATATTATAGTGACACAAGTGTTGGTTGAAAATAAAGGAGACAACTGAAGTCCGCCTCATTATTGAGTGTCTATCTGTAGGAAGAGTATCTCAAATCAACTGTATTGCCATATTGGCCAACCATCTGACGCATGGGTGGTATCACTGGTGGTCTATTAGTATTTGTTATCGTATTCGCTATCATTCAAATTGATTCAATAGTTTGACGACTGGGCACTCTTGGAAATTGTTGGCATCTGTTGATCCATTGATCAATCAGTGAGCCAGTCATCCAGTTATCTGTTATGGCAATGGTTAACACATTGGCCAACGTTAAGGACTCGCGTTGGCTTCAGCTGGAGGTGTGTCGGGAATATCAACGAAACAAGTGTTCCCGGGCTGACAGCGAGTGCAAGTTTGCACATCCAAACAATAATGTCGAAGTTCAAAACGGTCGGGTCATTGCCTGCTATGACTCCATCAAGGTTTGACCAATTTATTTATATACAGTAATTAAATTATAATGAAATGTATGACATGTAAAGGGTCGGTGCAATCGTGAGAAGCCTCCCTGTAAGTACTTTCATCCGCCACAACATTTGAAAGACCAGCTGCTCATCAATGGTCGTAACCATTTGGCACTAAAAAATGCTTTACTTCAACAAATGCCTCTTCAGACCGTCCTAACGGGTCAGCTGCCAATGGTAAGCATTTGGACTAACAATTAATTATATGAGAAATACTATTTATTGCTAAATCATTACAAATTTTCATAAATTTATTTGTTAACTCATAATATATATAGCATTTATGTAGAATATACTATATTATATAAATTATATACTGTATATACATATGTATATACATATACACAATATTAATAGAAACCAAAAGTAAAAACATATCAAAGTTTGGTTTCTTTGCTTTTGGATAATACAGTTTAGTGAGTGAGTTGGCGCACATCTTAAAAACATTTACACTGTTTATAGTTATAGCCAACACATGGAATATAAAGTTAAACCAATTTATTTTTGTCTTATTTTTTAAAAAACATATTAATCACATTTAATGGCACACACTTTAAGGCTAAAACTTAACTTAAACATGTCAACTCATTTCTATGTTGAATATCTTTAAATACATATAATAACTATATTTATAAATTATAATATAGTGTGTCATATAAATAGTATTAACATTATTTTAAACCACAAATGTTTTTGAAAAAAGTATAGTTTACTTTACATAACTATATAATTTTACAAAACTAACCAATAAATTATTGATTTTCATAAACATTTATTGCATTTCTTTAAATCTAGAAGTTTTCCAAAATTTATGTTAAAATATTTAATTTTACATTAAATTTAACTATGATTGAGATTACTTTAAAAGTTCCTAAAAAATAACATCCATATCAATGAAAATTGATTTTTGTTTTTCAATATTATTTATATAACTTTTTCTACTAAATGTATTTACAAAAGAAACCGTTTAAGAGTACGCCGATAGCCATAATAGTAAACAATACAAAACAATAAAAATATATTACTAAATATCAATACCTAAAAATATACAGTACTGAAAACCTCTCCCAAAAACACTACAGTAAAATTGATATATCAATAGCTTTCCCAACAATGGACCTCAAAAAAGCTAATTTATTTTATATTCTCTTATAAATTGTTTTCTAAAAACTTTAACTATCAATTCACCAAATATAAAAATGTCCATAAATTTTAATACATACTTTTTTTTATAATTAAAATAAATTTTCTTTAAGTAACATTAATTAGATTATTATGTTTTAATTTATTATGTGTTTATAGCAGACATATAAACTCCCATTTTTTCATTCACATAAATTTTTGTAATTGTTATTTAGTAATATTAATTTATATTATTTCTACTAATGATATAAATAAAATATATACTTATTTATAACATTATTTATTTTTTTTATTTAATTATTCTAAAGAAATTGGGTACAGGTTTACACTTAAGTGATACTATTTTGTGAAAATAAACTGTTATTTCAATTATTTGTTAATTCATAAATTATATAAAAGTGTTAAATGTAGTTAAGTCTGTATTTAAAAATATTGTTTGGATTATAATGAAAAATGACTTTAAAAGTAAACATCACACATTTCTGATGATTTTTTAATATAAAGTAACAAATAAGTGAAATATAAATAATCGTTTAAATTTTAAATTTACTAAACGATTAAAATGAAGTTTTAGGATTTTATAACATGATTTCTATGTATTTTGTTGTAAATTACCTATTTTTATAAACAGTATTTTGCAATATCTTTCAATTTTTGGACATTTACTTTAAACATTTTTTGTTTAAAAATTTGATTTTAACTTTAAATGTATTTGACTAATTAAATACAATTTTTATATAGATTCTATAATGTATGTTAGATACTACAGTAAATTAGTATATATCAGTGTAGTATAAATACATTACATAAGATGAATGAATGAGAGAAATAATTGAGAAATATAGAGAATAACGGATAAGCATGTGATGGGATTGTATGTGATTTTAGACTAATAAAGTAAGAAAAATTAAGTTATAATAAATACATATAATTGACATATGATTGCCTGATAAATATATAATTATATAATTTCATATTCTATATACTGTACTCATAAGTTATAGAATATAATTATATTATACTTACGATTTATCGTTATTTTTGGAAAATCTACATTTTTATTTTGCAGTATAAACTTACAATATTTTATGCCAAAAGATATATATCAATATTATAAAATAGATTATAACTATTGATATTAGCATTTTATTTCTCGGGTTTCTTCAAGTTTTGTGCAGAAATCTCTAAAATTATATTTAAATTTTTTTTAATAATTTGTTATATATTTTTGGAAAATTTTATAATAACAATATACTTTATTCCATTTTAATTTATATTATGGCTTATATTGTAAATATCTAATATATATTTATATAATCAGAATATAGAATCAGAAATAGTTAATTTATTTTATAATGATTTTCATTCTCTAAATTAAATTTTTTAATAATAAATAAAAAATTTAACATTATTAATTATTTGCATATAATAAAATAAGTATGTTATTTAATAATATAATGTAAAAGCTTATTTGTTTTATTTAACAATAAAAGTCTGCAATGAATGTCTCAAATTGTCAATTTATAGTTATTGCTAATTGAAAATTATAATTATTAGATATATTAATTTGATTAATAAAGCATGTGATTGGCTTTGATGTGCTTTTGTTAACCAATAGGTGGGACCGACTGCTAGTTTGCTAACAGCTTACAGTCGACCACTGGCCCATCAAATTGCTGGCCAACAACGGGCGGCGGCTGCAGTGGCAGCCACTGCTAGCCTTTTGAATGGTGCTGTCGGACACTTATCCAATAACACAACTAACTGTAAGGTAAGAAGTTTCATACAATAAGTTAATTGCATTTAAAATGCTTCAAACAGATATGCATATTATTTACACTTATTTATATTGTCTAACAAACTAATGATGAATCCATATTAATATTCAACTCAATATTATTATTTTTGTAGAAACAAAACGATGCTCTTAATTGATATGAATTAATTGTTATAAAAATGTTTAATTGATTGAGAGCTCATTTATTTTTTATTATCACTTGTCTGTAACTTTGTTATTGCATTTTATACTTAAGATACTAAAGTTAATTATTAAATGATATATTGTTCAATAGTTGATAATTTCGTTTAGTTTAAACTTTGATAGTAAATATATTTAGGCAATTAAAAAAATTATAGAAAAAATTATATGATTCAAATGAGAACACTAATTGATATTCTATTAATTACAAAAATTGTATAAAATTAATATTTTAAATATATTTATTTAAATTATTTATTAGTCAAGGAGTACTGTTATTGTTATTATAGTGATTTCTCAATTTTTAATAATTAAGTTAGTGTTGGAATAATTTGAAATCAAAACGTGACTTTGAAACTATTGTACCCCAAAATGATTTATTGAATTCAAAATAAACTGTAAATCTATGATTAAAATATATTTATTTAAAATTTTAATTTAATCATTTAATTTAATTGTTATTAATTAGTCAAAGCTAAGGTTAGTTTTAGTATTTAACAAATTTTTAGTAATAGTAATAATAATACTGTAATAACAATATTATAATTTTAGAATAATAATAATAATAATAGTTTAAATATGAATTTTAAATTATTTTGCATTTCCACGATTTCATTTATTTATTTATATTCAAACGTGTAATATATAAACAATATAATTGTTATCGACATACATACATACATTGAATTAATTAATAAAACTTTTATTAAAACATTTATTAAAAAGCTAAATTTTATATTATAAGCATTTTTAGTAAACATTGATATTAATGTTATTTCAAAGCTAAAAATATTTAATTTTAAACTAATTAGCGTACTAATTAATACAATTTTATTTAAATAAATTAACAAGTTCAAATGTTAATTATAATTTAATTTTTAAACCAAATTGCTATTTTAATTATAACTGATTTTTTTTATTTATATAATGTTTGTACAATTTATTAATTTACTTAAACACAAACAAAAAAGTATTGAAACGAATCCAAAATATAACTAACATATAATGAGATTTTGTCATATTTTCTAATTAGTAATTTTATAAGAATATATAAAGTTATAATGTTGTGCCATTAAATAGCAAATAAATTTTAATTAACCATAGATATAATAAACCATGAAATCTATTTATTTAAAATGGCTGTTATTTCTATTTAAACGAAAAATATAATTATAAATCAAAAATAACTGTTTTGTTTAAATATTTAATCGAAATTATTGAATAAATATTTTTTTCTAAAATACTTATTAACTAACTTACAATTTTTGCAAAATATTTAAAATTCTTAACATGAAACTATATTTAATTTTATTTTAAATTAATTTAAAAATTTGATAGTAATAAAGTTAATTTACTAATTAGAATAATTAGAATATAAGTAATCACTTAAATGTATTAAAAATTATGCATCAATTTGTTTTTAACAAAATCTTAGATTATATTTATAATCATTTTTGTTCATTTCTATTGTTATATCTTTATAAACTTAGTAAATATTTTTAATTTCAATATTATATATTTTGTATATCTATATATTTGTCAATTTTTGAGTTACATAATGGGATGCAACCAAACTTAAATCAACTGAACAATGTTGCCACAAGTGATGTCAAAATTTTACAGAGTTATTGATAGTTTTAAAAACAATTTTTTAAAAACTAATAAATTGCAAAAATTTTATAAACAGAATGAAAATTTTAAAGACTAAATGAGATTAGATTATAGATTAAATTTGTGAACTTTTGTTTATAAATATTATTTATATAATTTTTTTGTAAAGTATGGCCATTGTTTTTCATATAAATTGAGATTTGTTTTATGAGATAAGATATAGATTTTGCACATTTAATTTGTATTGATTTTAGATTGTGAAAACATTGAGGTGAAAGTAATATAAAATTTCATTGACATAATCAATATAATGTTATATAACTGTATGGTCAAATTTTTTGTTTGTTTACTATGTTTAAGATTATTTACAGAAATGTTTGTTTATTGCATATAATAATATAATAGTTATTTGTGTTTATGACGGCAAAGATCGTCACAACTTTTAATAAAGTAAATATATTGTTATTATATTCACTCAATAAAATAGAGACATATTTTTGGTTCAAGTAATAAACATATAACTTAAGCAATGATAAGTATAATATAAATTTAGCCAAACTTTGCATATTTGGAGTGACAAAAGCCAAATAAAATGTTTTTATGACTCAATTCATGATATGACATAACATAACATTCCGGTGTCAATGTGTGGGAGAGACCGGTGTTGATGTCTGTTAAGTCACTTTGAGCTCATATTTTGGCACATCTGTTGCAAATTCATTTAGGGTCTGACCTAAAATGCAATATCATTATAGTGTATATTAAATACTCTAACATCTAGTGATGTCTGTCTCCATTAATTTAGATTATGACATAAAGTGATAGTTGTAAGTAAACATAATAACTTATGGCTAATATATTGGTGTTATAGGGTACCGGTGCATATATGGCAAATATGCCAGCTCTAGCATCAGCTTCTGCTTATGGTGCTTACCCCACTGCTGCTGTCTTACCTGGTCTGATGTCAGCTGCTGATCACTTGACAACAAACTATGGTGTAGTTCCTTCTCCTACTCTGATAGCCTCGTCTCACAAAACAACGCGCACAGACCGTCTTGAGGTATAACTATTAAACAATGACTGAATAAATCACCTCTAGGTATGTCGTATTCTATGACTATCAGGTTTGTCGAGAATTTCAAAGAGGAAACTGTAAGCGTTCAGAATCTGAATGCCGGTTCGCACACCCACCTGATTACCTGCAAGTGGACGCCAATGATGGTGTCGTAACGGTGTGTATGGATTTCGTGAAAGGCCGGTGTTCCCGTGAACAATGCCGTTATTTGCACCCCCCGCCGCACCTGCTGGCACAGCTTAAGGCCGCCCAAAACAGGCCAAACTCTGCTGCTCTGGTAGGACAGCTATGCCACTACTGTCTTGTTTTGTATTGTTCATGCATTCATCCAATGTTGCGATACCTAATAATTACCTAAACCTCCAATACAGTTATCTATTGATCCACTGATTGCTATTAAATGAGGATTACAAACATATAGATCAGTGCTATAATAGGCTATAGCTCTTAATATGATAAGCGACTAATTTGTCGAAATAACTATTTTATTATCTAATATTATATATATATATATATATATATATGTTAGCGTTTGGTCCTCATATGCAATATAAAAGGGATGTTATGATTATAGTGATAGTAATTTAGTGACAATTGGCCAAAACTGACCACTATATGACTAAAACTATTGATAATCTATTAAATACTAACTAAAGCAATGAATGCATGCTTTAAATGACACATTAATATGTATTAATTTTGATTTATTTTTCTTTAATGATATTATTGGCCGCTTTAATGCTGGCTGTGGTGATCCCTTTGGTAATCTTTGAATACCTGTGACTGCTTATTATTGCTACTATTGTAATGCACTCGCTGTGGACATTAATGTAACTTAACTTTGATCCCAACCTGCCTTTTGATGCGTATATAATGTTATAATGACACCACAAATGTTGACAAAAAAATATACATTACTTGACATACATCTGCATAACAAACTGATAGCCGTCCGCATCGCACGTATCATTGGCCGAAGCGGCTGTTTCGTCGTTGGCTGCATTACCGCCGGGAAAGAAACGAACGCGAGATCCCGCAGACGAGTTTGTTATGGTATATAAGCATATATTGCATGCTTTCTGTTAGGGTTTGCAGACATTGTTTCACCAGTTTATCCATACTATCCATACTATCCATTCTGGTTATGGGCTTACTATGGCTTGTCTTAGGTTTGACTCAAACTGCGCCCAAACTATACAAAACGATTCGTTACTTTTCTTAAAATTCCTAATTATTTAAAGATTTAATTTTATCATTTTTTCTATTTAATACATTAACCATTACATAGCCAATTGATTTATTAATTGATAAAAATAGTATTATTATTATTATAGTTATGATTATTATTACAATGTTATTATTAGTGACCGGAATAATTTGGAACCGCAGTGTTGTGTCAAAACTTGAGACAATATATAATTATTAAAGTTATATTGAATGCTAATTGTGATCATTAATTGTTAAGTAAAAAGTGTCAGTCACTGGTGATGTCTTATTTATTGTTAATTTAATTGTAATTATTAATTATAATAAACTTATTAGTTAATTATAAGTAGCGCATGAATATCCTATAATTGCCTTTCAGCACGTTTTGTGTGACAAGTTTTGCTCGGGTGCTTAAAGACATTTTTAGGACAAACTATCATTTATTTATAAATAAAGTCAATAAACAGCACCTTAGCAATGCTTTTCCCATTTATACCCATATTGTTTACATAACTTTTAAAGTATTTTAATTAGTAGTGAATGAATATTGCATTATATGTGAGTAGAGGACGGCTTTTATAACAATTGCATTTTAATATTTTTAATATATTTTATACTTTAATTTGCAAATTAATAAAGTGGTGTCTCATTGAAAAAGGCCAATTATCATCATATACTGTACTGTATATACAAATAAACGTATTATTACTGTGGATATGAAGTCTTATACATTTATCAAATTTAAGTGATTTTATATGAGATCGGATCTATTTTTGAAATTAAGCTTATAATTCAATAATCATTGTTTTATAATTCACTTTTTTATTATTTTATTGAGTCTATTTCACTTATGAGAACTTATTTTTGAAATAATTTAAAAAATCAGTAGCATAACAATTAGTAATTAATTTAAGTAATAATAATAATATTTATAATAATAATAATAATATGAAATTTGCTTGGATTCACCAGATAACATTGGTTATGCTTTATACTTATTTAATAATTATAATAATAGATAATATTCATCACCTAAATTAGCTTTAATGACCACAATTAGTTTATTTTATTATAAAAAGCATTTAAAATAATCAAAAATATTTATTAAAAATATATGTAATCTGTATTTTTTGATTACTTTTAAATGTTAATTGAATATATATATATATATATATATCACCTGATAAGATACATATTATTGAAAGCTTGCTTTAGCTAATGAATAAACATAATAATGATAAATATAATTAAATAAGACTAACGGTGTTCATTATTTAGACGTTTCCGGGTGTAGTTCCACTATCTAAACGACCGGCACTTGAAAAAAGTGGACTTCCCGTCTATCAACCGACTGCTGCCTATCAACAGGCACTGGCAATGCATCAGTCATTTGTTCCCTTCTCTTGTAAGTGTGGTTTCACTGATTGATTAATATGATTAACATATTTATATTAATTTATTATTATTTGATAAAAGTTTATTATCCGGTTGCTGGACATCCTAATAGTATTCAACGATTTTAACGACTGATGCAATTTTATCTATTGTATCCAAATTCTGGTCACTTGTTTTATCTCATTGTTTATAGCATAACCTCTATATTTACAATGGTATATATATTATAGCATTTTTATTACAACTATTGTTTTAACGAACTTTTTCTTATTTTAGGTCATTTTTGAGCTTAAATATTGATATTTAGTTAAATTGTTGATCATTTGACTTGAAAATGGATAATATATCCATTGAATTGTGTTTTGTTTATTTTGACACAACACACTCTACCATATTATTTATATAATAATTAATTTTTCGATTTAAATTATGGATAAAATTTTTAATTAAGAGGATATATAACAAATATAATTAATTTTACAGTCAAATAGTCTCATTTCATAGGTTTAATAATGATATACATATTTCAGTTATTTAAAATTAAATTAATGTTATATATTGACTGCTTAAGTGATTAATCAATAATTGAGATGATACTATCATTACTTACTTATTGATATAAAGCCATTTTCGACTGTAAGTTATTTAATCGATAACTTATGAATAATTTAAAAATTTTAAATCATAATATAGTTTAAAAAAAACTTATAATAATTATTTGAAATGATAAATAAGAGAAAATTGGCGCAAATATTTCTACAACAATTCCGTGCAATTGACTACAGAGTCCTTATTGTGGCCTCAAATCAGACTATTTTTGTGTTTTTTGACTTTTATAGAGGAATACATTTATTGAAACCAAATATTAAATTTAAAATGATTTTTGGAAAAACTGAAGTGCAATTCTGGTGGATATTAATTGATACACAATTTGGATACTGAATACCAATCAAAGCAAACTAATATAAAGTTCTCATTTCTGTGATAATGAGTGGAATTATTGATAATAACTTATATTCATATTTCAGATATTATTATTAATATAATTATTATTACTATTATTATTATTACTATTACTATTATTATATATTAATATAATTATATATATATATATAATTTATATATACAATACATATATAATATACATATTGTCAAATATGACGAAAATTGCAACGAAAAAGATATTTAATTTTAATGAAGTGAATTGAAGTCACTTTTCAGTTAAATCTAGTCTTAATTAACTTTAGACTGAATATCATTTTGTTTTTCGCAACAATGTTTGCTTCCAATTATCTTTCCATTTGAAGACCTGATCCAATAGATCGCTAAATTAGTTATAATTAGGAAAATGTTAGCATCTGTTGGTTCAGATATTTCATTTATGTCATCATTTATTCTTTAAATTATTATATTTTATTCACTTTGTATTTTTCATTTTAAACGCTTTTTAAATGTTTTATTTATATAATAATAATAATATTACAGTTATTTAACAATTATTGTTATATTTATATATATATATATACTGTTGTATTTTTAGAGTATTTGCAGTATTTATTATGCATTATATTTATCGTTAAATTTAGTCTATATTTATTTTCAATTTTATGCAATTATTATAAACGAGTCATTAAAAACATTATTTTACAAAATAAGTTGAATTTATAATTTAATGTTATACATGATATTTTATTGAAACATTGCAAACAATGTCTATTTGATGTACAGATTTTTAAATATATTTGTAAACATAATTAAATTATTATAAACATTGTATTATTAATGTGGTATAAAAATGTTAAACTTGATGTAATATTTGATAAATGTGTTTGCGATATATAATGTGACCACTCGTCCAATAACAGTGCATTTTATTTTAATTAAATAAATAAATTAATATATTTGAGTTTTTAAGATAATAGCTATTTTCATAGTTATCTAATTAAAAATAAATTTTTTATTGTGAGTAATTGTAGAACAATTTTTTATATAATAATTAAAAATTTGCTTAAAATTATTGCTATCATTAATTATGATTGAATTTAATTGGTGATAGTATTATATTATTGTAATCATAAATGATTTATTAATAATAACATAACGATTGGTCACATCGATATCTCATTCATTTCTATGCCTTTTTGAATCCACCCTATGTTTAGACAATTTGTAATTTATATCAAATATATTGTCAAATATCACCATTTTGTTTAAATTTATTTATAAATTATTGTTGTCAGTTTAAATTTATGTTTTATTATAAATATTTATAAGTATGAATAAATACAGTATGTGTAACAAATTACAATTATAATTAGATTAATTAATTATATATATACGCGTTTTGCAATGAATATTATTATATACATACATTTAAAACTAGTGTTAAATTAAATATAATAAAAAGCAATTAACAATTATTAAGTAGGGATTAATAAAGTAAATATTCACGCCTTCAAATCAAAGTGACTAATAATTTGATTTTGAAATGTTGTCAAAATTTATTGTAATTTGAATTTAAACGATTCATTTATTCCTACTTTTTCATTAATTGTTTGTAAAATATATTTATAAATAAAAATTTAAAAACAAAGTATTCATTTTCTATTTTATTTATCAAAAATTAAATATCTAAAAACAGGAAATTATATCAAACTTTATTTTTACTCAATGAAAACTACGTTAATATAATCAATTTGTATTGAATTTAAGCAACTTATCAGTTATTAAATATTTTTTTTATGAATGATAACTGTTGTATTTATATATATCGTATATAACATTAAATACATAAAGTCTCACATATTTTAAATATATTTTAAATACATTTATTAAATAAAATGTTTTTATATTTAAGTTTATAAATATGTGAATTGAAATTTAATTTTAAGATTTACAATAGATATAATACACCGTAAATTAATTTTATAAGATTAACATTTGCGTAAATATTAAAGACATAATCACATGAATTTATTTCTGATAAAAACGGGATTTTTTTTCGTTAATGAAAAAAGTTTACAATTAAAAAATATTAATTACAAATTAAGATTTTATATAAAATTTTAATTAATAATATTTTTGTATAATTATATATTTTAATGTTAAATTTATAAATTTAATACATTTTTAATTTTATTTTAATTTTATTAAAAGTAGTTGTAAGTAGATTTTTTTTGTTAAAATAAAATGTTTAGTAGATTTAATACTCTATTATTGGATAAAAAATTATTATACTGTAGTATAAAAATTAACATAAATTATTTATTCATCGATGTTATTTATCATTGATATATAAATTATTATTTATTTATTTCAAATATAATATTTTAGCTATAAACTGATATATTTTAATTTTTATTTAAAATATTACATTTAACTAATCAGCTTATATTTCATTATAAATGTAATTAATATTTTATAATAGAAATACTTACCATTATCTATAGTAACAAATTTTATATACAATATTAATAGTTAAGTTAATTTTATTAAACTATTTTTGAAAGTACTTAATTATACTTAATAATATCAATCTTTTTATAATATATAAAACATTACAAATTGTATATTATAATGATTAGTTTGGTAATGCTATAAAATTAATTAAAATTAATTAAATCAAATAAATTTGATGAATAATAAATAAAACAATTTAACATAAAGATTTCAATTTATCAAATATTATTCGTAATAATAATTATTATATTACTTATACAAAGGTATTATATTGTAAATGATATTTAATATACAGTAATTTGATATAATATGTAATTAATTGATAAAATAATAATGGTTTGAATTGTTGTGACAAATAGTGTAATTAAAACAAACACACAATGAAATTATACCAAATTATTAAATGCCATCAAAAAGGATATCATATATAGATTGAAATAATTGTTTGCAATGATAACGATTGCAGTCAGGGATCAAGTGATCAGTTATTTTGATTTACGCTTAAAATCAATGAATCGACAATTTATTATATATTATATTACAATATTTTATGTGTATTTGTGCTGAGTTTGCATTGATTTGATTTAATTGTTTTATTCAACTTTTTTGAAAAAATAAGTTTAATTGTAATAATAATATTATAAACTGTATGTATAGTAATATTGATTAAAATGAAACTAACATCAAGTGATAAAATGCAAATACCGGTCCTGTTTGCCGGTACAGACATAACAGTGCTATCATGTATTGAAATGAAGGCCTTTTAGTGATTTAATAGCGATTAACACATTAAAACATTAAAGATATTAATAATTGAATGTTTGATAGCATTGATAGCATAGATAGCAATGAATGTTTGGTTGTAAAGCATGTCATATACAGTAAGTATAGTTAGGAATTAATATGAGGTATCAATTGATTCAATTGTTTGACAATTAGTTGCATAGCATAACACATACAACACATACAACACATACAACACATACAACACATACAACACATACAACACATACAACACTGCATTCACTGAATCACTATATTATTGGATAACATGTAATACATATGTATTTGACTTATGATTGGCTAACAGTCACTGACGTAATGAGTGTTAGCTTTCATAGAGAGTTAGTCTTTGAATGAAAGAGAGAGAGAGAGAGAGTGTGTGTCAGTCAGTGTGTGTTAACAGTGAATGCATTGAATAAAAGTGTTGACAAAATGGCTGAAAAAGAGTCGAATTTCTTCAAACCTGAAGACAAACTGTCGACAACTGAATCAATCGTTCAGTTTTTATGGAATCCGAGAACCAAAGAGTTCTGTGGACGCACTGGTAGTTCATGGCGTATGTATACATATATCACACATAACACACCCTTTGATTTGATTGATATTATGATTAATAATTGCTTTGTTTTACAGTAAAGATCTTAATATTTTACATAATCTTCTACTTATGTTTGGCTGCCTTCTGGGCTCTAATGTTGTTAATATTTTATCAAACTATTGACCAACGAGTGCCCAAATGGCAATTAGGGGACAGTCGTATCGGATCCAACCCAGGTTTGATCGATTATATGATTACTAATACATTAGTTATGGCCTTAAAATGACATTTGCTTTACCACAGGACTTGGTTTCAGACCACGACCTCGTGATGAGAATGTGGAGAGCACTTTGATTTGGTTCAAACAGGGACACAAAGAAGAAAATTGGAACCATTGGAGGGACAGTTTGGTGACATTCTTGGAACGTATGTCTTAATAATAACTAATTTAATTATAGACTAATCCATCATATTATAGATAATTATGTGATATACTCTATATGTATATGTGATACGAGTATTACATATGTATAATATGATAGTTAATTACATACAATAATACTTTAAACAGATATTTTAAAATAGCCTTCAATTGATTTGATATGAATTTGTATGTATAGCCTATGAGAAGGCCAATGAGGCCAGTGCTGACAGAGGAGCTCATATCGATCAGTGCGATAACGGCAAACCTCCCAGTGATGACAAGTTTTGCTTTTTTGACATCAAGAAAATTGACAACAATTGCAGTCGTGGACAGGATTTCGGTTATAAAAGAGGCGATCCCTGTGTTCTGATTAAACTGAATAGAGTAAGACTTTGATTATATAATTTAATGAAATGATTTGATTATTAATACTATTATATATAATAGATATACAATTGGAAACCCGAACCGTTTACTCCGGATGATTTGAAAAACAGTAATATCCCGGATGAAATTAGACCCAAAATAGTTGCCAATCAAACTCAAACCATTTTCATCTCTTGTGAGGGAGAGGTATGTATAATATATACATATATATAGATATTTATTTATGTATTGATCTATCATTTATTGATAATTTTATAACCAGAATGCGGCCGACAAGGAAAACATAGGACCCGTTCAGTACTATCCACACCAAGGAATCGATTTTAAGTACTTTCCATTTACTAACCAACCCGGATATCTATCGCCATTTGTGTTCGTCCACTTCCAGAAGCCCACTCCTGGAGTGTTAATTAATATCGAGTGTAAGGCATGGGCTAGAAATATAAAACACGACCGAATGGATAGAGAGGGTAGCGTTCACTTCGAGCTATTAATAGACGGATTCTAGTAATGACATAATTATATAATTATATAAATTTTAGATTAGGTTTGATTTTTAGACATTTATAGTTTTATTTGAATTGATAACAACAGTAATTTAATTGAGTTAAAAATATTTTAATGCATTCTCTAATGATTCAACGATTCATACTCACAAAAAATGCAATTCATTTCAGTTTTAGTTATTATTATTATTATTACAACGAGTTTTGGTTAAAAATACATCATTAGTTATAGCATTTATGTTGAAATCTGTTATTGAGTTATTATTTTATTTTGTATTTTGATAGCCTATAAACTTGTGTAACTGCTATTCACAAACATAACTAGTATTTAATGAATGTATGGCAGCGCTGTTAATCAGCCATTACTTCATTTGAATTGAATTCATAAAATTACATTTTATTTGAACAGTATATAAATATATAACTATATAAAGTAATTTAGTAAAAAAAAGTTTGATTATTAATACAGTATATGTTTTATCAAAACATAGATTAACATAGATTTGTAACACTAACTGAAGTAATGGTTAGCTAACTTAAACAGCATTGCATTGATTGCTCATTGAAGTAGTTATTATTAACATAATATTAAATAATTAGAGATTCAGTTTCTTAATAATCACGAGTTAAAGCAAAGTTGTATTATAATTACATGTCATTTATTTTCACTTACCGTATAATATAAATCACTTACACAACACCCTAAACATTCAATTAATTAACATTAAAAGCGAATGATTTAATTTAATTTATAAAAAGCAATAATAATTAGAGATTTTTTCAGAGATTGGACACAATAAGCATTAGTATCGACAGATCTGTAGTTTGTTTTCTATGTCTTGATTACGATTTCACGATTTTGTTTGCTATTATATATATTTTTGAGATACAGATACACAACACATCCAATATAATAATAATAAACTTATATTTGTATTTAAGTGATAATTCTGTTAATTTTACGTAACAAATGTTTTGTATAAAAGATATTTAATTTGTAAAATATGATCACAAATTTGAAATCTAGTCTCGTTTTATGGAAAACATTCTACAAATAAATGGTTATTATTATAAAAAAAAATGAAAATTCCGTTCAATAGCTCTCTTCTAAAACTAATTGAATTATTCTTCAAATTAATCATAAATCGCAAAAAACAAATAGCCTTTTAATTAATGCATAGTTTGTATTAAATAAAGGTTTTACACTTGTAGTGCAATCTTATTTATATCGATTGTTTTATTTTATTATTTTAAATATATTATTATAAATATCATTTAATCGTTTAAATTTTATAAATTTTAATCTTTAATCGATTTTCTTGTAAATCGCTTTTAATATAATAAATGCATTGATAAGTATAGTTTTAATTAAAAAACAATATATTTATTCACATTTTAATAAAATACATAATTTTTATGTATTAAAATTTAACAATTTAAATGGCAATCTATACAAAATAATTTCAAGAATATAACATTTGCTATCTATTTCTTCGACCCCAAAGGTTTAGTTGAAATACAAAAAATAATATTTTATTAGAAATCCAAACGACTGGTGAAAAAATTTTAATTCGATTGTTGCTATAATTAAATATATATTAATTATATGACAAATAGTTATATAATTGACAATTAGTTGACTAACCAAATGTCTAATCGAGGTCTGGCCTCATTAGCACTTATGATATAAAGGGGAAAAAATATTGAAAACATTGCACCACTTAAATAATAACTTGGGATCAAATAAGTGACAATAGCTAGAGGTAAACCAAATCCTAAAAAGTAAGTCCAATATTTTTCTATAAAATGTAATCTTCGATGTAATTCCCATCCTATAAAACAATATCTCATTAGTAGACATTGATTATATAGTCAATGAAAACAACAATGAGATAAACTTAAAAAATTGAATAAAACTAAACAGGGACAAAAAACAAATATATACTGTATCAATATACCCATTGTATACATTGTTTATTACTGTATATTTGAATTTATAAGAAAAATATACAGTATTACAGGTGATTATCATTTTATTAATTATTTAAATTAGTCTCATTTTGTATGCAAACAAACCTAAATTAAACCACTTGTATTCAAAAGAGTAGAGAGAATACAATAGACTTAAATGGAAAATAGCGGCTAATTGTCCGACAAAAGGAATCGGCAAAAACTTGACAACCATTGACTGAAAATCAAATTTATAACAAAATTATTTTTCAATCAAATGATTGTTTATTGTATTGAAACCTGAATTAGAAATAAAATTTGAATTAAGAGACTGAAGAAAGTGTCGGCAATAAAGACGGGAATATTTCTGAAGGATCGCTGACGACCTCTGAATGCATTATCGGCGATGTCTTGAAACCACAACGCATTCACGACACGACTCAATAAAAAAAGAGGCAAAACCCAGAAGACTGAGAAAAAGTATGAAAGCATGGGTTCCAACCAAAACCATGTCATCGACACCACTCCTTCTTGAGATCCAAATATGAATTGGATCAGTAAGTATAGTAGTGATAGAATCACGTGATTGAACAACACTATTGACAACTGACCACTCATTATATCAATTGATTTATTGATTCAATACTCTTATCACTTACCAAAAAGACTCCGCCATTGAAGACAATACATTCAATGATTCTCTTCATAATATTGTTGGCATTATCTCCTCCACTATCTTCTCTAACCACACGTCTTATAGCAAACATACCAACCATTGCGTCGTAAACACCAGTCGTCACACCAATCATTATATCCTAAAAGTTAATCAAATCATTACAAGTCATTACAAGTCATTGCAATTAAGTATTTAATACCCGAAGTATATTCATATTTCTAACTTCAACTCATCCAACACTTCCAACAAATATTACTTCAATTCAATTGTCATTTGTTTAACAAAATAAATCAATATTTCTCACAAAATAACATTAATTTTGCAAAACTTTTATTTTAATTGAAATCATTTTTTTAGTTTTAAAATATAACAAAATATGATATAAACAATCAATTGTTTGGTATTTAATTTAAAAGCAATTATTTATTAATTATTTAATTGATTTTCGTTTTTATTTTCAATTTTTATAATATTGTGTATTATTTTATCACAATTTCATAAAATAATTGGCATTTTGTTTCATCAATAATGTCATGAAATTTGATTTTTTATTTATTAATGTATTATATAAATAATAATATTTTTAATACAATGAATATAATATTAAAATATTATCCAATTATTTAATTATTAACGTTATTTGTTTTCATAAACAGTCATATGTTGACAAATATAATATTAAAAAAAATACAATACTTTAATACAGTATTAACTAATAGTCATATGATATGATATTATTAGACAACATATACATTAAAATATTATCATTGATTTAATTATATTGAAATGATAACAATTAATGTGTTTATCATATATACTATATTATAGCCATACTATCAACAAATTATAATATCAAAGATATCTCATCGGTGTTCATATCTTTTGGTCCAATGGTTTAAAAGACATTTGAAGACAGTATTTGACAATTAATTATTTGAAATTAATATTACAATAACATTGAATATAATAATAATATCTATAATTAATTAATTGTAAGAAACCTTATTTTAAATTGAAAACACTGTCAAAACTAAACTAATGATATCATTGATGTCTTATACTGTATGATAATATATGTTAATGTATAGGTATTATATATCGATATGTTTTCACTGATAATTAATGTATTTATAATGTTTTATAAATTTATTGATTGAGACTAATAGTTGTGTAAGTTATAGACATATTTGGCTCCGGGAGATATTTATTTAAATAATGTGCCAATAAATCAGTGCCAAACCTCTATCTCCAGAAGCAGTTATGGTATCAATCAATATAAGACAAATCATTTGTGACTAAGTTTAGTAATAACTACGACAAGTGTTTTCATTTAAACTAATTTTTGTTACAATTAACAGACAATAAAACAATTATAGTGTCATATAATTGATTAAATAAAATGTTATCACTATTTCGTCAAAATATTTGTTCGTTTAATGCAAATAAATGTTTGACAAATGTTTTCAAAAGAAATGTCAAAAACTTTTTGGTTTCAAGAAGTTTTACAAATAGATTGTCAAACAATGAGAGCAACAATAGTGTCAAAACACTTATCAAACCATTGATATTCACAATTGGGGTATAAATTGATTGTTTTAATAATTAATTGATTTAATCTATTAAATTATAATTAATAAGTTTAGCGGAACTGTATATACGGTTAGTATTGTTTATAATTATGAGAACTCATTATTTGGTCAAACATTTGATTGGAGACAAAACTTTTACACCATTCAAGACAATCATATAAAGAGAAAAACCGGATCTCTTAGAAATGAGGTTTTATAGGTTTTTCAATAAAATATTAAATTAATTCATTAAACTTATATATACTTTATATTTTTATATGATTAAAACTAATAAATCAGTTAAACAAATGGTGGCAATCAAAGGATATATCATTCAAAGTTTTTTCATCCATTGCTGCCATCAATGTCCTGGTTTTCCTGTGTTGGAAAAGTCAAAGATTACATCCTTTTATGTTTAAATACTTTACCGCTTATTTTGATAGTACGTTAAATTGATATGAAAATTGCAATAATCATTGATTATTAATATATAAATTAATTTATTTGAAGAACAAGTGAAATGTTGGCCAATGTTATTGTCGACATTCAGTCACTATTCAATAACACATTTAATCTTCAATTTAGTGGTTCTTCACTCATTCACTAAAGTTGGTATCAGTTTGTTTGGTGTCGAGCAGTTTGTCGCTCTTTATTTAAGCTCTGGTATTAATATTATTAAATGATTTATTAGTTATCTATTTATTATACTTTATATTTTAGGAGTTATTTCATCGTATGGTAGTTATATGACTAAAGTATTGCTTAAAAGAAGTGGATCATCTTTAGGAGCGGTAAACAATTAATGAAAACAATAGGAAATCTATAAAATTAAATGAATTTATTGTTTAAATAGTCGGGAGCTATACTGGGAATCCTTGCCTCGTGTTGTATTGCAAGACCAGACTTGGAATTAGTTATTATATTTCTACCATTTTTTACCATTTCTTCGGGAATGGCTTTAAAGGCCATAATAGCAATGGATAGCTTTGGAGTGTTGTTGGGTTGGAAACTGTTTGATCACTCGGCACATCTCGCAGGCACTCTGTTTGGTGTTTGGTATACCAGTTATGGACAGCATTTTCTGACACAACACCGACACCAAGTAATTGATATTTGGCAAAGAATTAAATCAATTTGATTTACTTTAATTTATTATATAAACAAATAATTTTTTTCAGTAAACATAATATATTTATCATAATGTTTATACAAAATAATAAATGTTTGTAATATTCAAAACTTATAAATGTTAGCATAACTCGAATTCCAATCTCTTTCAAAAATTTCTTGTAATTGATCTCTAATACTATAGTGACTTGAGTTTGTGGGTGTAATAGCAATGCCAACACCGGCTGTGTTGACAAAATAGTCTGCAGACCAGTTGGATGTACCGATATATGCTGTTTGATCGGTTACCATATATTTGTTGTGATTAACTCTAGCAAAAGGTATGTCTGCCTGTTGTGGTGTAAACGCCGGAACAACAAATAGTTTGCATTCAATGTGAGCCCCAAATACAGAGCTGTCATTAAAAGCTGCCAAAGATTTTAAAAACAAAGGCATTGATTTACGGGTATTATTCCAATGACTGGCCAATAATCGGACGTTGACTTTGCGGTCAATCACTGCTTTCCTCAACTCATTATCGATTAGTGGCCAAAAGGCCCTATAGTTAGAGTATAGATATTGTGGATAATAATCCATTACAGCTATATATATATATTTATTGGCATTTCTTATGATTGATAAAATGGCTGAAATATCATTTGTGCGACCATTTGGACAAAAAGATTTTGGAGATGAAGACATAAATACATTATAAGGCTTCTCATTGATTGAAAGTGAAAGTGGATTACTTTTATTATAGTTTGTGGACCAGTCTTGTGGCCAACTCTTGGGAATCGTTGCATTTGTTGTTCCCAAATACCAGTATACCTGAAATATTTTGATCAAATCGTTTGCTAAAACTGAACAATTATATAAAACAACACCCATTTCCTTGACATGAGTTAGTGATCTCCAGTCCATATTAGCGCTACCGATATAAACATGTTTTTGGTCAACAATTATAAACTTTGTGTGCAAAACACCGGCGCCTATAAGTCTTGTAAAGTTTAGTTGACGTATGTTTGCTACAGAAGCCAGAAGTTGTAGATCTGTATTGTTTGTTGTCGTCTGATTGACAACAATACGAGTTATTAAGTCTCGTCTTCTCGTTGTCGTCACTATTGTGTCCAATATTTCTTTACCTTTAATGCTTGAATTGTCCGGATGTGGCATCACATCTGTTCCTAATAGTGACCAATAAAACGATGCGATGTCTAGTGTTGTGGTAGCGCTTGAAATCAATGCAATCATCTCTTTGAAAGTGTCTTTAGTTGTAATACTTGAGTTATATGTCAGACCAATAGGTATTGTCTCCACTAAATTGGCGTTACATTCATCTGAGTTTAATTCAGTTTCAATTGAACTAAAAACAGTATTAAATGTCGACAATAATACACAAATTAATATTAATTTAAAACACATTTTATTAAATAAGATATTCATTTTGAAAAAGTTTAATAATTTGTGTTAACAATTCTGATGACTATTAAAAATAAGTACTAAATGTCAATATTGATAATAAATTAAAGATAAAACTTTAATTAACTATGTTTTAGATATATATATATATATATATATATATATATATATATATATATATATATATATATATATATATATATTATAGTAGTTAAATGGAAAATAAATATTTATAAATATATTACAAATTATAGATAAAATATAAATAATTATTATTTGCATTTATTTATATTTATTTATATTAATAAACTGTTTAATTGCCTAAATTTTTGTTAATTTTATTGATTATTACTAAAATCTTGAAATATCTAAACAATCAATGTTCAGTCAAATATATAATACATTGATGCACTAAAAGTAATTTAATTTAAACTTTACAATAACTATTTACGAGATATGATTAAATAAAAACTATCTATAATTTTATATTTATATTTTATAACAAATTGTTACAATTATATATTATTAAAATCTACAATGAACTTAAATTTTTTATTAATCAATAATATTATGTCAATTTAGAGTAAGTTTAATATTATGTAATAATAAATGTGTAAAGTATATCTACTTTATATCTGATGATAACTTATATATAGAAATATTTCACTTAAAATAAATAATAATTTAATTAACAAATAGACATAAATTTAACATTTATACCAATAATAGAAAATATTTTACTTTCTATAACTTTATTACTTTTTCAAAAAACTGCCGACTATTTTATGAGTCAATCTATTGACTTAAATCCCTATATAAAGGATAGCACTGACCATACCTTTTATGCTTCGATATGCCAGTGCTTATGACTGCAACATATTAACTACAAATGTATAATAAATTCATAATTAAATAAAATAATAATTTAAAAATACAATGAGTTTTTTTAATGTATTGGTGCGCCTAATAAGCAATTGCCGTAAAACTCAACTAATGTTTTACAAATGTAATTAATATTATCTTAAATACAGTTTTAGTATTACAGTTGAATACCATTTGTAATTTGACATTAAAATAATAATAATATTATGAATTTTTTGTTTTATAAGTTTGTTATAAGAATCTATTAACAGTATTAAGTGTTTTAACTAAAAATAGTTTGTATAATATTATGTCGTATATAATGTTTAACTTTTATTATTATGCAATTGTGATGCATTTCACAACACTTTATTTAGTACATTGAATATATATTTTGATTTTAAATTTGATTTAAAGTTTTTCAAGGATTACTCTCATTAATATTAATTATTTATAATTTAATTAGTTGTACAAAACTCAAGGCAAATCTGAAATTAAAAGACAACATAAAATTTTTTAGACATACTTTGTGACAATAATAATGTAATAAATCGGTAAAAAATTAGTGAAAGTGATTTTTAAATAAAATAGATATGAATGAATTGGCCTAGAACAAAATTATTTTTTTAATTCTAAAAATATAAATGTCTTAGTATTTAGTAATTAAGTCAATTTGCTAAATCTATATTTAATTTAGAATAAATTACTATTTTAATTAAAATTGAAACCAATTATCTATTTAATATATAATTTGAATTATTTAATAAAACACATATCATATTATAATTTAAATTTCTATACAATTACAATTAATATCAAATTTCTATAACTAACCATGAACACTTTAAATATTTAAATGAAAAAATGTATTTTAATAAATATTTGTTCTATATTAAATAGAAAATTGGTTTCAATTAATAATTAATTGAAACTTTATCATCAAAAATCATGATTGAAAATAAAAACATTTTTATATAACTAAACAATAGATAATTTATTTCGAAAAACTATCCCTGCTTATTTTGCATTGTTTCGATCTCTGTTATAAAAAAATCACGAAATTTGTAATTAAATTGATTGTTATGCTAAACGTTATAAGAAATATAATATTGTTTGAAAAATAATTGGTAGAAAATAGTTTGAATTTTTAATTGAATTGACATATTTGTCACACATATCAATGGATTTGTGGTGTACCACAGGTCCCGATGGGTTGGGCGACAAAAAGATAATATTACCGATGGATTGCAGACTTCAAAGCATTAAAATGTTTAAATGCGATCAAAACAATAAAGAAAACCCGTTTGTTGTCAATGAAAAATTGATTGAAAATTCAAAACAGATCAAAACTAATACATTAAATCAAGTCTTCAATATCACACAAATGGCTCAGTTATTACACCAAAGCGTTGAAAAAATGGAAAACTCTTGTAATTATTTTATCGGTAGTAAAGAAAAAATGGTATTCATTGGACCAGTTATTTATGAGATTCAACCGTCAACTTATGGTAAACTTAATGGTAATAATTTTGTCTTTTACGACAAGAATGCTGTCAATGATAGCGATAAATTTGAGCCGCCATTAGATCACCAAATTGGTGTAACACCTCATAGAGATAAAGATAAAGATAGTCTGATATTTATATTTAAAGGAGGTGTCATTACAGTCAAATCAGGATCTTATATAGTATTCAATTTGCCGGTAGTAGTGGTCAGATCAAGTGGTGACTATTTTACTATAAGTGGTGGTCAATACAATAGATTAAGAATCAAAACGGGTGTTCACATTGTTTTGCTCATCGATTTGGGAATACCTATTCCGGTGATATTTATTAGATCCAACAAAATTCTTGAGGAAGTGAGTGCTGTTGAATGTCAATTGTCTATAAAAAGTACAGAAAAGGAGTCTTCATTTGAAAGAAAGCTTAACATTGAAAGGATTACCATTGAAGACATTTCTGATGACAAATACATTCCTCAGTATATTTTTGATTGGATTCATTCTAAAGGTTATGACCTCGAAAAGGGCACCGGAAGGGCATTGTTAGGAATGGGAGAATCATCTATTGTCAGACGTGGCACTAGAATTACAGACTCAACACCAATCGCCGCAAAGATAATTGTCAACGAAAACAACGAACTCAAGAAACGCAATCAAAGTCCACCACAAGAATTGTTAATCATTAAAAAGATGAATCACCAGAATATCATAAAAATTGTTGACACATATTGTTTGATTGCAGAACTACCGAATCAAATGTACAGAATGTCATCTGTGGTGATAATGGAGTTATCATCCGAAGAAAATTTGAGAAAAGTTATTGAAAAGAAAGGAAAAATGAGTGAAGAAAATGCTAAACCTGTGTTCAAACAAGTAATTGAAGCCATTGTGTATCTTCACACCAACCAAATAGCTCACCGAAACATACGACTTGACAATTGTCTTGTTTTTGACAACAATATTATCAAATTGTGTGATTTTAGTCGTGCTGTAGACCTGTCTATAAGTAATGCCAATAACGGAATTGAAAGTTTGTCTTTCAAGTATATGCCGCCAGAATTCTTTGAGTCACCACAAGAGGTCGATCCCTTCAAAATAGATGTTTGGATGACTGGATATTTGGCATATTGTCTTCTCAGTGCAAACTTTTCGCCGTTTGGAAGTATTTCTCCAAACGATAAAAACACTAATTCTTCTCAATTTCAGTCTTTCAAGAAAAAACAGACAACAGATCTAATGACAGTAATTAAAGAAATTCCAAAAATCAATGAAAATGGCATTAATTTATTGCAACAAACTTTTAAATCAGATCCAAATGAGAGAATTAGTTCAAAAAAATTATTGAAACACAAATGGCTTAAATAAAACCACAAAACATTTTATACAAATGTCTCAAATGTATACAAATTCTCAATTAATAAAATATATTTATTAATTTTAAAAATAGTATTCATGTTATTCAGTTAACTAAATTTTAAACAATTAACTATTGATGTCAAACAATTTATTATATTTGTCATAAAATTAATGAAATATTTATACAATTAAGGATGTTTAGAGTAGTACATACAGTAGTATAAAACACTAATTGAATGTCAATTTTATATTGCTAATTTAAACATATTAATAATTACTCTAGTGTTATATGCATTAATAAATGTCATTTTAAAATTATTATAATTGATAAAAATGTCAAATTTATTTCATAGCATATGTAAATAAATAAATAATAACACTTAATGTAAACCCTATGGGAAACAAGTATCGGGAGATGAGATCAATTCTGTTAGTATTACTCCTAAACCCTGTTATAGCGTATACTTTAAACCATTTTTGACTCATTTCTGACTTTGCAATTGGTTTGGCTTTGGATTCGTTGGAATTCTAATACAAATCAATAATAATACAGAATATAAATAAAATTGTTTTAATCTTTTAAATTGATATAACATTTACAGAGTTAACAATTTCTGTATCAATTTTGTTGGTTTGTTTTGTTTGTCTATTATCCTGGTAAGTTATTGCAAACGCGTATTCAATTAATGCCAAAAATACAAACGTTATGCATATAATCATCCAAACATTTATAGCTATTATATACGAAACGTTTACTTGTGAAGTCTGGTATTGTTGAGTAATTAAAGCTAATAGTGCTGTAATTACCTAAATATTATTTAATAAATTGAGTATATAATTTAATATATCATAAATATTAACATTTTAGCTATTAAATTATTTAAAATCATAGCATACCAGTGCCACTCTAGCCGGATAAGCGCCAGTTGGGATCCAGAAGCCAACAAAAGACATAATCACTATTATAGCACTGGGAATGTAATTCTTCAGTATATAGAGTCCTAAAAGTCGTATCAATACAACGCGTCCCCTAAGACATGAAAATTTTCCTAAAATAATAAAAATACAAATAATTATATTAATTTTTATTGTAAGATATGATATTAAAACAATAATTTTATTAATAAATACCAATTATATAGGTCTTTGTAAGAGTTTCAGCCGATGATTCAGATATAGAAAATTGAGTCCTAAAACATATTATTAACAAATTATGAGAGATATATATATATACTAATAATTTATTTTTATTGAATATATTTATTTATAAAATTTAATTAATTAATTACATATAAAGACGTTTAGTTAGTGAAAACTCTTTCCAATTCAAAATAACGGTGTCTATAGTGTGAGAAACTAAAATAAATGTATAAATAATAGCATTATATATACAATAAAATAATGAAATATTGATATTAATAATGAAAGTAATTTATAATAATATTTATTATATACTGTAATATATAATATTCAATACATACGCGACATAATGTCTATAAAACATTGTTGAGAGTCGTGTGGAAACCTCGAGAACTCCATTTCACAACTTAATTGCAGAGATATTCTTGACATTCATTGTATATAATATATAAAGTTTATAATTCATCAAAATATACACAATAATTGAAATAAATAAATAAAAATATTTAAATAATCACATATAATGTCAAACTAAATATTTTAGATAAATTTAACATTATAAATTTGTTAGCATTACATTCTACAGTATAAATTAAAAATATTTTAGGTATTGTTTAGTAAAAAAATCAAAAATATAAATATAATTTTTTATATATAGTATTTAATGAACTTTTTTATTTCTAAATTTTAATATTTATAATTAAAATAATTGAACAATTAATTACTTTAGAGTTAAAGTGTATAACAAATTAATGTACTATTAATTGAAGTTTACGATTATATTTTAAAATTTATTATTATTACACTGATTTAGTGTTCATTATTCTCAATTAATAATTGATATGGAAATATATTTATGATTGATTTTACTAATGATAAATCTAGTTTTTTAAATATTTCATATTTAAAGAAATAGCTATTTATGACATATATTTTCAATAAATAATATTATTTTGATATGCTATACAATATATAGTATATCATTATTCATTGTTATTATGTGATTTTTAAGCAATTCACATAAACATTATTCAACAAATTTGACTAATAATGACATTTTTATTATAGGCATTCATAAATTTATATGCATTTGTCTATAAATATACTGTTTTATATAGTATACAGTATTCATCAATACATTCAATATTATATAACAAGTTTTAATGCTTTGGTTTAATGGGCAGCCAATAAATGATTTGATTTTAACGTATGTTAATATTTAATAGTTAAAAAAAATATAAGCATAATAAATATATAACAAGTATTTTTTAAAATATTTTCTTTTATAATAAAAGATTTTTTTTTTTAAATTGTATCAATTGTTAATCTATCAATAATAAAAATAATGTCAAACCTGGAGGCCATAAAAACATTGGTTGTGTTAGTGATGACAAAATATTGTGTGGGAAATATGATGTCCGGCACCCGACCGTCCAATGCATTCTTGAAGTATGCGTCCGGAATCCATAATTTTTTTCTCCATGTGTTGTCTAATACCAAACTTTTGGTCTCATTTAAATAAAACGACTGAAGTCTATGATCAGTCCAATATTGATGATAAAATACATCCATCACATATGTCTATTAAATATATTAAATTAGTCAAATTCAATTAACTTATATCATTTAAATTTATTTTTCTATTTTTATGTATAATATACGCCCATATTAAGTATCTGTTAAATAATTGTGTATTAATATTTAATTTAATTACAATTTCTATTAAATTAAATTGAATTATTAAAATTACTTTTAATGATATGATTTTAAGATAAATTAGTTTATATTATATGAACAAATTAATACAATTATAATATATTTCATTAATTTAATAATACAATCAATAATTACAAGTTCTGTTTCTTTAACGGATCGTATGCTAAGCACAGACACCGAGATATCAACGTTAACGGGTTTACCTGAAAATTAACAATTTAATGATTAATTAAATATATAAATAATTATTTATATACTATATATAAACATATATTTAGTTTTTTAATAGATTTATATGTTATTAAATTATCATTAATATATGTAAATAATAATAAACACAAACCATTCATGTTTGGGGGAAAACTTGGATCATAATTAGGCGGTATTATTGAATCCAATATACGATTATCAGATCTATTAATACAATTTAATATTAGTTAATATAGATATTTATTTTTAACTACTAATATATCGTACATATACTTACATTGAAGTTAAACATTTAGTAGGAGATGATGTAAATGATAATATGATAAATGATAGATATATTGATATAATTTTCATTTAAAGCTCTTTATTATAACCAAATAAAATTGTATTTAGAATTAACATAAAGTTTAGATTACTCAATTTATAAAAATTAATATTTAAATTAATAAATAAATAAATAAATAAATAATACTTAATAATATTAATCTTTTAAAATTATTAAAAAATAATTGTTTACTGACTTTCGTTTTCATTAATTGAATTCAAAACAATGAAAAAATTTGAAGTCATAACAAACAAACTTAAAAATTTGCTAATAGTATTCAACCACAAATTATTATAATTATTTGCTTTAAATGTTTTTAATTATTATTATCACACATTTGCTAAAAATAATATTCTGTAATAACAATGTTGTGTTTATATTTAAACAAATAGTGACTAATTTTAATAATGATTTAGGGGTACATTATATTCATTGAATTTAAGTTTTTATGCACTTTTACAATGAACTCACATTAAAAGCTCATTCATTGCATGTAAAGTATAAAAGTAATTACAATAATAGCAAAACAACTTATTGTGTGAAGAAATGAATGAATCATTAGTTTGAGTTTCAGCCAAAAAGCTAATAAAAATTAAAGTATTGAATCATTTTTGTTGTTTTTTGATTACTTTTAGATTATTTGTAAAGTTTTTTAAGTGAGTGAACCAAAAAAAATTCAAAAATAAACAGTTTTATAAACAGTTTTACTTTTTAAATATATAAATAAATATTTTTAAAGAAAATTATAGCTCAACTAATAGTAACTTGACATAGCAATCAACAAAACTAATAACATAAAAATATTTTTGCTATTTTTATGTAGGTTTACAAAAATATGCTAATATTGCACGCATTTATCTGCATTTATATAATTTTCTCATAAGTAACATTTAAATGCAAACTTAAACTTTAAATTATAACTACATTACAAATAAATTGTGTAATATATTCTCATTTTATTTAACATAAAAATCAATATTTCAAAAAATAATCGTATATTACATTAAAGCAAAAAAATCAATAGTAATTTGAGAAATAAAGTACTTTTATTTATCTTAAAAACAAAATATAGCCATTAAAACCAATTTAAAATAATAATCTACATTATTAAATTATCAAACAAATATTTATAAGATTATTAAACTAAATATAGATTTACGACAACTTATATTAAAACACATTAAATATCACATTTGAGATAATGTTTAAAACCATATAAGAAGTTATAGCAAAAGATGAGATTTGTGTCAATAAAATATAGTAATAATTTTAGGATTATTTTCTTTAATAATTAAAAATTATTGTCTAAAATATTATTATCTAACTAAATAGAAATTATAATTTGGTTAACTTTAAATATTTATATTACAGTTTAATATTATAAGTTATATTTTATAATCATACTTTTATTTAAATTACCTTGCTACAAAAATTTTAAAATATCAGTCAATATATAAACAAAAAAATAGACAATTATAAATAAATTTAACCAAATTTTGTAATTTAATCAAAAGTAATTTAATTAAAAGTAACAATACATCAGAACATCCTTTTGTTTGTTATATTTAATGAATTTGTATTTTGAAAATAAGTTAAAATTAAAAATATTTTTCTTAAAAAGTAATAAATTCAAATTATTATTAAATAGACTTAAATTCAATATTTTTTGTCTTATTTAGCACATATTGTATATGCAATTTCTCTACATATATTGTCCATCAAATAAATGTCGACATATTTTTGGACTTTGACTTAAACCTCTAAGTGATCATACATTTCATGCCTGTCCTTCACGACTGCAACTATTAAACTAAAATTGTAATACAGATTCTTATTCAATGATATTTGTAAAAATACAATTAGTTTTAATCTATTGGTACACAAAAAAAGTAAATATCGCCAAATTTCAACAAATTATAATAAAATTTGATAACTTGTAAATATGAAAACAAATTAAAGATAATTCATACTCAAATGCAGTTCAAATAATTTAATAGTTAATATAATGCCCAATATATTAATTTATTTTTAAAAGTTTAACTGTTTAAATACTACATAATACAACCTTATATATCAATAGTATCATTACATCAAACAGTGTAAATTTCACTTAATTTTTTAATAATTAAATCATATTTAATACAAGTACACTATATAAATTATATTAATAACAATAATTAAGTAGAGTATATATTGATAAACTAAATTATTTAGTAAACTAACTTAAACAGTATTACTTACAGTTTGAATAAAATTACTATAAATTTTAATAAATATAAACAAATGTATAAATAATAATTATAAAAAAATATATAAATGGAAATATAACTCTTGAATACAAATCAAGATTAATGTTATTATTATTATTATTATTATTATTATTGATTTTGAAAATACTATTCAATAATTTGGTAATAGATGTTTTGTGATTATTAATAGGATTATGTGTGTCATCGCTATCATTGTCATTATCATTACATTCATTGTTGACAGTAATATGTAATTTATTTTGAAGCAAACGTATGGCAAATACGAACTCAATGAGAGTGGAAAAGACAAAAGTGATGCAAACAAACATCCAAACACTTAATGCATTAATAACTGAAACATTGAGATCTTGAGTTTGTTGTACTGTTAGTGCTAACAGTGCTGTTATAGTCAGACCAACTCGTGCCGGGTATGCGGTGGTTGGGATCCAGAAGCTCACAAATGTTAGAATAACTATAAAAAGGCTGGGAATGTAATGTTTTATAATAAAGTTACTGACATTTCGCTTCATTGTTAGACTCCCTCTTAAACAAGAATAGGTACCTAAAAATAAGTTATTTTTATATTAAAACTTTATACTGTATTACATAAATATTTAAAAAATAAATTTTTAATACTGTAATGAAATTGACATTTCAGTTAAAATTTTAATTTTTTATAAAAATAATTCTTTTTTTAATATTAGACATTAATGTCACAGCAATTAACTATAACATTGGAATTACTTTTGAAATCATAAGACTTTTAACTATTAACATAAACTATAGGACAAAATTATATACAAAAAATATATATAAACAAATAAATGTTAATTGAATATAAATACCAATATCTTCATAAGTTTTGACACAATTTTCTACGGAAACATTTGTAATAACAAATTGTGGTAAATATATATGTTTTGTCACATGAAATCGTCTCCATTTATATCTCAATATTTCGATTGTATTAGAAACTAAAGATTACAATTATAATATATAATAAATAAAAATAATAAACAATTAGTAATAATCATATTAAATAGTTTTGTGAATTCAGATGTGATAAATATGTTTGATTGAAATGTTTAGTTAGTTATCAATAATAAGATACTTTACATACGACTTGATAATTCAAAATTACACATTTGTGTATCAAATGGATATTTAGCGAAATCCATGTCACAACTGAACTCAAGAGTCAATTTGATAGCCATTAATACTTTGGTCTGATTTTCAATTGTGAAATATATAATAGGATCCAATATGTTGTTAACCGACCCATCGATGGCATTGCAAAAGTATGTGTCGGGAGTCCAGAGCTTGTCTTTCCAGTTGTTGTTTAGTCGTAATTTAGTATTGACCTCAAGTCCTGTCGGTACACGAAGTCTATTATCAGACCAGTATTGATGAAAAAACACGTCGACAGCAAATGACTGTATAATTTTCATTTATTTAAAATAAATATCTATTATTAAGTTTATATAAAATAACAAAAAAACAGGAAACAAAACACTATCTATAATCATAAAATTTAAATAATGCCTCTTAAGTGCATTTTTATATCCTCATAAATTGTTTAAATTGCTAAATAAAATCGAAAATAATTGTATTTATCAAATCTAGATTTTTGTTAAAATCTAAGTTCAAATAAACCTATAAAAAAAGTATATAATTATCACATTTTAAACAAATATTTGTTGAAACTCTATATTTCAAAAATAAATTTTAATTTAATTTAAAGTCATGACAAATTTTAAATATTATTTAAACTTAAATATTATATTTTTGTTGGTATAAAGTGATAAAATTAGATAAGCATAAACTAGTGTTAAACTAATCAATATGATTATTATGAATGAATATGCTATTAAGTTTATATGATTTATCTGAATATGTAATAATATAATATAAAAAAATACAAATCAAGTATATTATTGCTTAATACCAAAGATTTTTCTTTTATAGATCTGAATGATAATATAGAGACGACCACTTCAACATCAATCGGCGTATTATTAACTACCGGTGCTATTAAATAGTTATAATTTGTTGGCAAAATCTCATCCATCTTCCAGTTAGTATCGCGACTCTTACGACTGACAACAATAACATTAGTAGTATTATTAGAGAATGGATTATATGGTATGTATTGTACAATAATATATAGTATTTAATAAAATATAATTCTTGATATATATATATATATATAATGTGACAAAAAGCAATTGATTGCACTTATATATACTCACAGAATCTCAACGTATGGACCCAATTGTTGACACAAAGCATTGACTGTCAAAATAATTAAAAATAATAGACATTGAATTGCAATCATGTCTTAATAAACAACTATTTTGATGGTTTTTCTGGTAACATATAAGACCATAAAATTAGTTTATTTATTACAAATAGACATTTTTATATACAGTACAGCATAGCATTCATTGTTAAGTATATTATTGTTTAGAGTTTAGAGTGAAAATCTTAAACATTAATTTATATCAAACAATAATTGTTATCATTTGTTTTGCTGTTATTATTACAATCTTACAAAATAAATAGTTGTCCGATTGACATGACTAGCATATCAACAATAAATTTGTAATTCAAATAAATTAATATAAAAATAACAAAATAACTATAGTGTCGTTACAGGTGTTTTGTCATATATTATACTGTATTAAAGGACATATGTTTTGAATAAAGTCAAGGTTTCATAAAATATTATAATAAACGGAAATAAAGTGTCATAATTATTATATTTAAATTATTTGAAATCATGTTTTAGTTTTTTATAACTTTATATAATTAATTCACAAAACATAAGATAATTTGCAAAATTTATTTACTTTATAAATATAAATTTTACAAATAAAATTTTGTAATTGTCTATAATTGAGTATTTATATAATTTTTAAGTTACATACATATCTACATACTTTATACTTAAAAATGCAAATATTAAGTAAAACTTATCTATAGTATAATGAGTGAAATTTTTAATAATTTTAATAAAATTTACGTACAATTTAATATAATCTTACATATTATTGACATTAAAAACCTTACGATTATTTAGTAAAAACTTTTATATCTTATTATTACTACATATACAACATTTTTGTTTACAAACTATAATTAATAGTGATTTCTATTATATTTACTAATATTTACTATTATTTATTGTTTGTAAAAATTATTTTCAAATTATAAATTTATTAAAATACAAGTTAATTATGCGATATATTAAATAACATTTGAAAATAATTATATTTTCATGACATTAAAATTAGTCTTTAGATTTGAAAATAGAAATTCATTTTCTTTTAATATATTAATAATGAGTTTTGATGTTTTGATGGTTTGATGGTTTGATTAATTATTAATAACAATAGTATAGATAATTAATGTAAATTTCATTAAACATACAACACTTTCCTCGTATGTTATTATGTGACTGTAGAGCACAAGTAATTTATTTTTACATTAAATATTCATTTTCTCGATATTAAAGTGACGTTAATTAGAAATATATATAGATTTCTAAAATAATAAACTTTTACAAACCTTTTTAGCTATAAATACGGTAAGAACTCAATTAATTCATCTCAATCTCAACTAAAAGATTCAATAAAAATAACTTTAATTTTTATGCTTTTTATTATTAATAAATGTTTATACAATAAATAATATAAAACATAAGATTAGTATATAATTTATATTAAAATAATAATTATATATATAAGACATGAGGAAAAATTAAATTTAATATTAAAATTATATCTGTTATTACTTAAAAAACAATTGCCATAAAAACTATTTTTATTTATAAAAATATGTTATTAGTGTTGGCAAAAGAGAAATTTATAGAATGTTTCTAAAATAAATTTCTATCTATGGGATCTCCATGGTTAATTTTGTTCTCTAGATATTTGTTATCATGTAACAATACATTGTTTTTACAAGTAATAATTAAATATATTCTTAATAGTATTTTAATTATTAATTAAAGTAAAAATAAATTAATTTAATTATATTAAACTATGATATATAGAATAAAATTTTACAAAACTAATTATTATATAATTATAATAATTTTATATATAGGTATCCCATTTTGTACAGTACTATACCATAATATTGTATACAATATACTACAGTATATAGTATATGGTATATAGTATAATATTATCTAACGTTATATAATAGTACATATGTATTATTAATATAGTATTACAATAGCTATAAATATGGGGATCCCATAGTATACCATTAAAGTTAAATTTCAATAGAAATTTTCTAGAAACTTTATTCTACTATAAGATTCTTTTATAAATCAATTGTATTATTATATTATAGTATACGGTATACACAAAATAAAATATGATTACAATATAAATCAGTATAATTTTAATTAAGTGAAATTTTTGTGATTATAAAATAAAATTTTAGTAAAAATTAATTCATAATTCAGTTATTCATAATTCAATGACTACTAATAAGAATTCAATTAAAAACTTTTATAAACTCTTAATTTTTTAATTTTTTTTAATTATAGCGAAATAACTTTATTTAACTAATTTATTATAATTTGCTTTGAGATTTATGTATTTACCAAAATGTTATATATTATTTTCTACATATTAATTAATTGAAGAAATATTTTTAAAACTTAAATTATTTACTTTAAAAATTTAATTAACACAATATTTAAATTTAAATAATATACAATATATTATTATACTAAATAGTACATTATACTTTAAAGTATAATTTTAAATGAAATTATTTATTATTAAAATAATAGTATTTATTTATAAAATCATATAGTAAATTGTAATATATATATATATATACTGTATATAAAGGAGATTAAATATGAATCCGTAATTTTTGAAATTTCTAACTTTAGAATTGTTTATTTCCATTATTTTTAGAATAAAATTTTTTTATCATGTAAATTTAATAGTAAATTTCTTTGTCTTTATTTATTAAATATTTATTTTATTGTCTCATAAAAGATAAAAATGGTAGAAAGCTTAAAGTCAAGTGACCTATAATTTCTAAATTCTACTATTTTAGATTAATCACCTAAAAATAATAAAATAAAAATGGCAAAAAATATTTGTCAAGTTAATTCAAATGTCCTTTATATTAGCATTAAATATAAGTAGTTTTAAATTTTTAAAATTAAAACTATTAATATGAGAATGAATCAAAATCTGAAACTTCAATATAGATTAAAATGTTATTCTATAAATATTAATAGATTAAAATCAAATATATTTTATAATTTAAATATTAGATATATTAGATTTCATTTATGTAAAAAATAACAAAATATATTCTGTTTTAATAAAAAGATATTGTTAAATAATAAAAATAATATGAATTTACACTCAAAATATAGTCAAAATTTGACCAAATTTTTAGAAAATAGGCTGTAAAAAATTAATACATATGTTTGATTATTGCATAAGCAACATATAGATTAGGTATCACACAATCAAATTTGAGCTTGTTTAATTTTCTTCAATTTTTTCTTTGTGGAAAAATGTTTTATAAAAATCACCTAGTCAAAAATAAATTTTAATTGTTTAAAGGCTTTGATCTGGAAATCTACTTAATTAATTGAAAAATAAATTTAATATAGAATCTTATATAATAACATTATATATAGGAATTTTTTAATTATTATTATAATTTATGAAATGTACCATGATATCTATGGTTATCTATGAATAATTTTATTTATTATAATTTTGAACATTAATAACGTTATTACATTTATCAAAAAAGTTATCATGATATACCACTTAATGTTAATCACTATATTATAGATGAAGACAATTTTATTGATTTTCAAAATTTACCTTAATAATTTTTTTTAAATAAAAGCAAATATTAAATAAAAAACAAAATGTACTGTCTCTCCGATATTACGGATACATATTTAATCTCCTTTATATATATAATATTAGTAATATAGTTAATAATACTATTATATATGTAATTTATTACATTTAAAATTTTTAAAAGTTTAAATCTAAACATATTATATATAAAATAATATACAATTAAAATAATACTTAATGATAATTTATATTTTATTTATATGAATAGGTTATATATCTATTAATATATAATTATTTTATTCTATAAGTAGAACCATATATTAATAGATATATAAAAACTTTAATCATATTGTATATTAAAAATCAATATTTTAATACTTTATTATTTCAATTATTTTAGGATACATTATCAAAAACGATGTGTTAATTGCTTTAATTATAACTACATTATACAAACTAACAATTAAAATTTTGTTTTTATGTGTAATTTTTTTTAGTTATAAATCAATAATTTTTTCTTATAATCATTTTAATAAAAATTTTGTACTTGATTATGTTCAACACATTTCTTAATATAATATAATTATATACTATAAAATAAAAAGTGATACAAACAAGTTTATTTAGATACATAACATATTCATAATAGTTTCATCATAATCAATTATACAATTATGTTATTTATTAATTATTGATAAATTAAAAGAATAACATTAAATAATAATAAATTATTAATAATTTTTATAAAACTTTTACAGAATAAATTAGTTTCTAATGTTGTTAATTACAAACAATGGATTTACAATAACAAAATATCACAGAATTTTAATATACAATTTATTTATAGCTATTATACAAAAAATATTTCCAGTTATTTTGGATCAAATATATTGGAACTGTATTTAAGTAATGTATGCTTTATATACTTTTCTGATCTATATTTCCCTTAACATCAATTGTTTCTCTTTGATCGATGCGTCCATTTCATCACTCCTGTGGACAAACTATTATAAAAATAGTGAAATCAATATTTGCCAAATAGTTTATATTATAAAACATCAAAATAGATTCACAACTTAAAAAAATAATTTTTATAAAGTAATATATATATATTATATATATATTGTTTTTAATGCTAATTTTAAAATATAAAAGTAAATATCAGCACTGYAAATCAATAATTATTTAATTATATATATATTATTAACAAAAAWTTATTTAYAACTAATATAAAATGTAATTAAAACTAATGTATTATATTTAAATTAATTTTTCGATATAAAATTATTTTTGTGATTTAAAGTAATCACAAATATGACTGAAATATCCAATTCTTATTAAATAATTATTTCATATGTACTAAAAAATATTACATATTTACATATTATAAATTTAATAAAATATTTTTATTTCTCGTGTACTCATATACAGTACTATATTTTAAAATATACAGTTTTTAAAGATATAATTTTTAATATTTTATAATTTAAAATAAAATAAATCACTAGATTATTAAAAATAAGTATCTTGAATATTTTATTAATTACATTATTAAAAATCTGATAAATAAAACCAACAATATGTTATTTATTATATTAAAATAATATCTATGTACTTAATAAAATTGCATTAAAAACATTTTAACTAAAATTCTATAATTATTACTTATATTTTATGTTTTTAGTGTAATATCAATATCAATATTATTTATCATTTTAATATTAATTAAAAGTAATGCCTTATTAATGTGCTCGCTATTGATAAAAACTCAAATTGATGATGTTAAAGTATATTACTTTTGCATATAATTTAAATGTTTAACTAAAATTTCAATTAGATTTTATATTCAATATTAGTAAATAATAGCAGAAATATATTAATATTAGATATCTAAAAAATTTTAAAAATTAAAAAAAAATTAAAGCTGTTGCTAAAAAATGCCTCAAAAAGTTAAGTAAAGTTAATTAAAGTACATAAATAACACAAAGTTTAAAATAAGACAATAAAATATTAATATTATTTTTGAATTAAAGTAGTGTTGAGTTAATATTTAAGGAAAGATAGGTTAATAAAAAATAAAGGTTTGTGAAAGTCGTTACCTTAAGCGGTATATCTTGTGTCTCATAGGCGAGTGTCTTGTGTTTCATTATATGTCGCATAATGTAATTGAAAAGTAATAAAAAAGATAGAAAGTTGTGATAAAATTGTTATCAACAATATATTAATTTATTAATAAAATGAGACAATAGTTGTCTGTTAAGAAACACCATAACAAATCTATTATTAATTTTTTATTAGCTCAACAATGTGTGATATCAAATAGTATTGTCAGCTAATGTAACTTAATGTTGATTTTATTTTAATTAAATTACTTTTGTAATATAGTTTTGATATTTATGATGTCTCCCATTTTCTATAATTTAGACTATGATTTATAATAATTGAACTTAAGGTGGAACAATATTACTAAACAAAATTAAATTATAAAATTTTCAGTACTATTAATATATAATTAATATTTATAAGTTAAATATAAAAATAAATAAATATTTGATTATTCAATACATACTGAAACAGTTGTGGCCGCGTATGAGAGTCGGGTATCTGAAGATAATCCATGATTTAGTAGAGTTTGGTTCCACTTTTTCTTTAGATTTTGCAATACCTGTCATTCAAATAAATGACTTTATATTATATTAAATTGATTTATAGACAAAGTAATGTTTGTTTAGACAATTATAGCATTGGATATCCACTCCACTCATAAAACCAAAAACTTAAAATATAGAAAAATAAACTTAAATTTAACAAAAAACAAAATATTAATGTTATTTGTTTTATAATATCTTATAAAGAGATACTTCTTGACATTATATATATATAAACAATCATTATTTATTATTATCTAAATTAAATATATCCAGGTATAGCAGCTAATATTACAAACAATGGATTTTAAGTAATATATAATGCTTTAAATACTATTATTGTTAAAATAACAATTAATAGGAAATTACTTAGAAAAATTATTATTTTCAAAATAAAATCAATAAAAATGATACTAAATAAAGTTATAATACTGTAATTTACCGGCATAAATATAAAATAGTATAAATATGATAATAAAGAGATGCAATTTSAGTATTTGATATCAATTTACTAATTCAGTAATTTATTTGATGTCATTTATTTGGTTTAACGCTTCAATCTTCTCAATTGAACATTAAATAAAAAGATTTCATTAATATATCAATAAAGTCAATAATATCAATTGTATATACAATATACAGTATATGACATAGTTTTAGTCGTTTATGTTTTAGTTGTGAACAATCTTTTGTCTGTTTATTAAATGACATCTAATTGTGTCATCTGTTTTGTTCATATATTTTATTGTTAGTGATTACTAGTCTTTAATCAATTTAAATATATGATTAGAGAGTCAACTGTCAATATGTAGATAAATGTCCACTTTTTATAAGTAAAATATTTATAATATTAATACATACAATACAAATGATATTCTGAATCATTGTCTGGCGTTTACTATCAACTAACATACATATACTATAGAAAATAATATGAATATACAGTATATTAACTGTTAGTTTAATCATTTATTAATTTAAAAATAAGTCAATTGATAGTATATCAAAATTAAACCCTACAATATTTATAAAACTAAATGGCATTCACACAACATTATATACATTAACATTAATATATTAGAAGCAATGCTTAAATTTTTCAAAAGCAAACATTTTAGATACGGAACTCACATAAAATGCTTAACACAACTCTGTTTTTGACTGAAATGTGAGACACAAATGCAGTTAAGTTTGAAAAGACAAATAAGGCTAATGTAGTGTATGTTAAAACTATACTATTATTTGCCATTATTTCAACAATAAATATTTGAACTAAAATTCAACACAATATCCTAATATATAACAATTCTTAACATTTTTGAAAGTTCTAATAATTTTGATTAATAATAGTAATAATAATTATTATTTATTAGATTAAAACAATTTAATAAAAACAATTGTTATATTGCTTTGACTATAGCAATGTAAAAAATAATTGTCTACTTTTAGTATATGATAGCCTAAAGTCGAGAATAATGACTGTTCTTATGAATGCTTTTAAAGATAAAGTTTTAGTAATAATAATAATAAATAATAGTATAGTTGTTGTAAAGTAAAACATTTAAAATATACATCAGTTTGTAGAGCACTTTATGCATTGTATGTCATTTGAATACTGACAACAACTATAATAATAAGTATATACAATACATCAGAAATTTCATTATAATTGACAGAATATTCTGCTTTTAAATATGCAATTTATAAGTTTAACATTAAACTGTATTATGTTATACATATTGAGAGTATAATATTAATAATATCCTTTACTTCAAGAAATACATTTTACAATCACATAAATTTGATGTATTTGTAAATTGTAAGCATTACTACACTATGTGCTTATTTTTTTAAACAACTACTTTATTGCCTATATTTTAGCAATAAAACATATTTACTGAAATTGTAAAATATGAGAACAATTGTAATATAAATAAAATGCAAACACTGTACTGAAATACTATAAAATGCAGTTTTACTATTTATATTTGGCATCTAATTAAATAAAAGTGTCTTTTAATGTAAAATTGTATATTTAATCCTTAAATGATGAGAGATTTAATTTAATGACATCTAGAGATCATAGAGTCACGTAGTAATATAAGTACAATATATAATATAACATATTTTTATATAAAAATGGATTTAACAGTAGATTTATGATTAGAAAATCATGTTATATGTAATACCTTGAAATGTTAGCTAACATAGAAAACATTTAAATAATTCACAATTAATTGCTTAATGTAACCATACATTAACCAGATTTTACCAGTTTATGACATTTCTGTATTTTATTTACAAAATTTTAAACTTCATATTCACTACCAGATCGTAATTATTACTTTCATTATCTTTATTTGTATTATATATAAATTATACTATACTGTACTTCAATCAATAGATACTTCATTCAGTCAACTGTATGTTAATAAAAGTTTTGGTTGTTAAGTAAAATTAATATTTAAATCAATAGAAATATTAAGGCATATTTAAAAACAGATATATTATAATAATGTATAATAAAAGTTAAATCACTTGTAGACACTGTCATGTCTTTAAATATATTTTTATATTTGTTATTCTAATCGATTTAGTGACAAATCAAGTAAAAAATACTTTTATATATCAATCAAATGATTTGAATATAACCTAATTCAGTCATATATTCAGTCATATAAAACAATTGTTAAAACATCTTATGTATACTATTGTAATATTGTTAGACAACAACTCATTTATTGTTTTTCTTTTACTAAAATATTATGAATTTTGATTAATCTAAAAATATAATTTTTTATTTAAAACATTAATCTATTGAATCATAACTTTTTATGTGTAACACTAATAAGTCTAATCTAAACCTCAAATAAATAAAATCCGATCTGTAGTTAACATTACTTTTATATAATACTTATACTAAAAAGCTATGCAAAACTACATGATATGCTTAAAAATGCATAAATAAAATTCTACTTAAAATAAAAAGCAAATAAATTGAAAAGAGTAATACCTTGTATGTAATCACAGATTTTCATGCTTTTGGTCTATTAATTGATCGCTAATAAAATTTAAATATATCTTATAATTTTCTGCAAATGCTCAATAATTATCTAATTATGATCAATTAAAAATTCACAAATATATATATATACTAGTATACAGTATATAAATACATATTATAAATAAATCATATATCAATCACCAGAATCAAGTTAAATATTTTAATTATACTTATTAATAAATAATATTATATGAAAGTTATTATACTAAAATAGTATTAATAGTTAACACTTAGTTAAGTATAACAAAATAATTTTAGACATTAACTAATAATAAACTATATGATTAACTAATTTAATATACTCTATAACTAAGTTATATCAAAACGAATAAAAATCTATGAATACATATGAGGTATGTTTGCTATTGAATACATTGAATACATGCCATTCAAATCATTTCATTTAATTGTAATTATAATAATCAATAACTACAAAAATAAATCAAACAATTGGTTGATCACTACTAGTACTTATTTATCATTAATTAATACCTAAATTTTGTTAATTACTAGACAATTGTGGACTGTAATGATCGAGAGCGACCTTTTGTCGGTTGCTTTGATCTCATTAGCATCTGTTGAGTGATAAAAGTTTTGATTGCGGTTATTACCTCTCCATTGAAGAAACAAAACAGTAGTGCAACACATAATCCCTATAATTATAATTAAAAACCAAATTATTAGTTATTGTTTATTTAAGGTATAATTTATATATTTTCTTAAATTAATATTAAATTAATATAAAAATAGTTATCAAAAAATTGACTAAAACCTGGAGCGACGTCACGATTGCGGACACTATTTCGTAAATTTTTTCGGCTGTAGTCCTGGTTTCGGGTCTGAACGGTGTTAGCATAAACTGTAGGCCCAATAAAGGTATTAAAATAAGTGTCGCCCGAACGGCTTTCCTGTATTTTAACAATTTATTTAATAACAATTAATTATTTATTATTATAATTAATTTATAAATAAATAAATAATTAAATATATAATACAATTTACTAATTATACTCTACTTAAGCGTCATTCAGATTTGAAACAAAACCTTAAATTTATTATATAAAGTATATATGAGATTAATATATAATATGCATAGACATTTCCAATTCTAGACTCTACTGTTTGTGTGTTTATATTTGAGTAATGATAATCACAATTATCATCAAATTTGGCTAAATAAGAGACTCTCCAAAATTTATTATAAAATTACAATTAATTGTTTTAAAATTATATAAAAATTTTTAATTTAATGCATAATAATCACTAACTTATGTCTCCATACGTTCAACACTTAAGTGGATTCCATTCGATTTGACATTTGATTTGAATAAATAAATGTATGATTAATGTGTAACCAATGGTATCAACTAAAGTGTTAAACTGATTGACACATTTGTTTTTTATTGAAAGTTTTTTATAAATATTTTTATATAAATTATAAACTATTAATTATAATTTTATGAAAAATTTATAGTAAGTTTTTGAGGAGTCTCTATATTTTAGGTAAATTTGATGATAATTAACATTATTTCTAAGATATAAACTTGAAAACATCATATGTTTGAATTGGAAATATGTATATATATATATATAGATACTATTAATATATAATATTAAAGATAAATATTATTCAATTCGCTTTAAAAAATAGTTTGTAGTTAATTCTAGTAATTTACAGTATAAATTAATTATACTATATATATATATATATATTAATATAAAAATTAATTAATACTATAAAGATTAAAATATTATACTAATTAAAGTTATTTATTTTAAAGTAAATAAACAATAATTACAATTTGTAATTCTATACTTATAATTGTAATCAGATTATATTCATTATCATTTAATGAGTGAAACAACTATCGGGTTAACAAATAATGAGCAAAAGTTTAGCATAAATAATGCAATAATACTGTATCTGCACTACAAAACAGAAATACAGATACAAAACTTAACGACTATTTTATTAAATAATATGAAAATATATATTAATAAAATATTTTATWTATAAATATATTTTAAATACCATCCTATTTTCTTAACTTAAATAATTTTGCTTAATTTATTTAAATACACTTTATGCACAATATTAGTAACTAAAAGTATAGAATCCTAAATTGAAATCTTTATAAATAATAAGTAACTGTTTTATGTTGTATTAGGTCATTACATCCCTGTGCTCTTTTTGCTTTAAGTAATGTAATTGTAAGATTATAAAGCTCATCTTAATTAATTAAATAAATTATTAGTTAATTATTAGATAAATACACTTCGTATGTATGTTTTTATAAGATTAAAATTATATATTTTCTATATATATATATAATAAAATGTAGAATATAGTAAAATTATATATTTTAATCGATCAATCACTCATATTATGATAACCAAAATTCTTTTAATACTAACTAAAAACAAAATAAATGAGAATTTTAAGTGTTACGTGTAATATAGCACAAAATACTCTATAAAAATCTATAAAAATTAGGTAAATAAAACACTAAAAATCTAATTTAAGTTTATAATATAATAGGTGTATTCATATAATCGAAACATACTTATATTTTCCCAGGAATTCACTTATTTAATATTTATCTCACATAATATAGAATATTCTTATGCAATAAAATAATACATACATAAGGTTTCGTTTTATTAAAGCTTTTGTCTCATTTTTAAATTTTCTTTTTTTATAAAYAACTATTTTATATCCAAATTTTTCCTTTAAAAAAATCTAAGATTTATATAAAATCAAATGAATAAATTTTATATAAATTTTATCGCTACAAAAATGTAATTTAATTTTAGTTTTTTATGTTCATTGAAATATTTCCATTGAATTAGATTTTATTTTTTAAAAACCTCATTTATGAGAGTTTATGTGTTTATAAGTTATAAATTTCTAAAAATTGCAACTTAAATTACAGTATATATTATATATAATGTATATAATTTATATAATTATTTTTGTATGCCATTCAAGTAGTGTAAGCAAACTTGTGACCAAACCTGGTTTGATGAGTATCTGACGTATTGACTGCCCTTAACTTTGTAACCAATACTCGCACGATATTAATCAAGAAAAATAGATTGAGCTTCAAATTGACATTCAAATTATGTTAATTTTATTATTGCTTTCAATTTGAACATGAATTTTAATAACATACCAATAGTGACATACAAACTGGACCAGTTATTAATAAGTTAAATGTGCCTTCCTCAATCCAACACCTTTCAACAAATTTATTATATTATTAATATAATATTAATTATATATTTATACTTAAAATATAATATAAAATATTTTTAACTTATATGACTCACAAATGGGTATCTTTAGGATCATGAGAGTTACTCCTCAACAAAGCGTATATCAGAATCATAGGTATAGGTATACCCCATCCCAACAAATAAAACCATTTAAGTATCTTATTTTCCGATACAAATGCAATGACCAGTAATGTATGCAAATACAAGCCCTCACAAAACATCCAAAAGTAATTACAAACCATAAAGTAGTGAACGGCTACGTGAATCACTTGACACCATATCTAACATTTTTGTCAAATATTTTTATAAGATATAACATATTAATAATAATACTTAATACTGCTAATAATAATAATTATTATTATTACTAAACGCTACTTTATTGTCAAATATTTATTTATTATTTATAATTTTCTTAATATTACATTTTATTATTTATGTGTTTAATAAACTATACTGTATTTATTACTTTCCACTMAAATTTCWTTAAAAATKCTTTTAATTTCACAGTATTTTATAGACAACTACTACTGATTAGTCATCAATGTGTTAACAATGACAGTGTGTTATAACTAAACAATAAATTAATGCATTTATATATTAATATATTTTTTGGTACAAAATATTAAATTGAAATATTTATTGCAAGATTCAATAACTATCAAAATTACAATAAAACATTATTTTGAAATCTTTATAATTTTTGCATATTTTATATGACTTTATTTTGTTATTTTAGAATAGTTTTTTGCTGTTTAATGTATTTATATATTTGCTTAGAAATAAGCAATATATTATAATTAAATAATTAAGTTAAAAATTAATAAAAATACAAAATACTCACAGGATTTTCATTCAATACATTTGGTTCCGATACTATTGATAAATACCAAACTATCCTTTTATAAAATAAAAAAATACACAAATTAAATTAATTAATTAAAGTTTATATTTAAAAAAGACACTGAATATAAATCTATATATATATATATAKATATATCTTTTAAATATTAAAGAATATATAAAAGATATATCAATAGTATTTAAATATTATAGAATATTTCTGAAAACTTTCTTTTAAATTTTGAAATATTCAAAAAGTTAAAATGTATTATTTTTTAATTTGACTAAAATTTACATGCTTATTACTTAATAATATTATTAGACTATATTTTGGAAATATTGATTTTTAAATATATATATATATTAATACTTGTATGATAAATTTATTAATTACTTAATATTATTTGGATTTAAGATATTGCATTGTAAAATTATTTAATTATGAATATTATAACTACTAATTTTTATGTTACTTATATAATTATAAAAATAATAAAATAAATGTTATATAACACATGTATAATATAAATAAATATAAAAATTAATAATTTGTAAGTTATTGTGCAACCCTAACATTTATCACTAAAATAACACATTATTAGGCAATGAATTAGATAGTTGCTTATAAACTATACAACTATTATGTCATAAACATACTGCATAAGCAATTTAAAAATTCACAATAGACTCATTCATATCTTACTGTATATTTTATATGAATTTTATAGACTAATAAAAATCACTAAATAAATATAAGTGAGTAATAATATATAGTACGTTAATGATTAATAAACAAAACATTTACATAATTAAACAATATATACTTAAAGTATGGTTAGGATAATATATAAAATTATATGTACACTATAATGTATAATTTATATACTGTATAATACTATTGATAAATACCACATGAGATTATTAATGATGAAACTAAGAAAAAAGTTTTTGTGAATCCTTATTCTGGTTTGCGTTGAAAGTGACCTTAAAATTAATGTTAAAAATATATTAAAACAACAAGTATTGCAAAAATTTATTGCAGTTTTAGTTAACATATCATTAATTTTTGAAAGTTATTTAACTGTCTCTTAACTAACTTGAATGAGAAGAAGATAGCCAATGATATGAGTAGTGCTACCAATGATATGGAGTAACCGGTTATATAGATATTGTTAACAGATTGACGAAACTATACAACAAAATTCAATAATAGATCATTAGTTGAGAATTAGTGGTCAAAGTTGTTATAATGAGAGAGAAAAAGTGAGAAAAGTGTGTTCACCTGGAGATCATCCCAATCAACACAATCAGTATAATTAGACCACGTCTTGTTGGTCTTGAAATGTCTATACCATTCACCAGTTGTCTGACATTCCTTACGTGCCTTTCCTTTATAAGTCAATATACATTATGTTATATCAATTTAATTGCACTTACAGTATATAAATTTCATGCAATCAAAATATATATTAATGTACATTTGTTAAATTACCATCATATATATATATATATTTGATTATACAGTATATACWTACGTGTGGATACAAATCCAGTAATAAAATCAGGACATGAGATATAAGCCACCTGACCGGCCAACGTGTCATTAAAACAACCCCAACCATCAAAAGTTCGGGGACAGTATAACAGCTCTTTATCTATATTTATGTATAAATAAATCAGTGTTTATATTTATTAAACCAATATTTAAACACAAAATTTTCATAAATACGGAAAAGTCAATACAAGGCAATCATTTAATGGCATTGAGTTCTCAAATTCATATAATATATATATATATTATTCTTTACTAATTTTTTTCAATACATTAAGAATCCAAATTTAATGGACGTTCAGATTCAGAATATTTAGAGCATATTATATAAATAGGTATATATATATATAAGCATATATAAGCATATATAAGCATGGTTATTTTTATATTTTATATACATATTACAAATTTATGTAATGTTTTTTGTATTACTATCAAAACTATACACTGCATAAACATTTATAAATTAAATCAATATTCTATATAAATAGTTTTAATTTCTTAAATTTTATAATAATTGGCATAAAATATAATAATTAAAACATTAAGATTTAAATTAATTAGATAAGATTTTAAATTATAAATTAAATCACTTATTAATATAAATTTAAAAAATTACTAAAATAATTATATTAAATTCTATTTTCTTATACAAATAGTATATATTTTGTATTATTTTATTTTGCACTATAATAACACTTTATTGCAACAACGCTATTAAAATGATAATTAATATACAAAATAATTTATTTTCATTATTTATTCTTAACTTAAATAGAATAAAAATTACTGTATTCTTAATACTATATACTATTTGATATACAATTATTTAAATTAATTATTCATATTTTTTATTGATATAAATTCATGTAAATATAAGTAATTCTAAATACTGTATATAAAATTAAAAAAGTTTTAATTTAATTAAAGCATTTTTTTATTATGAAATTAAGTGATAAAAATACAGGTTTTTAGAGAAATTCAGCTTTTATTTGCTGTAAATTAATAGCACAAAAGCGTTTTATTGATTGTGTCCTATAAAAGACTTATGTGTTTAATGTTTTCAATTGAAATCATACGAGTAGTTCATTAAAGAAGTACTTAAMTCGTATATACATTTGTGAGTGAGTGTATGTGCAGTATATATACGGTATATATATAAGTGTGTGTATGTGTGTATGTGTGTATGTGTGTATGTGTGTATGTGTGTATGTGTGTGTGTATGTGTGTGTGTGTCCAATACAGAGATTGAAAGTGGTTCAACAAAAGATATAAATTGGYTAAAATAAATCATCATCAAAAACATCATCAACAACAACATCAACAACAATAATAATTATAGTGATTTCAACATTTATTTTTAATTATTTCAAAACTAATTAATACATACTTTGTGTTTTTGGACCAACTAGTACTGTATCGATACAGTCCTCAAATGCATGAGCCGTATGTATGTTACTGTATGGCAAGGGATCCAATTTCTCCATCTCTTCCCATAACTCATGCAACTGTTGGTCTTCAAGTTTCTGTTGAATTGTATTGAAATGTATTATTATTATTATAAACATTAATTTTATTACATATTTATATTCTGTATATTATATCTATTAATATATCATTGATTATAATATTTAATTTAAAGTAATGTTTCTTTTATTGAATTATTCTATCTCTTACTCATTCATTAATCATATATTAAATTAAACACTTTCTAAGTTAACTATCATTAGTAAAAATATAYTAAAAACTCTAAAAATAAAAATGTTGATACTGTACCTTGAGTTGAAAATGTGGATCGTTGTGGCAATTAAAATAATCACCCTGGTCGACACCATGTTTTGTTAATGCCCATGAACCATTTACCAAACAATTTCTAATGGCAGTATCTAAAATAGTTTATATATCATATTGTTTGCAAATACTGATTTTTAAAATTCACATTTATATTAAATAAAAATTTAAAACACTCAGCATATATATATATATATATATATTTGATTTATAATATTAAAACTAGAATTTTATAGTTTCAATATATTTAATAAATATTAAATATGATATATTTGTAAATGCATGTGTACAATGGTATAAATTATATATTGTAAATTAATAAAAGCAATTCAAAATATATAAAATAATGTATTTATTAGTATTAAACACTCTCTTACTTGAACTGTTAAAACCGTCGATAAACTCAGGACAGGGAATTACAACAGTAGTATTACCGAGTGATGCCGTCCAACAACCGATCCCATCAAATGTTGTCGTACAGTAGGAATCACCTAAATATTCATTTATTTCAAAATGTATAAAAAACAAAAATTAATTTTAAAAAGTAGTATCGAATAAATTTTAATTCACATGAGAAATTTTCTAAAAATATTTTATTTATGAGATAATCACTATTAAATATAATATTATCTTTGTATATAAATATATGTTTTAATTTTAGTTTATACAATCAATATAGTAGTTAAAATACTATTAAACTAAAAATATTTTCAAAAAGTATTCTTTAATCAATTATTAAATATAATATAGTTTATTTAWATGCACCTAATCACATAAATACATGTATATATTTATATTAGTATACTGTTTACTTACAAATTAATAATTACTTAACAAAATTATATTATTTATATACAATCGTAAAAATCGTAATATTATTACAAATAAATTAAAATTTGTAAATTATAACTTTCTAAAAATTTATTTTTTCATAAATTATGCAATAGTTTTTTGTATCAAACATAATTACTTAAGTTTATTTATGTTTGATTTTTTAATTAATTTAATGATTGATTGAGTTTTTAAAATTATAAATTAATATAAACTTAATCTGAAGTGACTCAATGTTATGAATATATATTTTTAAATAAATTATAATGAAAATAGTATTAATGAAAATTTATAGAAATATTCTGGAATTGATTCGATAAATTTTAAATATAACTAATTTAATGAACCATTAAAATCAAACATCAATTTGCATACTCTGTGAACACTAATTGAATGATAGATAAGACTATTTGTAAACTAACACAATGAGCGCACACTTACTTTGATGCCATCCTTTAGGCGTTAAGTGTGCCGTTTGTGTGCAATTGAAAGATGCCCTAAAATATTGTGAGGGATAGGCATTCAAATTGTTGCGGAAACGGTTAACGTCGTGACCCATTACTATGAATTGTTTCAACTAAATTATTGACAAATTTTAATTAATTATCAAATTATATTCAACAGTAATGTTAATTAATATTTTTCATACATATTTTTTTAATTTAAATATTATTTAAAAATAAATTTATAAGTATTGAATATATTAGTACCTAATATTTAAATTTTACAAATATCTGACAAAAATATCAATAAATCAGTTTTATAAATTAAAATTGAGTATATGTTGGAAATAAAATTTATTAAATGTCATTTTCAACTAAATAAAGTAAATTTTATAATTTAATATAATTTCATTAAACTAAACAAAAAAACAAAGTATTCATATTATTTAGTTATTATAATATTAGTTATTAAAATTAATTTAATTGTTATATAATATAATTATAAGATTTTTAATTTATAATTTTAAGTCTTACTTCAAGAACCAATAGTAATGTAGATGTGATGTAAATTGAAGTAAACTTTTTCAATACTTTATAATTCATAATTTTTTCTTTTATAATATTTAATCACTTAATCAATGTGTACTAACACACTGTTAAACACAACACGCATTATAAGATTTTCATAAAGATTTGTTGTAATGATTGCGATATATAGATGATTGACGAAACACTTGACATACAATCCATGATAACACTTAACATACCTATAGAAGAGTTAAAYTGAAGATCTGGTCAACAATAATAAGTAAACAATAAATGTAATAATATGTTAAGGATAGTGATTATAGGATTATCTTTAGTTCACTTTCATTACAATCTTTAATTGCSGATAATATTAACTTTKATAACATATATTAAATTTGCTTTAAAAAAAGTTGAGTTCATTTTATAAATTGAAAATAAATTTAATTAATTAAAATTCATGTTTAAATTTTATCGGTTAATACTATTTCAATACATTTTTAAATTGTTGTATTATTTGCGCGATTATAGTATTTAAGAGAAGATTGTCTGAGAGTTTTCACTGAGATATTCATAGATATAATGTGAGAAACAGARTCAGTSAGAGAGTAATAGCGATACAAAAAAAAGTCTAGAAATATAGTGTAGAGTTGTGTTGTGTTGTCGAGTGTTCACACAAACAGYACTATTGGCAGCATTTACTCTACCAGTGCCGCAACACTCACTCTCCACTGTTAATCACTGATCTATTAATAGCACCGGTGTATCACTAAATGGTTTAGGTATTGTACAGTACATACCTTATGATTACTGTGTGGCCCTCTATATGATATGACAACAAAATATTGTCATTTATTAATTAACACTATATTTAATAATACAGATTCTCAAAAAAAACAAGAATATTATTAGATTATAAATAAATTTTGTGATCATTAATTGTAGTTTATTATGAATAATTTGTGTGTCGTCTAATGTTGTTTATTTTTTTTGCAATTTAATTTTTCATTATCTTAATTAAGAAAATTGCACAAAATCATATTTTTATTAAATAGTGTAAAACATTTAATAAACTAATTTAACAAATTAAAGTACTATTACAATAATTAAACTGTGCTTTATTATTATAAAAATTAAAATAATTATCAAAAAATAAATTAATTGTTATTTTATTTTTTTCTCAGTAAACAAGTGTTTAAAATTATTTATTAATTTATATATTATGTTAATTGAGATTTGCTAGTCTCACAATTGACCTTGTCRCAATCACCAAAATATGTAATTTTAATTTTAACATTTAAATATTGTGGACATACATACAGTATGCCTTAAATATGATGTATTAATATATCAGACTTCATAACTTTTGTCATTAATTAAAACTACTGAACAGTATATTCAGCCAATAGTTATGATATTTGTGACATTCTATGACTGTATTCATAATACAGATTCTTATTTAAATAAATCTAAATATTAAGAAATATGTAAATTCTGTAAAATGTAATTAATTTGTTTAAAGAATATTCGAATAAATTTTATCATTGAATATAAGTTATTTGTGTAGATATTAATATAWTTACATTAAATTATTACAGTATAATAACATATTAAAGTTATTTATCATTAAAATTAAAATCATTATAAGTTATTCAAAAATATTGAACAATTTTCTAATTCTAAAGCGTAAATTGTAAATTAAATTATAACTAATTATCTATTATATTGATAATATTATTAATGATAAATTTGTAAAATTGTATACATATAATACATTTAATACAATGTATAAAGGTGTCAAATATACATTTATATCTGAAATCTAAATCTTATATATATTTAAAAAAAATAAATTATAATTTAAGTTTTTATTATATTGATATAATTTACTAGAATATTCACTCACTTAATTATGYGAACATTTAATAAATATTTATATACAGTATTTAATATGTACATCATTTTATTTAACATATTTTAGATAAATGTTTTCCGAAATATTTGAGAAACTAATTTAAATAATAGTAGCGATAACACAATTTTTACATAATTATCATGCAATTAATATTTTAAAAAATGATATTTAGTTTGTACTGCATATTTGAAATAGAAATTACATGTGTAATCAAAGTAAACAATGAAATGAATATGTGTAAGTGATAATASATTTTTAAAGAAATTTTCAGAAATAATTTTATAAATTGAAAGCAGTATCAAAAATTAAGTAAATTATTTGAAATTTATAAATATAAAAATAAATAARCTAAATTAAGTGTGAATCGTTTACAGTATTCATATGAATTACATTAATTACTAACAAAACCAAAAATTTACAAATATATAATATTTGACATTATTTATTTTAAAAATTTATCTAAGATGTACTGTATATTTATGTATTAAAATTAATGTGTGTAATAAACTGTGCATTAAAATGATAGGCTATTTTATTATTAATATTATTTGTTAAAAGCTAACAAATAACTGGAATAATTATTGAAAAATAGTAAATTATTAAATTGTAAAAATAAAGTTTAATAAGTATTTCTATTACTATCTTTAGTTTTGTAATTCAGTCGTTACACTACATTGAATATACAATCATTGAAATCGTTAGRCATTTCAGTACACAATAAAAACGGATTGCTTTAGGATTAGATCCAAAAATTTGTATCATATGAACACATGAATGTATAATACATATCTAAAATCTGATTATTTTTACTAYTATTAGTAAATTTTKTGCAACCGATTTGATTCAATTTCCAAGMGATCAGATTATTGATATATATATATATATATTACGATGAATTTGCTTAAATCAATTTATTTATTTTGAATATCATAAGAAAAATGAAATAATATAATATTTTCATTGATAAATTATAATATATTGTTTTAAAAATCTATTAATATTAAAAAATATATTTGTAAAATTTTTAGACAAATTGAATGTATTGTTTACTTTATATTTAATTAATTWTATAAATTTTATGATTAAATAAATAATTATAATAATCTGTAACAACATTTATCAAATAAACTGATTTTGAGCTCACAATCAAATACTTATAATAATAATGAAACTACTGATTACAATAAGAATTTACTACAAAATAATTTATTTAGAAAATTTATAGAAATTTATAAACAAATTTTCTATATATCTAACACTAYATGAATCACATTATTAATTGTAATTTTAATAAAAAAATATTTTTCTTTTTATACTTTGTTATCACAAATCCTAGTATTAATTGCAAAACCAAATTCAACTTTATATAGAAATTTAGACTAAAATATACATTAATTTAAATCACTTGTTTAGAGCGGAATTTCATTAGTGCTTTAACGAGCTATACATCAAACTTATTGAAAATTGTGATAACTTTTTCTTTAATTAAACAAACACTTTATTAYTGTACTAATTATATCAATCGCCTCAAAAAATAAACTAATAAAATAATTTTGTTAATTTACTGCATGCAAATTAAATATTAATATTATAAAAACATRTATTATCAATATAAAAAATTCTGTTATTTTTTATTAATTATATTTTTATTATAACTTTTATAATTTTAAAAATATAGATTAAAACTAGARAATAATAAAATAAARCTTATTTTTGATGCAGATATAAACAAATAAATTRTTGTAATAAATAATATTAAAAATGGCAGGCAAATAAAATAGAWGCCCAAAATGCCATTATGGCATCTATTTGGGCATTGCTTTTATTTCCTTAAAACCCTGCTTATAACTATWACATTTGTTTAATTAATTTTACACTCATTTTTTAMAAAATTTAACTTTACAGTATAAGKTTAATGTTTAATTTGTTTTTAAAAAGTTCAAATTAAATTTTAACAATTATTTAACATCATCAATGTAAAATTCCGAGTTTTTCATAAATATASAATATTTAGTTTTAATGATTACTTTAACTTTTAAAAATTATTAATGTTAAGTCTTATACAAAAAAATATTAAATAATTTTGATATAACTAACATTTTASTTATTATTTGTTCWCTAACTTTAGTCTAGATATCTTATTTTAGATTAAACAAAATATTGATAAAATATTKAATATTTAACAATATTTGTCTATAATTCATTAATACATTAAAACCTTTATTTCAACGATAATTATGATGAGTATATATTTATCAAATAAAAATTTKTAAATTTAGTTTAAAATTCATTTCCCATATTTYATAAAAATTATAATAAGTTWACTGTTATAACATCACRCYATTGTGTTTCTCAATGAATTGATTTCTAGTGTTTAAATAGACATTTTATAGAAATGCAGTAAAATAAATGTAAATATTATATAACTATTAATTACAATAATAAATATTAATCGCATAATTATATTAAACATCACATATAAGTAGTTATATTTGTATTCAGTTTTAATCTTTAATTTATAAATAATGAGTTGTTTTTAAATGTAATGAAAATACGAAATTTCTATTATTAATTGTCAATATTATGCAAGTTTTATTCATMAAAATWATAATATAATGACTCTCTYTTTTATTTATTGATAATTTGCTGAAAAATTAGTRTATAAATATAAAAATTAAAATWATTTTATAAAAGTAATTTTTATTGATAATTGTTAATGTTGTCATATACAACATGTTGTATTTAATTTAATTTATACACTATATTAACTTAACTAAATCATTTTTGGATAGTTTWATAATTTTTAAAAAATTATTTTAATACTGTAATACTAGTGTTTTTCTCAATTAAAATATAAATTAGTTACGAGTGGACACATTTTGATAATTTTTAATTTATATTTAATTTTAAACATTTATAATTAAATGAAACTTTTGTGAGAAAAATGAATCAAAACTTTAATAATGCAATAATAGTTATAATAAATGTCAAATATATTAATAATTYCTGATTTATGATTATCAATTATATATCTTTATTATGTTATATAATCTATTAATATTCATTATAATTTAATTTGTTATATCACAAAAACAAACATAACATTTAATGTTTCAATTTTTTGATTTATTTAATAAATA